GCAATGTGCACTCACCTGTCGAGTCTCCAGCACAGTCGCAATCGCCTGCGCAACAGAGCGCGAGTCCGTTACAACACTCGCCTTACCAGAGCGCTCCTCCGCAGACTCATTCTCCCCCGCTTTTGACCGACTGGACGTTGCTTCAGCACCAGCAGCAGCATCCGCCTGTTCAGGATTTGAGCCATTATATGCAAGAGAACCAGACTTTGATACCGTACCCTTTTGCAGCAAATTACCAGACGAACGCGATCGGTTATTTGCCTTCGGCTGCGCAGGCGACGCTTGAATCCGCAATGCCCTTGGAGCAGCAGGGCTTTAGCAATGTCTCGCCCATCGAGGACCCCCGAACTATGCAGCAGCAGTGGGATGGCATGGGAATGGGGAATTGGCAGGATTTCGGGACTACTTTGCAGTTCCCGTCTGATGGACTGCCACGCTTTGGAAGCCTAGGGAGCCAGTCTCCGACTGGGACTTATTTGGAGGTACTATCCCTGCCGGGATCTAGTGATAACGGCTGGACTCAGGTTGAGATGTACCAAAATTACGATTCGTATCAGCAAGCGCAGGCGCAGGCACAGGCCCAGAACACCGCTATCTTCAATCCCGGCCAGACGTTGCACTTGAGGACGAACTCGGACGCTTCCCATTCGGACGGAAGCGGTCAACGCACTGACTTCAGCAGCAGTAGTTTCGAGGATATCTCGTTCAATTATTCTCCGTTTTCTCCGGAGTCTGACACATATTCGGATCCGGCGAGCCACCGAAATTGTTTCCACGGCGAAAGCCATCATCCTCACGAAATTATCAGCCCTGCCGCTGCCGTCGAGCCAGTGCCTATTAAGTCATCGACCTCGAGCCGCCCCAGCCCTGCGAGCGGATCAGGTGTCGCATCTCCGCCTCATAACAACCCTCGTAGAAACTCGGGCCCTAAGAGTAAGGGCGCCGTTGCAAAGTCTACTAAATCGGTTATAAGGAGGACTTCTAATGGAAAGAAAGATGGCACGGTTGAGAAAAAGGTTGGACGTCGGAAAGGCCCGCTTCTTCCTGAGCAGCGGAAACAAGCTAGCGAGATCAGGAAACTCCGAGCCTGTCTTCGGTGCAAGTTCCTCAAGAAGACTTGCGACAAGGGTGAGCCTTGTGGTGGTTGCCAGCCGTCACATGCTAGACTCTGGCAAGTTCCTTGCACTCGTATTGATATCAAGGATATTGGCTACTTCATGAAAGACTGGAAGGCGGATTACGAACGACATCTGAGCCGTGGTGTTTCTGTCTACAATGTGAAGGGCTTTGCACAGAAGGAGAGCCTGATGTGGATCACCCACGGTTATGGTTTCTGCCTGCCTGTTATGGTTCGCGAAGTTTTCGTAGCGGATGACAGTTGTTTCCAGGTTGACTGGGTCGAGTCTTACCAAACGGATCAGGAGCCGATTGAGTTTGAACTTAAGACTGAGAGGCTGGATGTTGGAAATGGCGGTATTCGCCCAGAAGCGCTTGCCGAGTACCTGGACAAGCACATCGAGAGTGGCTTTGAGAACTTCATCGACGATCATTTCGAAGGTACTCCTTTCATTACCGAAATTTTCAAGACTGCCTACCGTTTCTACACCAAGGAGAAGTTGCCAGTTATACGCAAGGCTTTGAAACTAGTGCTAGCCTACAATCTTACCCAACACATCACGCTGGTCGAGCAGCAAGGTTCAGAGCAAACCTTGGAAGGCCAGATCGATGATGAAGACTCTAAGTACTTCGGGAAATACGTGGCACCCGTCATGATTAACTTCCAGATCAAGTGTGCTATGGCAGATATGTGGCGTGAGCTTCAGAAGGATATTCTGGAGGAGCTTTCAGCGCTTTACTCTAGCGTGTACAGCGGTGATCGTCTGAAGAACTGGCCCACCATCTTTATGCTTGCTTCCATACTTCTGGCTGTCTGGGAAGAGATGCAGTTTGACTGCCATTACCGCGTGCCCGACCCAGTGGCGGTTGAGAAATTCTGCATTGATATGGAGAGCACACCAGTTGGTGTCATTACTGGTCTATTCCACGCCATCTCTCAGAAACTCCCGGCTCTGATTGACTGGGATACTGAGCGCCATGGTCATCTACTCAACAACAACGTTGCTGTATGCGAGGCTATGACCGAAGTACGGCAGCACGTCCTTAAGCACGGTAAGAAAATTTTTGTTTGCAGATACCGCAGCATTCGCTAATATGATAACAGAGGCATACCTAAGAACCAGACACACGTCGAAGTTTGACAGATACGACTTCGATTCATTGTCGAACAAGTTCTTATCCAAGTTGGTTATCAAGGCTAACTGAAGCACTATACTGCTACCATGACCTCAGGATTAGGCCACATACATTCTAGAAACGCCTTTGTTCAGGGGCGCAGATTTTGATTTTGCTTTTTCCTTTTTGAAATTTAGGTTTTCTTTTTTCTTTTGTTCAGATTGATGGAAACATTTAGCGACGGCGTTGTCTGAGGATATGATATTTATCATCATGACCTATCACTACTTATCGACTAACATACCTTCTTCTTTTCTCTCATTTACGGCTGGTCACCGCCAATTGACGCATGCGATGTTTTACGCCATGTTACTCAAACCTTACGACCTTTTTAACGGCTGATTTTCGACGACTGTATGACCTGGAATTATGTTGATCGTTATCACGCGCAAGCACCAAAAGCGGTTCCGATGGATCATGGTTTTATGAATTGGAAAGAAGCTACGGATTTTACGTACACACACACACACAAGACAAATGCAGTTACATTCAACAGCATAGATTACATTACATGGCTTACGGTGTCTGATAGATCCTGCGAGGGTCCAGACAACCTTGATGAATTACTAGATGGGTGAACAAATGAGGGGTGGTATCCGTCACTCTCCTTGGGGCAAGGATTATGGTTATGGCCTCTGTGTATCTGCTTAGGGACAGAAGAGATACAAATATGAATGGATAATTAAATAAGTTTCATTTAATGATTTCAAGCGAGCAAAAATAAGAACCAAAGAAAGATCTAAATTGGATTTCATGTCATCTGTACTTATTGTGCTGAGTGAGCGATTTTGTGCCCAAAGTTCCCCCTATGCAGGCTTCACCGCATACTGCCAACGGATTTACAATTCCCTACACCCTATGTACAACCTGTAAGCATCACAATACAACTTTATGTTGGTAGGTATCGGCCGACACCGCAGCATTTATTCTCGCGGATTCTCTGAGGGAGACCACATACGGTTTCTGTCGTCCCACTGCTGTCCTCTTCAGGATGCATCTATCCACTCTGAACCGTAGCATTGTGCAAGCTTACACTTTAACCCGAGATTCGGAATGAGACCTGTGTATCACATAATTGACCAATACTTGACTGAATATATTATATATGGAAAAAGCCTTTGCCGTCAAGTGAAGGGCGAGGAATGCTTATATATCGATAACCCCCTTATACGGTATTCAATGTAATTACAAAATATATTCTAGGATTCCGATCGCCTCATTGCTCACCGCTCAGCATGTTGAATTGGACCTTGTTGGGATTGATACGACCTTGAGGGTTAGCTACCTAGTATGACGTTGGTCAGGGAATGCCGGGCTAGCAACACCGTATCAAAAACGACCTCGCACAGGTCCTCAGGAATAGGGTTATTCGGTCGCGCCAAGTGGAGAGCGAGAATCGACAGCGTTGTTGTGATTCATGTAGGTAATCCGTAGATATGTAGTAGTGGTGGTGTTTTCGAAGTACACTAGTTCTGTACTCGACGTTGAATTAGTATAGTGTAATGGGAGACTGATGCATCAGGAACATTGAAGCAATCTCCATGGCACGATGGCTGAATTCAACGATCAACATAGGAGTAGATGCCGACATTCGGCTCGCTCCGGAAACGCAGATCTTGGTCTTGGTAGCGCGGAAAGGGGATAAAGAGAAATGGCCATTGTAAGTGCATACCTAACGTAAGTGTATGATGTATGTATGTAGTAGCTGTAGTGGCGTGTGATCCGCTATGTACATATCACCTCAATGATAATGATTCCACAAGCATCCAATACAATAACACCCAGGAATAGAGCTAATGGTTACCTAGTGAATAGGTAAAATCAATAGCCATACTGCCATATGTAGTAAACCTACTCGATGAATATGCATAGTTAAGCAAGTGACTGAGCAACCAAGATTATCAAACCTGTATCGTCTCATTCTCACTAGTTAATGCCTCTTGTTGTCCCGTTTTGGCGTTTCACTGTTACCTTGTGATTCCTTATCTAGACCCTTGAGCCCACATGACGTAGAATATATAGATAACAGGACCGGACTATTGCGCAATACATATGCCGAATCACTACTGTTTGAATGTTCAGCTCTCGATGACTTGTTAATATGAGGATTTATGTATGCTGTTTTGTTGTCGTGTAGACAGTTAATGATTAAGGCTGTTTCGTTAGTGGCTGGGAAACAAAGCTGACGAAAGTCAATCGGGATTACCAAGCAACGGCAGTGGCAAGGTTGACAGTTGCAGGTGGCAGTTTGCCTCTTTGATATGTGTATGTAGGTATGTATGTAGGTACCTATGTAACACTAGAACGTACCTGTCATTTCCTGAGACTACCGGCGGAGTCCAGCCAAACTTCTGGCGCTTTCTCCCCGCTATCAGTGGTGGTTACCAATGATTCACCTCTTAGATCAGCTGGGCAACTGATACATGATTGGTTAAAGTGGCACCCCACGTCTCCTTCCCATTCCCAAGGCTTCCATTCAGGTAACTGCGCCTCAGGGTGTCCGTGTTCGTTTGCCGCTCCTCCAATTCCCTATTTGAACCCAGACTTGCCTACTTTCTTCATTTCTTTCCTTTCTCTTTTTCTCCCCTACCACAATCTATCATCAACTACTCTCATCGACAACGAGATACCATATATCTGTTCTTGGTACCCTAAACTAACCATCAACCAAACACTCAATCTATCTGATCTATCCGCACACCGACAAGATGCAGATCTTCGTCAAGACCCTCACCGGCAAGACCATCACCCTTGAGGTCGAGTCCTCGGACACTATTGACAACGTCAAGTCCAAGATTCAGGACAAGGAGGGCATTCCTCCCGACCAACAGCGATTGATTTTTGCTGGAAAGCAACTTGAGGATGGTCGCACTTTGAGCGACTACAACATCCAGAAGGAGAGCACTCTCCATCTCGTCCTCCGTCTCCGTGGTGGCATGCAAATCTGTAAGTTGCGCTCCATCTTAGTATGATCATTTACAATATGCTAACAATTTGAATAGTCGTCAAGACCCTTACCGGAAAGACCATTACCCTCGAGGTCGAGTCCTCCGACACCATTGACAATGTGAAGTCGAAGATCCAGGATAAGGAGGGTATCCCTCCCGACCAACAGCGATTGATTTTCGCCGGCAAGCAGCTTGAAGACGGCCGAACCCTGTCCGACTACAACATTCAGAAGGAATCCACTCTCCACCTGGTCCTTCGTCTCCGTGGTGGTATGCAAATTTTCGTGAAGACCTTAACCGGCAAGACCATCACCCTTGAGGTTGAATCGTCGGATACCATCGACAACGTCAAGTCCAAGATTCAAGATAAGGAAGGAATTCCTCCTGACCAACAGCGACTCATCTTTGCGGGTAAGCAGTTGGAGGATGGCCGAACCCTCAGCGACTACAACATCCAAAAGGAGTCTACTCTGCACCTTGTTCTCCGACTACGTGGTGGAATGCAGATCTTCGTCAAGACCTTGACAGGAAAGACGATCACTCTGGAAGTCGAATCATCGGACACTATCGACAACGTCAAGAGCAAGATCCAGGACAAGGAGGGCATCCCCCCTGACCAACAACGACTTATCTTCGCTGGTAAGCAGTTGGAAGATGGGCGCACTCTGAGTGACTACAACATTCAGAAGGAGTCTACGCTGCACTTGGTGCTCCGTCTCCGTGGTGGACAATAGGCACTTCGCGATGGCGGAGTATGACGACATTTGCACGAACTGGCGTTAATGGGATTGGCCCCGGATTAGGCTCTTGGGCCTCGGCATCAATCAACATACCTTAATGATCAAGGATGCGCAGCATCATTAGATTGATGCTGAATATGAATATACCAAATTCATGACTTTGTAAACCACGGTTTTTTCGTAATTGTGATAAATGAGACCTTGGACGTAATGTAGCACATGTGTTGAACGAAAGTGTTGTACTAATAAAAGTACGAAGAATAGGTTAAGTAGGTACGGTCACAAGTTCCACCATATCCAAGAGCGTTGGGGGGGTACATGCGTAAGAAAAGGATGTCAACCGAATCGAAAGGAACGTTTGCGCTTTCTCTTTTCCAAAACTTGTACTGAGCCATGACGTTTCCAACGCACATTCCTCTACCTGCTTTAATAATGGGATCAACTTTCTACTACAACCGACAACGGCATTTCCATAGTTTTATTACCTTGGCGAATCGCGTCGTTGCTTTGCCACATGAGTTGGCTCAGCTTCCAATATACGCATACGGGTGATTTTCTTATCAAGTCTTGCGCATTCTTAAAGACATAGGCTATGCCATCGTATTATTACCATATCAAGCTCGAGGTTTATCCCACGCCGACTCCAACGTCTAAGGGATCAGGGAAGGCATCGCAATCCTACGATAGGTCCTACGATAGGTCGACCTGGCTACCGAAAGAGACGTCAAACATCTTCGACAACCTTCCGTCGCATCCTCGAACGCAGACAACAGCTCAAGCTCGTAGAGTCAAGATACCGTACATCTGGCAGCGAAAGCAAACACAGAATACCCCAACCACGTCTAACTCGAGCGTCATTGACTGCGGGGCCCCTCGACCGCCCAAGTCGCAAGACGATCAGAATATCATACGAGTTACCGAGAGACAGCTTCGACAACGAACGCTAAGCTATCCGCCTCCCCAGTCGTACGTTGCCATAAACCCGCACACCGCAGTTAAGGATTGGAGATTCGAACAGCTTAGGATCGAGAGCATCGACGTGGACAACCACGACAATATGCAGGCAGCATCCGCAGCGGCGGCTGCCGTCGGCCCTTCTATGGGAGGTGCAGGCAAGGCTACGAAAGCGATGTTTGTCCCGCTGAACTCTTCCAAGAATACTGAGTTGGGTTGGGGAATCGTACATTTATACCGAGAAGAGACAGAAAGCCCAGAGCTTGAGATATCCCCGGATCAAATACCCGAAGCCGACGGAGAACAGGACGGCGCGCAAATCGACTGCACTACTATTTGTATTCCTGCAGTCCCAAGCTACCTGTCTCCGAGCGACTTTCTCGGGTTTGTAGGTGAGAAATGGAGGGACAAGGTCAGTCATTATCGTATGGTTATGACGGGTCGAATGAACAGATACCTCGTGCTCATGAAGTTTCGAGAGAGCAAGCAGGCGCAACTCTTTAGGCGCGAGTTTGACGGCAGGGTATTCAACGACATTGAGGTAAGAGGATCCTTAAGAGTATAGTATACCTAATAGTATCAGGAGGCTAACACAGCGAAGCCGGAAACGTGCACAGTTGCCTTCGTTAGATCTGTCACTTTTGAGACTCCGACCCGCCCAGGTGACAGCTTTCCGGATCTCAGCCAAGATCCATTTACACCAACTACTTCAGCTACATCTAATTCGCTTAAGCCCTTTCCACCACCAACCCCTAATTTAATCGAACTGCCTACTTGTCCCGTCTGTCTCGAGCGTATGGACGATACTACAGGTTTACTAACAATTACTTGCCAACATGTATTTCATTGCTCGTGTCTACAGAAGTGGAAGGGTTCCGGCTGTCCAGTCTGCCGGCACACGAATCCAATACTATCATCGTCTTCGTCTTCGTCGAATGCGCACGCTTCAACCCCTTACGACCCTAACAACCCATATACGCAGCCTTTCGGCTCCCGCGTATCCAACCTGTGCTCTGTTTGCGACTCTCCAGACGACCTTTGGATATGTCTTATCTGTGGTAACGTGGGGTGTGGGCGGTATAAAGGCGGCCACGCGAAAGAGCATTGGAAGGAGACAGCTCATACTTTCTCCCTGGAGATAGAAACTCAACACGTTTGGGATTACGCCGGTGATATGTGGGTACATCGCTTGATTAGGGACAAGGGTGATGGCAAAGTGGTAGAGTTACCTGGTCGTCAAGGAGGGCCCATGGGACCTGACGAACACGAAGACCATGACGTAGTGCCTCGTGCGAAACTCGAAAGTATCGGTATGGAGTATACTCATCTTCTCAGCAGCCAGTTAGAGAGCCAACGTGTATACTTCGAGGAAATGCTCTCCAAGGCTGCGGACAAGGCGACGAAAGCATCGGCAGCCGCAGAGACCGCCGCAGCCCAAGCGTCACGGGCGCTTAAGGAGCTTAAGATAATTCAAGAGGAACAAGATCGCCTACGCACCGAGACGATCCCGGGGCTCGAGAAAGATTTAGAACGCGAACGTAACCGGGCAACTAAGTCTACGGACCTTGCGCGGGGGCTAGGCAAGAGTCTACAAGAGGAGAAGAAGGTCTCGGAAGGCCTAATGAAACGAATCGAACATATGAACAAGGAGCTCGAGAGCTTGAGCGAACAAGTCAAAGAGCTGAAACTGGAGAATGCGGATCTGAAGGACCAGAATCACGATCTTAGCATGTTTATCTCGGGTCAAGAAAAACTCAAGGAACTGGAGGCTGAGGGCAAAGTTGAGGAGGGTGAGGTTCAAGAGGGTAGCGCTTCCGTGCCCGAGGACAGGAGACGTCGGAAGGGGAAGGGGAAGGGGAAAAACTGATATCTGTCAGTGCTACATGTTAATGTTTGAAGCAACCCAGTGGGTAAATTGACGTTCCTTTCCCCTGTTAACGCACAGCGGTCTTTAAGAAAAGAAAGTTCAGTTCTTATGCAAAGCTTGTATATCGACACGCAAAGACTATAAATACTTATATTTCGGTCTATGATGTCCTCGCGATTGTCCTAGTCGTATATCGATCCGCATAGCTGGTGCTCACATGTGCAATTACCTAGGTTAGCTTTAATTACCTAGGTACATACCTATACAGGATATGTGAAGCCGTTTTTAATATGCAGCCATTGTGGCATATGACTTGCATTCGTATCTGCCAGCATCCGCCAGCATCCGCCGGCATCCGTGATTGCACCTCGCCGTGCATAATTTTTAAAGATAGTATGGGCCTACATCTTAGTATGTAGCAAGCTGCAATGACCTAGGTACTTACTAAGATGATTAGAGCTATTTCATAATATCTACCTAAGTAGCATCTCGCATACTCGGTACCTAAGGACGTAATGAATCCGGTCTGTTGGGAATTTCGAATGGACTTTGATCCAATAGTAAGCAGATATCTAAGTCAGATATCTATGTATGCAAGTCAAGATAGGCGCAGATATGTTAAGAATTGGCTTGTCGAGAATTATGTACGAAACAGGTGATACCTTGGATGGTTTGTACACGGATACATGGGGTTCAACGCGGCACTCCACTTAATTTTTGGTACCGTTCACAAGCTGGAAACCTCGGATGAATGGCTACTAAACGTACCTACCCCTCGGCCCCTCCTCCACCTGGGCAGATGTGGCGCCGAAAGTCTGACATTTTGCCAAGGTTCCAGTCGCTTCCAGTATGTGCCTAGGTAGCGTGCAGGCAGGTGGCAGGGTACCACGAGCTGTGGCTTGCAGTTTCATGCACAAGTTGTCTGGGTTTCGGCCTGTGATTGATGAGTTTTTTTTTCCTCTTCTTTTTATTAACCTGCTTGCGCAAGATCTATATTGCGTTTTCTTATTACTCCATCATTCATCATCAAGGATGACGCTCTTGATTGTTGGGGCGTGCTAGAGCCATCGATAGCTACATTCTCTCTCTCTCTTTTTTTTTTTCCTTCTTTTTCCTTTTTTCTTCTTCTTGTCTAGCTGTCCGGGGCTAGGATTTTTACATACTAATAGCTTAAGCCCGGACTTCCAATCTGGCTTTAATACCTAATCCATTCATTTCCATACCACGTCAACCCAGGTTTTGGCAACGTGACCGTTTCCACCGAGCCCACTCGAGTCCGCGTGCAACTCCCCGAAACAATACTTACAGTCGTTACGTGCTTGAACGAGCCGAATGATCCGCCATTTCTGTCTTCGCCACCAACTTCAACAATTGGTATATATGTGTTAGGCACCATCGTGATAACATCTGTCAAATTTACTTCTACCTACCAGGTAGCTTATCCGCCAACCTTTCATTGCTTTTCGCGACCATGGCCGACGGCAAGCCCGTCGAAGAGGCACGGCCCTCCGCCGTTGCAAAGCCCAAATCTACTAAAGAGAAAGAATTATACCCCATGTCCGACTGGAAATACGACGCCTTCTTGCATACATTTTCCGTTCTCGTAGACCTATTCTTCCGCGAAGTCCATCCGAGAGGCGCATGGAGAGTACCAAGGACCGGGCCTATTCTCTTCGTCGCCGCGCCGCATGCGAACCAATTCGTCGACGGCTTAGTCCTCCAACGGACGCTAAAAATGGAAGCCCAGCGGCGCGTAGGCCTACTCATCGCTGAGAAATCTGTGCACGGCTTCATCGGATGGGGTTCCCGCCAGACTGGCTCCGTCCCTGTCGGTCGAGCGCAGGATAAAGCGAAACCCGCTTCAGGTGTCATCTATCTTCCCGATCCCATCAATGATCCAACCTTGGTCCGAGGCGTGGGCACGGACTTCGAAAAAGAAGCCGAGGTTGGCGGCATGCTGTTTTTGCCCTCTGTGAAGGGCCAGTCGGGTAGCTCGATCGACATATCCAAGATCATCGGACCTGAGGAAATTCGAATTAAGCGGCCGTTCAAGGGAAAGGTTCCCCTGCAGCAACTAACCGGTCGAGACGATATCGACGAGAAGGGAAATCTTACTAATAAGGAATTGATGGGCCCGAAAGATGGCTTTGAGGGTACCAAGTTCAAGCTGGCTCCCCATATCGATCAAACTGAGGTTTACAAGGCGGTTTTCACTCGTCTAAGATCGGGCGGCTGTATTGGAATTTTCCCTGAAGGAGGCAGCCATGACAGGACGGAATTGCTACCTCTAAAGGCTGGTGTCGCCATTATGGCGTTGGGCACTTTGGCTGAAGATCCCGACTGTGGACTGCAAATTGTTCCTGTTGGGATGAACTACTTCCATGCCCACAAGTTCCGGTCACGGGCTGTGGTTGAATTTGGAGCCCCCTTCCAAATTCCGAGAGACCTGGTTGAGAAATACAAGAACAACGAGAGGAGAGATGCGATTGGCCAGACGCTTGATATGGTACACCAAGCTTTGAGCGCCGTTACGGTATCGGCTCCGGATTACGATACCTTGATGTGCATCCAAGCAGCCAGGCGACTATACAATACTGGGAAGAAGCTACCTCTGCCCATGGTGGTGGAACTGAACAGGAGATTAGCCGTCGGCTTCTCTAAATACAAGGATGACCCACGCATTATCGATCTGATGAACAACGTCAAGGATTACAACAAGCAGCTCCGCTACCTCAACATCAAGGACCACCAAGTGGCCTATGCTAAGATGACTCTCCCGATAGTTATTGTCACTCTTCTATATCGGATTATCAAGCTCCTAGTTCTTTCCATCGGTGTGATCCCCGGCCTTGTTCTTTTCGCGCCCGTCTTTGCCGCAGCTAAAATCATTAGCATTAAAAAGGCCAAAGAAGCGCTAGCGGCTTCGTCAGTTAAGGTTCAAGGCAAGGATGTCATGGCCACATGGAAACTCCTTGTGGCCATGGCTTTTGCGCCCGTGCTCTACAACCTATATTCCATTTTGCTCTCATTTAAGGTGTACCAAGATCACCTATGGGGCTACGTACCGGAGTGGGTGCCGTTCTGGTTAGTATTCATTGCCGGCTGGATCGTCTTCCCGGCTATCACATTTGCCGCTTTGCGTTTTGGCGAAGTTGGTATGGACATATTCAAATCTCTCAGACCCCTCGTTCTGTGCATCAGCCCAACATCTGGCTACAGCATCCATAACATTAGAGAGCGGAGAGCGGAGCTATCCGAAAAAGTAGTCAAGGTCATCAACGACCTTGGCCCCGACATGTACGAAGACTTCGAACAGACGCGTCTGGTCACAGACCCGCGCGCGAACGGAGCGATCTCGCTCAAGGAAGCCAGCGTTCCGGATAAGACGGAGCCGACGCCGCCGGACTCTCCGCACCTTTCGAGGAAGAATACCACAAGATCGAGCCAGGCCATCCCAAGAAACGAGTCCTTCAGCAATATCGGCGCTATCGGTATGTTCGCGACGCGCCCGCCATCGCGGTCTAGAAGCCGCAGCAGCAGCAGCGGAGGCGGCTTCGGGTCCGGCGGGTTCCCGGTGTCGGGGTTCACGGCGCTGGATACTAACGAAGGGTTCAACGAGGCGAGCAATAAGATCAGGGCGGCAATGAAGCAGAGGGGGCAGCTGAGGCGGAGGAAGAGTGGGTTTTCGTCGGATGGGGAGGGGAGCGAGGGGACTTGAGGGAGACTTGGGATTTTTTTTTCTCCATAGTTCACAGGGTTTGATTCTTGGTTGTGTACCTAAGATAATTTGACTTGGACTGGACTAAAAATGAAAGGTCTAGACGGATAAGTCTGGGTTAGAAAGGAAAGGAGGAAGGAGTTGAGCACTGTAATGTGGTAGGTTTTTCATTTTTGAACTACTAAGAATTGTTGTGTGCGAGAAAGAGAAACAGGAGTAATGTATACCCGAAAGTACAGTACGTTGTTGGGCAGGTAGACTGTCGTTGTCGTCTATGCGGCTGCTACTCGATCACGAGAAGGATAGGAGGAAGAGGATGGATGTAATGACAATGCGATCTCAACTTTGAGTGTGTTTATATGCGTGATGCTTGGCTGCGAGTTGCATACATACGAGGAGGTATGAGTTATAGTTGAAAGCACTAGTTACGAGGTTGTGGTAATGTTCAGGCTTGGGGGCTCGACATTTATATACCTACAGACTATTATATGTATACGAATATAAAAGCTAAAAGTTTGTCCTGAAGTCCGACTTGGCTACAGAGGAATTCCCTGACCAATCGAGGGAGTCCTTGGCAGGGGACGGAGCCAGTTAGAGCCCTGGGGTCGATCTGATATCTTATTGGAAGTGATCATCCCTTTTCGTTGTGGATGGTGGATGGTGGATGGGGGATGGGGGATGGGGGATGGGTGGGCGCTAGGTACTTGGCACTGTACAGTATTACAGCCTTACCAGTATTCAGGGCGGATTTAAGAGGAGTTAGTGTGAGTGTAATATAGCAAGCAGTATGCCATGCCGGTGAGATGCCTGGCAGTTATGATTCTTTTTCTTCTTTTTATTGCAGTCTTGGACTTAACGCCTAACGACGTGACAGGCCTATGTATGTCGGAATCCATACAGTATAGTATATGTACATTCCGTAAGTTATACCTACCTTAGGTACCTAACCTAGGTAGTTATGGCGGTGATGGCTGGAGCTGACCAACACGCTGCAGCTCGGATGCCGAATACTTACTCCGAAGGACGTGCCCTCTTTTGTCCGAGTTGAACATCCCCGACCGAGGCAGGTATAATAGGGAGCCCCGACAGGGTCTCGAATAGAAATCTTTTTATTTCGAGTTTGTCATCCCCAAAGTCCTGCCCACCTTTTCCCTCTCCTTGTTTTTCGATTTTTTAATAATTTTTTTAATTTACCTCCTACGTCTAGAAGAGGCGAGCTCAAGGAAGGTTAGATCTCGCTTGTTTGATCTCGGAGATAAATTGCGCTCGGATTTGATTGTCATCGTGCCAGCCGGCCAGCGCGACAAATACCTACATACACAGACGGACGACCTGTATTCACCTGGTGTTTGTGAGAGCAGTGTTGTGAGAGGGGAGGGAACTTGTTGCATGGTGACTAGGAGAATTCTAGTCACAACAGGGTTAGTTTAGGTACCTTAGGTACTTATATGTAAGTGTTGCGGCTTCTCTACTTTGTCTTACGGCACAAGCAACCGAGTACATACCGTACCTACCCTACCCCCTTGCTTTCTCCTTTTTAGGGACAAACCCCAAACCCCAAACCCCAAACACCATTACCCCCTTCCCCCCACTCAGCTTGCAGCACTAACCCAATCTCCGAATCAGATAAGCTATATTGGCATCTTACCTAGGTACATAGCACCCCTGCCCCACCATAGCTTCCGTCTCTTCTTAGACTTAGGTATTCTCCGTCGCGAACCTTGCATCTTTTGTTTTTCTTCCCCCTCCGCAGTCAACTGCCGATCCAACTACCCAACTCAAGGGGGGAAGAACTTTCGGGGAGAAGGAGAAGAGGAAGAAAAGAAGAAGAAGATGGCGGCAGGTCTGCTCTCGCTAATCGGAGGAGCCCGGCGGGCACTGGCCGGCAGCGCGCGGGCGTCGGAGCTGTTCCCGCAGACGCAGCCGGACGTCGACGGCGAGGCGTGCAAGCACGACTGCGACAGCTGCACTGTCAAGTACCCGCGGCACTTCAAGGTCGAGGAGTCGCACCCGCTGTACGGCAATATCAAGCCCTGGAGCACGCACGTCATCGTCGCGACTAGCAAGTCGGATTGGAAGAGGGATGTCGAGGATGAGAAGGGCAGTGTTATGGAGGCGTTTGGTCATGCTAGTAAGCCTGGTAATGGGGTAGGTTTTTTTTTCTTTCGTCATTTTACTGGGATTGGTGATATAGGGAATATGCTAATATAATCGCAGCGCCTGATGCTCTCTGCCTCTAACATGCCCACGTCGACGCACCAGGCCGACTACTCGCAACCAACATCCATCTTGGTTCTTCCCGCTTTCACCATCATCGACAATGTGACGCCCCCCGCCGTGCCTTCTCTCGTCAACAAGTACATCTCACGCGCGCCCACAACCACAGACCCTCTGGACCCGCTATCCCTCCCCAAAACCATCCCGTCGTCCCGCTCCGCCGTCGGCGACATGCACGCGCGCCCGTGCCCCCACCGCGCCGTCGTTCTCCTATGCTCGCACCGCACGCGCGACGCCCGTTGCGGTCAGAGCGCCCCGCTCATCAAGAAGGAGCTTGAGCGGCACTTGCGCCCGCTAGGCCTGGAGCGCGATCTCGACGACGAGAGGCCGGGTGGTGTGGGTATTTATTTCGTGAACCACGTCGGCGGCCACAAGTACTCAGCCAATGTCCTTATTTACCGCCGCCCAGACGCCTTCGGCCTCGATAAGGTAGATCGAGGAAAACTGCCCCCGGGCCAGGAGCCGCAGGTCAAGGTGGTGAAGCCGGTGCCTGCGGAGGATGGAGAGGAAGCTGGGGAGCCGGATGTAGGAGCTGGCCAGTGTATCTGGCTTGCGCGGGTGCGTCCTGAGGACTGCGAGAACTTGGTCCGGTATACGATTCTGCAGGGTAAGGTGGTCAAGCCGGACAAGCAACTGCGGGGTGGATTTGATCGGAGTACGGGGATGATAAGCTGGTAGATTCTTAGGGAACAGGTATCGGCATCCTAGACAGAACGTGAATTCGGCGCGGTTTCTAGAGCAGAAATGCGGGGGTTGCATACCCACCATCCAGCATCGCTATGAAGTATAGATAGATACTAGTTATGACTTATGTGGTGGGCCGGCGCGGCGGTTTCTTTTACATGTGTACCTTACACGCGGATCTTAGAGGGTCGGTGGAGTAATGGTCACGGTGATGATAATGGACGTAATAATGCGAGTTTATAGAGACGATAAAGCTGATGTTTCTGGTGTTGCTTTTTTACGTTGTGGTCTTATATATAAGATACTTTAATAATGAATAGACGGAATGAGATGAGATGAGATGAGATAGGAGACAATGGCCGGATGGGACAGACAAATCAGCTCAATAGAATGACTATCATATACCATCTACATTATTGTCTTCACATCAATTATTACCATCTGTGTTTAATATAATATTTAACATGCATATGGTAGACTTGAAGTTTATTAAATGGGCTTCTGATACCCGGCGTTTGGGTTTTGCGGTCTATAAATATTATCCACCTTGTAAGATTCCCTTCGCTCCGCTCACCTTTCTAAGATACCTATCGTTCCCGGCTTAATTATTGTGTTAGCCTCTTAGGTTTCTCGGCCAAGCACCTCTCCGACTCTACTGACTTACCGGGGTTGGTTTAATAGCTGTGTATCCGCAGTTGCAAGAAAGTTTACCATTACTCCCAAGCTGGGAGGAAGTTCCGCCAAGGGCATAAGGACGAAGACACGGCTTTGAGGTTGCTATTTGGCGAATAATATCTACTGCTGTTGAATATCAGTACTTACACGTACACATACCCCTTGGTAGTTGTTGTCTTCTTTAGGGTCACGCATATATACCTCAGAGGAAAGAAGCAGCGTTTAATCGTGATTTTATATGGTTTTACTATTAAGCCTATGATTCAACTCTATTTCTCACCCGGCCGCACGTGCTGGATGAGTTGTGCTAGATACAGGAACTAGAACATGTACTTCAATAGGTCCTGGAAAACTTTAGAGGGCGCAGCTCATCCCAAAGTTATCCTTGACCATCAACCCAAAGTCTAACCCAATCAGGCATATGTGGATCATTTTACACCATAATAGTACTAGCGCACCCAAAACTCAACTACCATTTCATTAATTTTTATCTTTTATTTAAAATAAAATAAAAATTAATAAATAATCGATTAATAATTAATTATTAATTAATTACATTAAATTTATTTTTATTTTATTTTATTTTATTTTAAATAAAAGATAAAAATTAGGTAAGCGCACACTTAATCAATTTGTTGGGATAACGGTCATGTGACCTCGTCACATGACCAGGGTTATGCCCACACACACCGCCCACGCACAGCCCACGCATCTGTACAATAGATATCTTTCCCCACTCGGGGGAACCCCTCCTCTCTTACCTTAGAACAACCAATTAGAACACAATCGTTATTTGCATTCCTTTCATATTATTACGTAATACACAGTCAATCCAACACAATTCTTAATCGATTAGGAATTGATTAAATAAAATGCGCTATAATACAAGGAATTTAGTGGTTATAATGCGCTGTACTTATAAGGCATTTAACCTTATTCTAGCGATTAAAAACGCTAAAAACTCACTTTAAAGTCGTATAAAGCTCACTTTAAAGCAGACCCCATCAAATACAACCAATTAGAATGTTGGATCCAAGGTCCCAGCTTTTGCCAAATCGGGTTAAACTTTGGGCTGACTTTTAAGGGTGACTTTAAGGTAAGGTGTTGTCACACAACTAATACGTACTAAATAGGCGTTATATGAGGTTTAATTCATCATATTTCTGATGATTTGATTGATTGAGGTAAAATCGTGGGAACGCATGTTACACCGCTATTTTACATGGGACTTGGGATTTTCAGGTCACCTGACATGGCTCACTAATTTAACAGGTGTAAACTTCATTTTCAATGCTTAAATGCCCGAGTTTACAAGGGATATTGTTTTGCTAACCTCGATTTCTTCTTTGGGAATCCCTTTTTAGAAAATTTCAACTCGAAAAAGGAAGTTTGTCTATGCGCATTTTAAGCGGTTTTATTAAATATATCATTAGAAAAGTTAAGAATAAACAAGGTTTTTACGTGTTTTTTTAAGTTTTCACTTTTATTTTATTTTTAAAATACGTATTTTTAAGCCTAGGTTTGAATTTCACACATTTCTCCCTTTTATATATATATATATATATTTTAAAAAAAGTCGATTTAAAGTTAATATTTAAGTTTAAGGTTTCCAGCCGCTACTACCGGGGAAAGACACTCGGCGCGCAGCGTGCCGAGTGTTTTTCCCCGGTAGTAGCGGTACGTAATTAACTTAAAATATGATCTTTATAAATTTGGGCTATTGTAGTACACTGCAGGGGTGCCCTCATGTTTGCATATATGCGAATAAGCTACCGATTTGCACGTCTTCCAAAGAGATTCTGTGGCTCGTTTTTATTGGTCTTTTGTTTAATACCGAATCGAAATCTTACCGTCTCCTCGTTCCCCCCCCTGATTATTAGTATCGAGATGGTCTTTATAAAGGTCCCTAAAAAGTCGTTTTAACCATAATTACAGCCTTGACTCTTTCTTCTTGACAATGCATTAGAAATATCCTATTCAAGTTATATTGAAGAGACCTAGTTTTAATTTTCAGGGGCACTCAGTTATTACCATTTAAGATAACCTTGCGAACTGCGCCACCCACTCATTTGGTCTCAAGTCTTACTACCTATTATATCAAGCTTTCTACTGCCTCCGTTACTAGGGCTCAGCTTTATCGTTTCCTCATTCTACCCTAGCTTATCAACATATTAGTTAAACCCCCTATCGTCGTAGCTATTTTTATCGATGATAGGCTCCGAGTTGACGCATATGGCCCTAAGATTCATGCACCATCTTGGCGCCTTTACGAATAAGGACGAACAAGCCATAGGTCCTTTAGTCGGAAATGGCACCTCTAATGCAGAAGTTGACGACCGTGGCGAAATAGCGGACCGCATCGAGTGCCTTCCAGTTCAGAGTGATGAACATGGTCCCCGAGCTGTTGTTTTCAAGTATTTACACAACTTTGACGAAGCGTCTCTGGGCATGAACCTTAGAAAGGTCAGTCCGGATGCTGATGTTCAGAATGGAGGTCCTTTTAGCGGTACGTATTTTAAACTGGTTTAAACTGGGATTTCACCTCCTTTTCATTACTGATGTCGTTAAGGGATCGTGAGAGTGGTTGCGGTATTTCAAATACCCACAGGTGAATGGTGGCAGACCACCGGATCTGGAGTTATCATTGACGATCATCATGTTATGACCGTTGGCCACAACATCTGGTCCTCCCAAGGTGGTCTTGCCTTGTCTATTAGTATCCATCGAGATGGGCGCGCGGACCATAACGACTCAGACAAGCGCTGCGTGGAAGCCGGGGCTGTCCATTACCGGTGGGCTCAAGCATGTGCGAAGGCAAATGGACCTGAATACGACAGAACATATTGGATAAACGACTTTGCTATTCTTCGTGTTTCGAAGCCCTTCCCTAAAGGAACCCAGCCGATGGAATACCGGAAGACACCGACAAAGACCACCAGCGCCAAAATTTACGGCTTTCCTACTGATATGCCTAAAGACACGAAAGGGAAGTGGCTGGCTTATCTTTGCTACAGTCAAGGTAGAGTCACGTACGTACCTACTAGTAGTCTGCTCGACCATGATGGGGACACAGAACCTGGTATGTACAATTAGTACGTTTATGGAAGATACTAATATGTTTAATTGAGTTTTATGACCTCTTATTCATCTGAAGTTTTGGTGGTTTACTAACGGCTTCAACTTGTAGGTAGCTCTGGCGGCCCTGTCGTTGATTCTTCCGGAAGGGTGATTGCTTTGCATCGAGGATGCGACTGGGTGGTGGTCCCATATCATCATCCTCTAATTAACAAAGCAGTCGCCCTCCTTACCAAGGGAAACGACCCTGAGAAGTTCATCCAGGCGATCAATTTTCCAGCTGGAAAAGGGCCGACGAAAGGACAAGAAGTAAGAAAGGGCAATGTGTTCAGGGTTGGAGACTGCGTCGCAACTTATTATGATTGGAATTGAACCGGAGAGCCAAGATGACGGCGGAGTATGGTTTGTTAAAATAGGGACAGCGGCTATGAATGAGACGACGAACTTAACGATACAGGACGAACAGGTGTTTAAGGATCGGTTAGAACTTGAAAAGGTCAGGCGGATATGGGTATATCTAGGACACATGTATTTAGCGATTTATCATGCAATTAGATCTACATAGGTACTCTAGAAAAAGGGGATTAGCCCCTAATAAGTAAGTGAAAGCTTATACAATGTTGCTCGCGATGTATATAAGTTTGCAAGACTGACGATTTGGAGGACAAGCTAATTGTATGTCAGACTAACGATCCCCAACCTTTGCTTTTACGAAACGCCGAATTTATGGTAAATATATTGTGATTTATATGTGGATTAGCTAGACCCGCTGGTATATACAGGATATCACAGGTGGTTATATACAGACCCGAAATTTATATATACGACGAAACTCTCACCTCTCCTTAACCCTGGTAATTAAGCACCTTAATACCCTCGCTATAATCACCCTCAGGAAACTTGATCTTGCCGATGTACATGCGGCGCTTGGTATCCTTGGGGTTACCCGGCTTGTCCCGGCCGTGGAACGCGATCGTCTTCCCGTCCGAAGCGATGTCCATGTGGCCCGGGCCGTAGATCGGCTGGTTGGGGCCGGAGCGGGCGAGCGTCTTCCGGTGTACGAAGTCTCCGTCGGGTTTGGTGGCCCACGCGTACTGGATGTCGTAGCTGTCGCTGCTGTAGCAGTGCGTGCTGAAGAAGAGGACCTGTTTATCATACCAGATCAGAAGGTGAACCCACAGGTAATATATAAGCAATGCGGACAGGGGGGAGATGGTGTTTTGTTCAGTTGAAAAAAGGGGGAGGACACTCACATAAGACCCCGGCTTACGCTTATACATAGCCGGTACTTGCCGTCGTCGAACTGCACCGGGTCGATGATCCCGCCGCCCGCGTCGTCGCAGATTAGGGGTTGCGAAGTCACTCTGAACGGGCCCTGCGCGTGGTCCGCCGTTGCGACGCCTGCGCAGCGACGGCCGCCGTTTCGTTGGCCGGAGACTGGCGTTCATCATTAGTTTCTAGACCCCCCCCCCCTTATATATGAAGGGGTATAGTATAGAGCTACTTACAGTACATGACGTACTTCCCATTGTCGTTCTTGAACACGCTCGGGGCCCAGATACCCTTGTTCTTGGGGTCGATCCAAGACCCGACGTCGGGCATGGCGTCCATCGTGGTCCAGGTCCACTTGTTGCCGTCGTTGGAGACGGCCATCGGTATGTGTCCGTTGTTATCGCTTGATGTCGCGTACGCCCACCATATATTGCCGTCGATGAGTAGCGTCGGGTCCGGGAAGCTGATGTCAATGACTGGGCCGTTCCACGGACCCTTACCACGGGAGACGAGGTCGTTGGTTTCGAATTCGGAGAGCGTTATGTTTTCGAGTTCGATGGACTAGGATGGGGTTAGTGGTGGAGCTTATGTAGACGATGTATGTGCCGGGGTATTTAAGGGATGGGTAGCTTGGAGGACGGTCATTACCCGTAAGAATAGGTAGATAATTGTCCAGTATAATACAACTAGGAAGCTTCACTTACACCAAAACCAGGCTGAGGAAGAGCCGCCACGAGGCCGGCGACCATGGCGTACAAAATGCTCTGCTTCATGATAGAATATCAAGCTTAATAACAAGCTAATCAACAACAGAATAATCCGTCTCCCGGGGGCAACCACAATTCTTAAATACCCCTAATCGAACACGACGAAGCGCCCCCATCTCATGTAGCGCTCCAGCACGCCAGCTAATCGAGCCAGCCAAGCCCAAGCAAACAACTCCCACTATCCACCTAATACCTACCGTGCTGCTATTCCCAGACACGCCGGGGACTCCTCTACATACTCGCATCACAATATTCGATTCCAAAGTTGTTGCCTAAAAACTGGCGCCTCTACCGCGGTATTTTGTTTCTGCTCCTCTCCCAGAAACACGCCGCCAGCTAGGAAAGCCCGGCTTACTATTCCTGTCCGAGCCGTCCTTCGCCAATGCTGCTAGGCCCCATCCCACGTTTTCGGGCAGGTAGTTTGGCTCGGCATCTTACTTTATTTACATACCTAGGCACATATACTACACATATACTACAAATGTATCCAACGTAGGGGGGGCATCGCGGCACCGCCCCATGCGAAGGATTGGCGTGTCCCCCTTCTCTTTAAGCTTGTATTGTTTATATATAAAATAAAACCTCGCTAGCCCTGATATATATACTGCTGTAAGCCGGCTGCAGTAGTAGTTATCTCACTCCGTCGACTCAAGGCGCTCCAGCTTCCGGATTGAATACGCGTATAACTTCATCCCCTCATTTGGAATCTTGAACTTCCGGTGGGTTTGCCTTACATTTGCTAATCAGGTGACTTATAGAATAGCCATTCTAGCGTTTTAAAAGAAGAGTTGTCTTCGTTTATGCCAATCGCGAATATAATTGATCATTTGCCTTGTTTGTAAGTATACTGGAGTCGGTATACTATGTAAAATACTATTCGGGTGTCGAGATTAAGTTTAATGTGTATGTGTGTGTGTGTGTGTGCATAACATGAAACATACGAGTCTAAAATTAGATTCGGACCGAGCCGGAAATGGAAGATGGATCGGAATAATCGGGAATCGGGAATCGGGAATCGGGAATCGGGAATCGGGAATCGGGAATCGGGAACAACTCAACTCAAACACTCTTCCGCTGAATAGGGAAATTACTTCTTTCATGACACGTGCAACTTTAATTCGATATCTCCGTCTGACTGCGTCAAGTCATACTTCTTAATAACTATACTTCTTAATATCTTCTAAAACACCATTTCAAAATCTAACTAAGTCGAAAGTAACAGATTACCGCAAACCCTCATGTCGAGAGCGGTAGCAGGATGTGCAAGTAACATGCAGAATATGCAAGTTATTGCCACAGAGATTCATACCGAGAACAGTACCAAGAGAGATTTGACCCCGAATTGATTCTTCAAATGCGCAAATCGTTGACCTTGACTGGAATTTGGCATTTCAGTCTACAGAATGGCATCGGGCTGATAGGATATTCGTTGGCTATGCGTCGCCGAGACCGAGCAACACAAGGTTCGCCACGTTCATGGACACCATTATAAGCCAGATGATGCCGGCGAGCACGGAGATATACCAAGGATTAGCCATCATGGCGGGGCTATCTCCATTTACAGGACCATTTGCAGGACCGAGCTCACCCTCGCTAGCGCTGATATTAAGGGTATTGCCGTTGATGATGAACGTGTCTTTTCCTTCAGTCTTGTATCTGGCATGTCCCGGCTGAGCTGTCATGTACTTGTTGAAACAAGTAAACCAGATAAGCGGCGCGGTGACGAACGGCAAGACGACGCTCAGCGCGACTTGACTTCCATTAAGAGCGGCATTGAGTTTCTCCCGCCCTGCGGCGCCGGCGATGATGATACTCGGCGTGATAGAGATGGATCGCGTGACGAGACGTCGAAGCCATGGCTTCATCTTCCAGTTCAACGCACCCTCGCATATCATTTGCCCAGAGATTGTGCACACGATACCCGCCGAAATACCAGAGAACAGTAGCGCGAGAGCAAAGATCGTTCCTGCACCCGGGCTGATACTTTGCACGAGTAGATCATGAATTCCGAAAATGTCAGCCTCCAGAGCATCAGGGTTTTGGTAAAGACTGGCTCCTGCCACGATAAGAATAGCGCTATTCACGAAGAGGGCGAACGTGAAGAGGGAAATGGACACTTCGGCATACGAGTATTTCAGCGAGTGTTTAATGGCTGAAAGACTAGGAACATAGTATGTTTTCTCTCCGATCTTATCATCCATGGTGCTGTCAGCAGCAGATGGTGGTCCGGGAGGAAGTAGACCACGCTTAGTATCATAGTCTTTGAGGCGACTCTGTACTATGCCAGAACCTAGATATAACGAGTGAGGCATTACCTATCGCATTGTTAGCAGCTGCACTTAAGGACACAATTGAGAAATTGGATGAGTAGATCAGAAGAATTTGCCATAGTGCCGTATAAGGTAGAGAGGGGGACATAGAGGCGTAACAAGGGATTATAAGAAGATATACATACAGTAGCACCTAGAATACCGCAGGCTTGGAACAAACCCGAAGATTGTGTTATAGAATCATTCGGTACGTAGCCTAGGAAGACTTCACCAACGGATGTATCCTCTATAAGCGAGAGCTGAATGCAGAAGCAGACAACAACGGCCAGGACGAGGAGCATCACAAAACATTCGAACATTCGAAGTCCTCTAATAGAATCATTGGGCTTATAGAAGAAGAGAATGACCATTACGTCTAAGATAGATAGAGCGCAACCAGCAACGAGGGGTAGCTTGGGTATGAGCAAGTTCAACCCAATGGCGGTACCAATAACCTGTTACTTGTTAGCCATCTCGTAATATACCCCTTAGTAGTATGCCACTCACTTCAGCGATGTCCGTTGCGATAATAGCAGCTTCGGCCAAGAAATACATGAAATAATTAAGCCATCTAGGTAAGAAAGCCCGGCAAGCTTCAGCCAGGTTGAGTCCCGTGACGGTTCCCAGCTTGATAGAGAGGCATTGCAAGAAGATGGCGAAAAGATTGCTCATCAGAATAATAAAAAGCAGACGAAATTGATTTTCAGCGCCTGCACTGATGTCGGTGGAATAGTTCCCAGGGTCGACTAGGGATTGGTCTAAGTCAGCAAATGGGTACCTATATGTAAGTGCATAGTCGAGGATGAACAACAAAATATCGACATACTATACGCTACAGCGACCAGGAAACCAGGTCCGACAAACTTGCCAAAGGTGACGACGGTTTGACACACGCGCTGCAGGAAAGACTGCTTCCGCGATGCGATCGATCCGCCGTCGTTGCCCTGGTTGGTTGCCCTGCCAGGTATCCGACCAATCGTACGAGGCGCAATGGTCAGATCAGGTGGGTTACCATCAGGGTCGTCCTCGACGGCAGGGGGCACGCGATCGGCCACGGGCTGTCCAGAGTCGTCCATACTCCTCGAGTTGTCGCCTCTGTGCTCTCTGGCATTTGCTATGCCGTTGAGGTCCTGGTTTGTGACGAGGTCGTTCGAGAAAGCGTTCGGGCTCTGGTTGAGCCCTTCGCCCTCGTACGGCTCGTCCGTCCGCGATGTCTGGTTCATGGTGGTCAAACCGAACCACTGCTCGCTAGGGCCCCCGTAAAAAAGGGGACCGCAAAGAACTTTCTCGCAAGCGCCTTGATATGTATCTTTCCCTTTTTTTTTCCTTTCTATTTTCTCCTTAGTCCATAACCACGTTTTTTATCAGTTCTTTTTATTTTGGCAAGAAAGGTTTCTTGTCGAAAGAACACAAAGAATTGAATATGAGGTATGTATCGTCTGTGAGTCTAGTAGGAGAGGATGATGATAATATGTGTAAATCTTTACTATGGGACGGGTGTTAACGGTATCGGAAGAAAGAAACCTAAAAAAGGATCCAAGTTAAGTACTTAGGTAATTATACAAACTGATTCGTTGACGATTCGTTGCTTCTATGTATTTGATCTGTTTGACTAAGAACGCACGGCAGGGGGTCGTTCTCCACTGAATGTTACCTATACCCCGGAATTTAGCGTAAGAGTTACATATGTATTGTACAGCAGTTGCAAACTAAGAAAAAGTATGGAAGCTGTGGGCTCATACTCACATCTTTTTGCCTTGTACTCATGTCTTGAGGTTAGTCACTTTTAATCCAAGCTCTGGCCCGGGATGGTGTATCATTGATATAAACTCATCACGATTTCTTCCGTATCACGGTCTGATCCCGGCACCCTTCAACCCGAGACCGTCCCGGTCCATATACATATGTGGTCCCTCTTCGGCAAATGTTGTAAAATGATACGGATTCAATATCTGATATAAGATTCACCCCTTTCTCCCGGAGTGACGACCGTTATGCTCAATCGGACCTTTGTTCCCCGGTTCGCCTTTATTTGAACTTCCTAGCATGTGCACATACATGTGTGGAGGCTGGAAGGGAAAATATGAGAGCCGGTTGGTTCTTGGCATTGAATCTCAATACTCGGATTGGAAGAAATTCATAGAAAAAAGGCTTTGTGGTTGAGTAAAATCATATATCACAAGTCATATTGTGGCATTAGCCAGTTGGAAGGCATATAGGACATGCAAGCAACTTCAACCTAATTATTACAGAGCTCTTCTAGATTGCTCTCGCCTAATACAGTCTCTTCGTAATTAATTAATTCTACTTCTGCTTAACCCATCTAGCTTGTGCTCCCTTCTCCAACGCCGTATCCGCCATGCAAACGCCTCTAGATGTGTTGCTGAATACGCCGTCGTGCCAATCTCCCATGCTCATAGTACGTACCTTAGCATAATAGGGACTAATAGGGACCATCCCGGTTCATATCCTGCCACCCGTTGGCCCACCTTGTAGCCGGTATCCGGTTTCGGGCGAGTCTCGGTAAATGTCGGTGCGGCTATGCATACTGAGTGCTTTTCGAGCCAGTCACGAATCATTGCGACTTCTTGCTGCCCGTCCCCACCGCAGCACGGTCTCTTTCCCTCTTCGCATATATCCCAGCCGTGAACGGGTTTTCGTATTTCAAAGCGATCTGGTAGACAACGAAAACCCAAGCCGTCAGTAGAATTCCAGCTGGCTTACCGTACAATAGCGCTGTGCCAAGGAAGCTGCACGTCGAGCCGTTATACATGGGTGCGTCTGTGATGTTGAAGGGGAAGCCCGTGATGATGTCATCCATCAATATTCCGAAGTAATCTCCTAAGAACGTGCCCGTAATACCTAACGCCCAGGTCGAGGATATAACCAGGACATTTCCGACAGCAAGCAGCCCGTATGCTAGATATTTCACCTCATCCAGCTCGAGTAAAGGGTAGGAGGGTTGATGGCGCAGGGCACGCTCGTATAAGAAGTCGCGCACCAGACCAAGGGAGAAGATCGTGAGAGCTAACCCATAGCAGGCAGCTTGCGAACGTCCGCCGAAAAGCTTGGTGAGTGTCTTGTTATGGTACTCTATTTAAACGTTAGTCATAGTAGGTGAAGTAAGGAGGCAAGTATTGAAACCGGGACGGACTGACCTCGTCGAGCTACGATGCTATAGTTCCTGTTAGCATATCCACCCTCTAGGTTAAAGCTCTACATACAGCTACGTGTCTAATGGGGTGGATGTTTCAAATCTGCGACTTACTTCCAGAATAGCGGGTTAAAAGCGATTGCAAAGGCAGAAACTACTCTTGTTAGCATAGTTATGTATCGTTTGCGACACTACTTTACTTTCAACATACGGTATAGGCTCTTCTGGTCCAGGTCGACTAGCTTGGTCACAGAGGGATCTAGGGGCGCCATAGCTGAAGCTCGTACCAGCTGCTGTTGATGTATAAAACAAAATAACAAAATAATATTTTATGATGTTAGAATAATATTATGAATTTATGATATCGTCTAAGTGGTGATGACGTTGGGGTTGGATAACTTTCAATACGTTTACGAAAGCAAGATGAACGTGGCCTGGGAAACTGGGTTTTGTGGTATTGGAATTATCGGAATTATTGGTGCCAAGTCTTTTTTTAAAGCTTTTTTTTCCCCTGGTCTTATAAAACAATGTACATATTTCATCCCGCTTTGCCCACAGCTTCGCCAGGTAAGACTACCTATGGTCAAACCCCGGAGCCCCTCTCGATAACTTAATCGATCCGATCGGAACGCACGTGCATCATTGGGCTTTGCGTTGTGGCCTTCCTCAACTTTACATTGTAACTTTATATTAAGTAGTACCATTTACTTCCATCAACCAGCAACTGACGACCGAGCTTAGGAGATGATACATGTATAGGTAGTTTATACTACTATCTAAGTACCTTATAGCAGTCCCGAGATTATTGCTTTGTATCTTCAGGCTTCACATTATAATCGACGTAATTCCCGTTTGATGAGAATATGCTGACGCCATAAGGCAGAGTCCAGCAGGTAAGAAAAGGTTATATTGAGACCTTTTTCTCATTCCATTTATGGATTGGACTACTACCAACCATCTCACCGGGTATCCGATAACTAAAAACTTCATCATACAAGCCTCCTCTCCATTCCTTTAGCTATCATCATCTTCGAGTCCTTGTCTTTTTGGTCGGTTGTGCCGTATCTTCTTCTTCTTCATCGGCACCTTTCTTTAAATCATCTTCCAAGCCCCATTCCTCTTTATCATACCAGTCCTCTCCATCCGACATATCACGGTTTGGTCCAACATGAGCCTCATACTTAGACCACTGTAAGACTGTCTTCCGCATCCTGTCTACCCGAAGGAGTCCTTCGTATAGTCGCTTTGCTCCGCGACATACTTCTTCCTGCTTCTGCACATATAGTTGCAACAGCCGTCGCATATCCTCTGCTTCTGCCTCTGGAATTCCGAGGTCTCTATCGGGCCGAGCTGATCGGGGATGTAAGAAGAGGGGGTGGATAGGTGTTTCCTCCGTGAAAACCGACATCACCGACACTGCCCGGCTACCTTCATTTTCAGCTTCCTCGCCGACCTGATTATGATGGACCGCCTTATCAACCTGTCCTTGTCCGGCCGATGCAGTGCTACCTGCCGCTAATCCACTTGTAGACTCTGTAGAGTGCGTTTCTTTGGTCCCGTTGATATTGATACCAGCAACGATATTTTGCTGGGTGTCGGCTGCGTTCACCCCCGTCTCCTTCTCTTTCGACTCGTTTAGTGCGCCGCCTAAAGCGTCACCCTCTATATTTTGCTTCTGCCCTTCAGCATTGACCTTGGCAATCTGCGTTGTTGTTGGCTCGGGTGCACTTGTATCGTCTGTAAGTGGTTCGGCGTCAATCATCGTAGTGTCATCATCAGGCTTTGCTCCGTTAGGTATTGCCTCGGCGGGTCCTGCAGAAACGTCTTCATTCCCCGTGGCCGCACTGTTTTTGTTGGTCTTCGTTCGTGTGTCTTCTAATGGGCGCATGTTAGTGTCTGACTTCACAGACCCTTGTGCTTGACTATTTGAATCCATATAGTCGTCACGATACAGTTCGATATCGTTGGGACCAAGCATTATGTCGCAGGGGGCCCAGATATGATCTCCCACTAGCTTTGTCTGTAAGTGTTTAACCTTCCAAAGCGCGGCGTTCTCCTTGTGCATGATATTACAGGCTTGCTTCGTTAAGTCTGTGAGTGTTTTTGTACTATAAGGTCGCGATAAGGTAGGGTGTGTAGGAAGATCGGTAACAGAGGTAAGAGGCGCGAGGATGTCTGCAAAAGATCGACTATTAGCAACTGTAGATGGATTGGGCTGCGTGTGGTAACCAACTTTCGAGTCGCACGTTGGCGTACGGATTGAACTCGGCTGCTGCGTCGGCAACATCTTGGATATATTCTTGATCGTCATCGCTATCGATTTCGTAACCTTCGTCGTCAATAAGAACCGGGTTTCGACTAATGATCGCTCTTTGATAACCAGCGTGGTTAACGATCTATGGAGTCAACTTCGGTTAGATACTATCCACCGCGAATCATCTCAAAAACTATGGCACACTGACCTCCTTATATACTTCAGGCCCCGAGGGTGGTGCCAACTGTCCCTCGTGGACAAACCTAGCCCTCTTCATTAATTTGTGCCCCCGATTACCATGGCAGTGTATTTCAGAATCGGAATCGGATTCTACCAGACCAGTACGTCAGCGACTAACACGCAGCATTTCTGCGAAGGAGCTCACCATATGCCTTGCGCTTTCGTGCCTTCTTCATTGCCGCAATGGTTTCAGAGAAGAGAACTTGTTGGGAAGTCATTGCGATCGTAAACTTTTATAGTCGGCTACAATGCGTAAGAGCTAAGTATGTTCCCGCAATGACCCAGCGCCACCGGCTTTAGTAGCCTTGATAAATAAAATAGCGGCAACGTCGAGCTATTAATGATAGAATGATGTATAAGCTTGCCTCCTGTGACAATATTTTTGGCACAAAGGGTAGGATGGCGTGTCTGTCGGTCGCAGGATCGAAATTGCAAGATAGGTAGAGGCGTATCGAAAATGGAATGCTGAGATGGTTGAATTAAACAGGTCCTAGGAGTATTATGAGGATGTATGATGTGGGTGAATCGTTAGGTGTTGTAGTTGACCTCCCTAAACAATATAATGTCGAAATGTGTTGCGACTGCGGGAAATTGTAAAAAAGCTGCGGAAGAAGACTTCAGTTTCGTAACGACACGACTAGAGCTGGGACAAGGCTGTTGCCCGCAGTGCGCGCATGGGTTCACCAATCAAGATAACGGTGTTCCCTGACATGTACGAAGTACATAACCTAGATACATATTGTGTACATATGTAATGTACCTACCGCGCTGCAGCGCTATGCAAGCTAAAATGGAAAAGATGGTCAAACCTTACAAGGCCAGCTCGGTAAGAATTGGTTGGTGACGGTATTAGGTGTATTAGGTAAGGAAATCGGCACAAGTAAGCCACCAGGGTCCGACTATTTAAGTGGTCCCACCTTAAATGTAATATGTATGGTAGCTCGAGTGTGAGGTCACTGAAGCTTTGAATTCAATACCTACCTATATAATATATGCGACAATGGGCTACGATATTGACCTGCACATTTGAATCGCCTAAATATAACCGAGATCCGTGGTATTGCATACCCATAGAATAATGATCTGAGCCGACTAACCAGAAACCCACATTGAACCGATCGTACTCTGGTATGACATTTCCTGATCCGTTCGTATAAACGAACACCAATGTCTTTCGAGCCCCTCTCCTACTAGACCAATGGACGACTTTCCAGCGGGTAGCCTGGACCATAATGTCCCATTCCTCGTTGTCTCCGGCCTAGGCAGTGCTTCTCCTACTACAAAGTCTTCTCTGGCCGATCCCAGCTTAAGGGAACAGGGCATTCTCGTTCGATCAGAGCTACCCCCTATAGAGAGCCGGGAGGCAAAGATCATCCTTCGCTGTATCCAAGATAAAGACGCCACTGGCCTACCATGGAACTCGAGAGACACGTCGAGGAAATACAAGTTTAAGATTGACACTGTTGGGAGGGTATGTCTACGCCCCGTAGGGTTATTGGTTATTCCTACGGCATGTTGGCTGGTTATAAGAGACGAATCTGACTTCGACTCTTAGGAATTCCTGCTGCCGCCTCGCCGTGCACGCCTTCCTGATAAATTCGAGGAGCCTTTATCACCACTTGTTTTACATTCTCCATTTTCACCGCTCAGCGCGGGTTCTAGCCTGTACCCAGATGGCTTAATAGATACGCAGTGGCTTCGAAAACACCAAGATCTCATACCCAGTGTGTTTTTAGCTTTTTACAGCTTAACCTCAGATCCTACCCTTGCGACCTTACACGACAACCAGCTCAAGGCAGACATAAATGCTGTCAAGAATGCTATTGGGCAATCTGGTTACAAGTGTCGCTTCGTTGCGGTTATCCTTAGCGACCAGTCGCCAAGTTCCGTAGGCCAGTTTGAAGGAAGACTAGAGAATATTAGGAGGAGCACAGGGTTGGACCCAAAAACCTCGCTTTTCGTCTTGCCTACCCAGCGTACTGCAGTAGAGCTGGAAAACGCAGTCGATAACGTACTACTGACTGCGGTATTCGACCAAGCGATCGAGTATTATCGCGATCTTGGTAGACATTCTCGCAAAAAGAGAGGAAGGGGAATTGCGCCGAAGCCGACTATTCCTCCTACTACCGGTACTTCTCATACGTTGTCACTTCAGGGTTGGAACGTGCGTTATGATTTTAAAACTGCCGTCTTCGCTGAGTTCCGTCAAGAAATAGATGTTGCTTTGCGTTCCTATGAGCAAGCATATGATACTCTTCTCGGTGTCGATGTTCTCGAAACCATTCCTGGATGGAATCCTAGGTTCAACGATGCTCGGCTCTTAGCTGATATAATAGCTATCCGAGTTTTGAAATGTTTACTATGGGCCGGACAAAGTACTGCCGCCGTTAGGAGGTGGCAAGCGCATCACGATAGAATACTTGATTTGGTCGATCGAAGGGGTCGGGGGACACAAAACTATGGGTGGAAAACTTGGCAAGCGAGATGGAATACGGTCATGGCCAATCTGATCGAAAGAGCTCAGTTCCCTGAGTTAGAACCGTCCAGCACCCTACCCTACCGCCCTCCCGAAAAGAGCCTGTCGGCAGAGCGTTTACACCCATGGGAGCTTCTTCACCATCAGGGTTACTGGTACCGGGTAGCCGCACGGCACCTTTCCTATAGACGAAAGTTGGCGTGGTCTATACCCGAAGAGGACCGCAAGCCGCCAGATGCGTCTTCGCCGTCGCAGTCGAACAAGACCTACAGCTATGACACATACATGTGCCCGGAACCTCACGAGGAGTTTCCTTTAGAAGGAACGGGTGTGGATCATAGCCAGCTGATCTTCAATCACTTAATGTTAGCACACAACGAATTCCAGAAGCGACATCAAATTCGGACATCGGCGGAGCTAGCGCTCGAGTGCTGTAAAGAATTAGAGAGAATGCAGGAGTGGAAAAAAATCTTGAAAATCCTGACGCCTCTGTGGAGAGACATGTCTTACCGGGCAGAGGGTTGGTGGGATATCATGGAGGCTTTCAGTTGGACTCTAAGGGGTGCAGCGGTAGAAGTCGGTCATCAAAACCTCATTGTTGCTATTGACTGGGAACTCTTAAACAAGGGTGAGTAGCACTAACTACAGAAGCTAGCAGCATGGAAGTTAACGTCTAGTATAGGTTTCTCCAGACGGCCGGGTTGGCATTACGATATAACAAAGTCTTTGGATGGCGTATCTACGGAGAACCAGCCTGTTATAGAAATCGGCGACGAGCATGTAACATCATTTCTACATGCTTCATTCATTTTCAAAAATGATGAGGGGAAGGCTGGCCAGAGTTGCCCAACCCAACTTTCAATTACGTCCAACACCTTCCCCGACGCTGCACCGGTAGTATTGGAGAGGATTCGAATTGAATTCGACGGCAGCTTACATACAATATACTTGAGTCACAAAGCTAGCGATAATCAGGCATCTCCATCTTCAAAGCCACGAGTTTCGAAAGTAGCTTTAGTCGAGACAGAGAGCAGTGATGACGACGATTCTGACGATGATTCTGAATCGAACGCCGAGACAACCCCTACAGTTCTACTGGAGGGAACGGACGATTTAACATTATTGCCGGGTCGAACACGGGTTTTTGAAATGGACGTCCCATTACGAGAACCAGGTGACGCCAGAGCGTCTTCGGTACAGGTTTCAGTAGCACCGGAATCTTTCACCCTCAGATATATGATAAGGCTCCGAGAAACTAACCAGGTTGGCCTGTGGTATTCGCAAACATCCGCGAGGAAGAAGATCACACGGACGAATCCCCACAAAATCAAAGTCCTCCCAAGGCCTCCGAAAATGGAGGTTAGACTTGTCAATATGCTCGAGCAGTATTATGCAAGCGAACATATCCCGCTCGAGTTGGAGATACTTAACGAAGAAGATGCAGATGCCAATACTAAATTGGATATAACCCTATATGGGCAAGATGTCCCTGGCTACGCAGTGCAGATTGAAGATGGCACAGAAAAAATTAGTAATGCTGGTGTGGAAGAAACGAGGCTTGACGGAATCTCAGTTGGGAGAATACCGAATTCTAAGTCTTCAAAGGCCACGATTACCATTGACCCGGTTGATGGACCCATAGTGCTTGAATTGATAGCAAGAGCACGATATCATCTTGTGTCGGATCCGGGGACACCGATCATCCAGCAAGCAACATACCACCTCAATATTGTTAACCCCTTCGAAGCAAGTTATGATCTATCTCCTCGGCTGCATTCTGAGTGGCCAAGCTATTTCAACCCTGAAGATATTCAAGACCCATCTGAGGGAGATGAAGTCGTCCGCAGACCTCGAGGACTAGCACAGAAATGGTCTCTCGCTACCCGGTACGCTTCGTTTGCACATGAAGATCTAGCTATACTAGGTCTAGACGTCAGCATTCTCTCTACACAAGGGAATGTAAGCTGTAAGGCGTCTAAGGGCCAACCGCCCGTGACAGATGGTGCGGTTATTAGTCCCAAAACGATCGAGGAAGCACAGTTTGAGCTCATCGCCCAGAAATTTGACCTGGATGACCGGTCACCGGCAACGGCAGATCTTGCTTTCATCATCAAGTGGCGCCGGCTCACGTCCTCGAAAGACACAGTAAACACTACAGTCCTACCACTTCCACGATTCTTCGTCACAGTCTCGGAACCGCGCGTCCTAGCCAGCGTATCTTACTACTCACCACCTAACCCATCCACCACCTCCTCTTCCAACCACCCACCTCAACTACTCTTCCTAGACATCACGATCGAGAACCCGTCGTCGCACTTCCTGACGTTCGGGCTAGTGATGGAGCCGAGCGACGAGTTCGCGTTCTCGGGCGCTAAGACCACGACGCTAAACGTGCTGCCCGTCGCGCGCAGGTCCGTGACTTATAGGTTGCTCCCGCTCGTCAGGGGCGCGTGGATACGACCGACGCTTGTGGTTAGAGATAAGTACTTCCAGAAGGTGTTGAAGATTATCCCGACGGAGGGCATGAAGAGCGATAGGGAAGGGGTATTGGTTTGGGTGCCGCCTGAGGAGGAGGTGGAAGGAGATGAAGATAGTAAGGGTGGGGGTGAGGGTGAGGATGAGGATGATGGCGAGGAGAGCGAGAGTGAAGAGGCGGAGGAGGGGGCTTAGAATGGATGGGTTTTTGTAGTAACGCCGGTAATTGGAATGAAGTACATGTGATTTTGTAGGTGTTGATCTAGAAGAATTGATATATCAGTGCTTGTAGCAGCTTGTAGCAGCTTGTCCTAGAATTATAACCGTTCACATTGTGCATGCTGGAATGTCATCTTATTAAGACAAGCTCTCTAATCCGTTGATTATATCAGATTTATCCCGATAGCAGCACCCAATTATACATGGCAACCTATGGGGTGGACGGTAGCACCTTTCAACGGCGAATTTCGGACTCGCTTGACTCGATATTCAGCTTAAAACATTCCGATACGGCCGTAGGATTTACCGGATTCAAAATTAGACCGCTAGTCCGAAGCTTTATTTATATAGAGGTCATCTAGGCTGCTAGGTAGCTAAAAACACGTACGTTAGCTGACACGATTTGCCTGAATAGGTGACGCGCCGGAGATGCGCCACTCTGCGTTAAGGATTAAGTCCAACCTTACATTAACTCCGGGCGAGCTGAAAAGATCGAATTTTCATATGAAAGGCGATGCTGAGTGAGAAGTTACATAACTACAATTCTTAAATCCCATATAGATATCTGACGGCTCTGACCTCCTGGTCTTTCTTCTACCATTTTCGCCATCCCATGATTTTCTTTTCCCGAGTTCTCTCTAGAAGAGGACCTGCGATATCCCCGACACGATTCCCCAAGATGGCCTCGGCAGGCGGCGCTACTGTCGCCTTCTCAATGGCAACGTATTATAGTAACGTCACTTTGCGCCCGCCGCAACCAACCGAAGCGCAAGAATTCGACTCTAAAGCTCACCATGTTAAAAATCGGCATGGAGAGACTGTTAAATTCCGGAACCCGCATCCATCATTCTCTTTCCCTGGCCAGCTGCAAATACTAGAGATGACAGTGTGCGTTTCCAAGCGATTATGTTATTACCGTAGTCTTTGTCTTGGCTGACTTTAGGAGTATATAGAAAAGCGCTTACTGGTACATTAAATTGGCCCAAGCCGAGCACTGAAGATAAACTTGTACAAGTGATAAAACCAGAATTTCTACCAACGCGCACGTCGTCTTCAAAGCTCCGCGCCACTTGGCTGGGCCACTCTTGCTATTACGTAGAGTACCCGTCAGGGCTGCGCGTACTATTTGACCCCGTCTTCGAAGACTGCTGCACACCTGTCAACCTTTCTAGGTTTAAGAGGTATACCGAGCCACCATGCAGCATTGCCGACTTGCCTTTCGTCGATGCCGTTGTCATTAGCCATAGTCACTACGACCACTTATCATACCCGTCCGCCAAAGAGATCCAGCAACATCATCCCAATGCGCACTTCTTCGTCGGGCTAGGGTTGGAGAAATGGTTCAAGGCGGGTGGGTTTAATAATGTGACGGAGTTGGATTGGTGGCAGGAGGCAGAAATAACATTGACGCCGCAATCTGGGAAGGGCGAGGCGGAGACGAAGAGCGCGAGTAGTTTGGATCTGCCAGGGCCAATTAGTGCGAAGATATCCTGTCTTCCCTGTCAACACGCCTCCGGCAGAGGCATCCTGGATCAAAACAGCACGCTATGGGCATCATGGGCCGTTACCTCAGGCGAACCGGCCAAATCCGTCTGGTTCGGCGGCGACACCGGCTATCGCGCCGTACCAAAGGTGCCCGAAGGCGTAGACGACTACGGCCCAGAGTACCAACACCTACCCGTGTGTCCCCAATTCCGACAGATCGGCGCGAAATTCGGCTCCTTCGACCTCGGCCTCATCCCCATCGGCGCGTACCATCCGCGATATCTGTTCTCGGGCGTGCACGCCAACCCATACGACGCGGTGGAGATCTTCACCGATACCAAGTGCAAGCGAGCGATGGCGGTCCATTGGGGCACTTGGGTGCTGACGGCCGAGCCGGTGCTGGAGCCCCCGCAGCTGCTGAAGGAGGCGTTGAAGCGGAAGGGATTGGCGGAGACGGGGGTCTTTGATACGTGTAGTATTGGTGAGAGTCGCGAGTTTTAAGATGCTTGGGTACTTATATACATAGTTGTCTTATTTCCCGACAAAGGGTTCTGGCGTGTTTTACTACATACATGTTTATACGATATTGTGTATGTGTAGGTAAAGGAAGTATAATATGGCGCTTGGAGTAATGGTAGCATAAATCAGGCTGGGGGAATAAAACCCTTTTGATGATATACGATTCTAGATATAATCTTCTCTCGAGATACACTAGGAATACGGTCGGAAAGGCCGGTACAGATTACATGCAAATGTTAGGTACACACACAATTAATCTACATGTAGGTACAATGTATGTGGTATGTACCTACCTAGGTTACATATATGTACAACATGCGGACAGTTGCTAGTAATTAGCAGAAGGCGCTAGTGACGGCATCGAGGTTGCACCAAACGGCTAACCTTAGCACCGGGCTGGGAATCAGCAGTTACCACCTGAGCGCTAGTCTGGCACTGCCACTGCCACGGCTGGTAACACACATAGATAAATAAATCTTCCCAACGGAATTCGACAAACCAATGAAAGACGAGCGTGTGGTTCACCTTTTCCCGTCTTAACTTGTGAATTGCAAACGCAAGAGTCATTCGCACAGCCAACACATAAGTCAGCCGCCAACGTATCTCTTTACAACCATTTATAATGCATCAACGACAGGCCCGATCCTTCTGGTTGTATAGTTCCGGTCTCTCCCAATTTTTCCCGTTATAGGAATGTATCTATAGCCTGACTTGAGATCTCTTGGGTATTCATTTTGACGATAAGGACATACTGCGTTCTGGTATTTATTATGGGCGATCCCAGTAAGAAGTTATTGGTAAGTTTATGAAGTGTCCTTTTTCTTTGTTTTTCCTATTCCTAGTATTGGGCTTTGCGCATTGGTAAAAGTCTTTATGTTTCCGCGCCAAGTTATAAAGACCGAGCCAAATAACTCAAGAATCATACATCATAATATATATATATGATGGGCCAAAATACTATTTACGATGATACAACTTCACCAATAGTATCTCGTCATTTAACATCTACACCTAGTTTCAATATGGCTAACGGATGAATCAAGGACGAGCTCCGGTCTCTCTTGGATGAGACTACTATTCTGTCCATTTCCAGTGACTATAATTTAGAAGATCCTGAGGAATTTTCTGCTGCGCGACAAGTCCTGCTGACCATTTCTAAAGATGTGGAAGCAGAAGAAGCTACTGGCTTCAATCCAAGCGGTCTAGGTGTCGATGATATTGTAGATATCAATCCCTCCACCCAGGATGATGGCGCGGAAGTCGCTGGCGCAGCTAGTAGCGACATGAAGAGTGTTGACGGCTTTACTGTCACAACAGAGAGTTCCATACCCCCGAGTCTTGTATCCTCGGGGTCATCGAAAACGTCTACCCTTGAGAACTCCGGGCTTCTCCATGTAGACATCTTTGACGGCCTTACGGACAGTGAGAAGGAAGAACAGCTCATTCAGATATTCGTCTCCCTTAAGCCTATCGATGTGAAACTGTCTCTGCAGAAGTCCAAGGGTAATGCGAGCCTCGCTATTGACGAACTCCTCAACCTGCAATGGCTTGAGCAGACCGGTCAACGTCCTAAAGGGGTCGATGGCTTTTATGTATCTGATGATGACAACATTCCGAATAAGAGGAGGAGGAAGGGCAGAAAGAAGAAGAAAGTGGCTAAGGTGACGTTAGCCAAACATGCTGATTCGGAAAGTACATTTCAGGAAGCAAGCGACGGCGACACTGTACAGAGTGGTGAGAAGCTAAATACTCAAAAAGGATAACTAGTTCATCGAGCTCGTATCTAACTGATATCTACAGCGGAGCATATTGCGTTCATATCTGATAAGCTTAATCTGCCATCTTCAGAGGTAACAAGCATCTACCAACACCATAACGCCTCCCTTGGAGCTACTGTAATCAAAATTCTGGATAATTACATTATTATGGGTATATCTTCATCAGACCCCCATATGCTGTCTGACGTCCAGCGGGAGATGGGTAGATTTCCCTGGGTACCTCATGAGTATGTCAAAGCCACCTTCGAGGTCTGCTTAACGCAGAGCGATGCTATAAGCATTATTCGTATATTAGCGGACCACTTTGAGAAGCCGGCATACGTGAAATACGATGTATCGTACAGGGTGGTAGCGTCAGGCTCTGAGGAAATTGATATGCCCGAACCTACAAAAGCGTCGGATTCGAGGCAATCACCAAGATCTCCTACAGCTATCCGTTCGCCAACAGTTGATCTGCCCATGCGGGCTTCAACTCGTCCAGGGAATCTTCAAGCTGCCGCAGCTGCCTCAAAGACAATTGCCGAGTCAAGAAACCACTCATTCTCGTCAGCTGCGTCAGCCTTCAAGAAGGGCAAATCCGACCCTCTATTTAGACAAGCCGGCGCGTACTACGCTGAACGTGCCCGGCAACAATCCATGAGCTACCGGCAAGCTAATAGTGTCGAGGCGAACTACCATGTCGATCGAAACAGCACAGAAAACACGATCGATCTCCACGGCGTCACGGTGCAGGATGGCGTCGATATTGCCCTGGATCGAGTATCGAGATGGTGGCAGAACCTCGGTGAGGAGCGAGTACGAAAAGCGAAGACGGGTGGGCTTACCGTCGTTACTGGCATTGGTAAACACTCTTCAGATGGGAGGTCGCCGTTACGCATTAACGTTATTAAGGCGCTCATTGCTGATGGCTGGAAAGTCGAGATACAAACTGGATCGTGCCTCATCACGGGAAGACAGTAGAGATTACAGACATTAGCTTTGAGGTCACTGTGCAGAGTACACATCATACTGCAACGAAGGAACATTGGACATGGGCAGTGTTTCAAGGCCGAGGATCGCAAGGATATAGATGATTAATCATTGTTGCAATAGAGAGAAGATACCGAAAGATTAAGGATTCCATCTGAACTTATCTGCTACTGCTGAACCATTCAATAATTTATTTGTCTCTATTGCATTTGTGGTTGATGTGAATATGAATTGGATGTAACACAAGTCTAGTTATGAGTCTGACAGGGCAATGGCTTGTTTCGGTGTAGAACGGAGTAGAATTCTTGTCAAATAGATCTACGGCAACACAAAGACATATATACTATGTAAGCTACCTTATGACTGACATATGGCAGCAAAGGAAGCCAGAAATAATTCTAGAACAGCAGACTAAGTTCATACATAAGACAGTTTTCATAATTAACAAGGCGAGATGGCTGTCTATTATATAAGATAACAATCAGAATAGTCTTAATTAGGAGGCCTTAAATGTACGTACGTAATATGCATTGCGTGACAGACCAAGAATATTGGCAACTTCATAAAGGCTCACCCCGCAAAATACACTGTGTCAGACTCAACCGGGGTTGAGACAACCTCCCGGGCAATGAGGTAGATACTAAACCGGGCTGGCTAAGCGAGCGGATCTCGACCAAAACTGAGGCAGATAATGATAGCTTTTTATTACAAACTGTTACTGATGCTGCCTGGTTCATTCCTAGGTTAAGCAGTACCTAGTTTAGAATAAAGCAATAGAGTGCTTAGCAGAAAGGTACATTAAAAAGGTATTTAATGTACCTTTAATCGGACTATGTTCTGTTTAGTTAAAGTTGAAGCGGTTTCTTACGTGGAGAAATTAACAAAGGTTCAATTATCCTAATAGATGCAAAGTCACATACATGATGTACCGGCTACATAAAATTAATACGGGCACTTACAAATACAGGCTTTTTTAGTCCAACGGTTATGCCGGGCAGCGGCCGACCACGGCCGCGACTGACACTGAATTAGGTGGCTAAGTAAGGCAAGGACCCTCCAGGTCACAACTTAATAAGAAGCAGAAGTAGTCACATAAAATCACATAAAAGTCACAAGAGTACTTATCCTAGGCGAGGCCCACATAGACTTCCTTTGATCAATAACTAGGCCCCGTTCCCAACCGGACCAGCTTTACCAACTACATACCTACATACCTACATAAACCATACATCTCGTCTACCATACGAAAAGACCTTTGCTTTTAATTCTTCATATTTGATTAGAAACTCGCTTGATCTTTGCATCGATTCTACGTTCTTACCATCATCATTGCGATATTCCTAAGCAATCAACAATCGGCTTTTGAAGTAGGAATCGCTCGGTAATACTTATTGACAATGACGGACAACGCCGCCGCGGGGCCAGCGCCGCAGGCAGCATCAACTATGACGCTGGAAAACTACAGATTCCCAGCCCACCGGCTCTTGCGACAGCAGAGAACACCCGACCGTACTCCGTTAGTGCTTGTCGCCTGCGGTAGTTTCTCTCCTATCACCTACCTCCATCTTCGCATGTTCGAGATGGCCAACGACTACGCTCGCATAAATACCCAGTACGAGGTTGTAGGAGGCTACCTCAGCCCCGTATCCGACGCATATAAGAAAGCTGGCCTGGCAGAGGCGCAACACAGGTATGCAAACAATAGCTCTATTGTAACACACCCGAGCATCATTCCCAATCTTATAGCTTATTGTACTGGGGCAATCGATACGCTAACATTCGAGTTCATTTAACAGGGTGCGCATGTGTGAATTAGCAGCAGAAGAAACATCAAGTTGGCTGATGGTTGACCCGTGGGAGGCTATTCAGCCCGAATACACGCCAACTGCCAAGGTGCTGGATGTGAGTATATACTAGACCCTCTAATTTCTTAATATCGGCATGTCCCACGGCGCATCAATTCCCTCGTAAGGGTCTAATGAAACAATCGTCGCCACTCGGACTGAACTCCGATATCATCCTTGTGAACAGTTGCTGACTCAAATTGTTACAGCACTTCGAACACGAAATTAACCACAATCTCGGCGGTGTTTTATCCGAGGATGGTGAATCTCGAAAGCCGGCCAAGATCATGTTGCTTGCGGGCGCAGATCTCATCGGCACCATGTCTACTCCCGGCGTGTGGGCTGAAAAGGATCTTGCCCACATCTTGGGTAACTACGGCGCCATGATTGTCGAGAGGAGCGGGACGGACATTGATGAGGCGCTCGGCAACCTGAAGCAATGGGAAGATAATATTCACGTTCTCACGCAGATGATACAGAACAACGTGAGCAGTACTAAGATTAGGCTCTTCCTTAAGAGGGAGTAAGTATACCCTTGGTTCCATATTTCTTGAAACCCGAAACCATCGTGAAGCAGGTCAGCTAATGAGATGCTACAGTATGAGCGTACAATATTTAATTCCGGCAACTGTTATTCAGTACATCGACCAGCACAAGCTTTACACCGACAACGACGAGGCCAAGTCCAAAGGCAAGGAGAAGCAATAGAAAGGATGAAGTGAATAGGCCTTATCGCTTTCGAATTTTGAATAAATAGGTGTTTAGATTGGCAACTACGTCATGGTCGTACTTGATGAAGATCGGGTTCGGTATCGCGCAGGATGTGGTGGCTTGTATTTCTTGCTTTTTCTAGCATCTTGTACGATCAGAAGACGGTCACGCGAATTAGTCCGACACACAACAGTTCCAATGTTGCAGACCACAAGCCACGGAAGCTGAAATCTGCGGGGGGCGCATCTAGGGGGCATACGTACTCCGAAGACAGACCAGGGTAGCTTTCAGCCAAGGGGAATTACGGATGAGAGGCAAAAGAGGGGCTTTCTCTAGAGGGGCTTTCTCTATTCGAAAATGGCAACGTCGTTCGTGACCACGCATCGTGTACCACGGGAGATATGCGTGCTCCCGACAGCTTTGAGACGCTGACTCATGGGGGCATCCCGCGTCAGCTTCGTAGTTTTTCTAATTTTTCTTTTTCTTTCGTCTCTTATTCGGGATGCGATAATTTTACTGCGCGACCTCGTTAGCGGTTAGAGATGATATCCGTTACTTAACGTACTCATAGCATAGAGTGTACATACGCACAGTACAGTATAGTAGGGTGCTGCAATTTGAATTTATCGGGTCTGCTAATGGCCTTGGCATCTCACTCACTCACTCGCTCACTCGCTCACTTATTCGCTATGTAAATTTATGATACACATACCTGAGGTACCCGACCTACCTAGTATTATTCCTAGGTTTTATTATTCTTAGGTTTTTTGGTGATCTGTATGTATTTTGCTAAACTGTATTTTGAACACTTGACATACCAAACTTAGGTACATATTCACTTAGGGATTGGTAGAACACGGAACTCTGGATCAGATAACTAGGTACGGACGGATCTCCTAACGCCGATAACAAGCTTCTTGAACCCTGGACTTGACTTATGTATAAGGTATGTGCGCGTCTGTAAGCGTAGGAATATGTACCTATGTAGGTAGGTATCTAGGTAGATTATCCCTGCGCTCCGCGGTACTCGGACCGATCCGAGTGTGGAATAAGCTCGGGCTTGGGTTCCTGTGTTTGTGGGAAGCTGTTTAGGGGTTGTTGGCAGTTGGCGGACAATTGTCAAAGGTTGATTTGGCAGATGTTTGGTTCTCAGCTGGCGGGAGGGTGGCGAAAAGGGGTGTGCACCTGTCTGTCGGTGGTGTGGTTAAGTTGTTGTTGTTGTTGTTGTTGTTAGTGACTGGGTTGGGTATGTGGGTTGTTTTTTTGAGGCTATTCTGGTTGGGAAGACTTGGCTACTTACTTCTACACTAGGTGGGGATATGGTTTCTTGAGTGTCCCTGAGAGTGTGCTTGGCGTAGGTATGTGTGGTGTACTAAGTTGGTTGAATTCTAGAGACTATGTATAGACTTTTTTTTTTCGGTTTTATTGAGAGTGAGGGGGGGAGAGAGAAGGGGAAGGCGGGGGGGTTTGTTATTGAGAGCGAGAGAAGTACAGTGTATACTAGTTAGAAGAATGAGTTGTGCCATAGCGGCATAGCGAGTTGCAGAGATAAGCAACGATTAGGATACAGTAAGTTATTGTCGAGTTGTTAGGACTAGATTCGGTATTAATAGAGATAGATAGGCCTATAAAAGTCGAAATAATAAGCAATTTAGGGATATCGAGGCTCTTTAGACTCTATGTGTATACACTGCAAAGCCTTGGTAAGATTTCAAGAGAAGTTTAGGGGTATTGAAATTCTTCATAAATTTGTCTGTAGTTATATTGTGTATAGGCAATGTTACTGGCCATATAAAGTATATTTCGATCTTGAAGAAAGAGTCAATTATAGTTTGCTGTTGTGCTTTGTAACTATTCTGGGGCAGTTACGAACTCAGTATTCAATGCCCCCTTTTCCTAGGCCTTCTCACATTCTCCGTTCTTAGACGTTTTCCTTGCCATAAAAGTTTTAGGGTCAGTTCGCCGGTGGATAAAATGTACGAGCGAACGCGCCCGGATTATGTTGTGGGAGGTTGGGCTCGGTATATGGGCTTTGGCTGTTGAGCGATAGAGCTGGGCTTGGCTTGACCGAACGTGACCCGTCAAGTGCGAGTTGGATTGCTATGGGCTCTTGCCACTCTTGAGGCCTCGTAGATAGATGGGGAAGGCGTCTCCTTACCAAAAGTGGCAACATCTGTCCAAGAGGAAGCTTCGAGCGTACCTAATGCAGTAGCGTATAGACAAGTTCCTACTATCTTTCGAGGCGTTATGTTTTTATATGTATCAAGGCGTAGTTAGAGTTTGTGTTTGGTGGTCATACCTTCCAACCGTGTAGTCGTCGCTTCCTAAGGAGTGAAGCGTAGGTAGGTATCCTCGTACTAGACAAAACGTATAATATTAATATCTACTCTCTTTTACTCTGCGGTTTCTTCTCCCTTTTTTCTTTTTACTCCGCTGCTTTTATCAACCACTTTCTATAAACCATAAACACTCTTACTATTATCACTATTATCACTGTTATCACTATTATCACTACTATAACTACCTCTCTCAATATTATCACTACTCTTAATACTCTCACATATGCACACCACCGACTACCTCGAGGCTGCAGCCAACGCTTTCCTAGTCTTCATCGTGATTGCTTTAGTGTCTTTCTCGATAGTATTTCTTGTTGTCGTCATCTGCTGTATTTTACAGACAATAGAAGACAACCTCGAAAGCGCTAGTAAACCTAGGTAGGTAGCTAGTCAGCTAACCTAGTTAACAATCCTCTCTGCCTGTGATGGCTCTCCCCCCTTGCAGCAGTTTGCTGCAACTATGCCCGCATGGAAGGTCTGTGAATTTCGTGCCTGAGGACGGACTTGGACGAGCCTCTTATTGCGACGAGTGCCGATTCGACCTTGTCAACATATCCCGGGGTAGCTCCGAGGCCAGCCAATCTTTGACCAAATTCGCTCAAGACTGCCTAAAGAACCATCCCCAGTTCCGGCAGGAAGTTCTGCAGATGGCCAGCAGGCTGGGTGAGATGGCATATACTGCGGAAGACTACAGAGAGCGGCTTGATCACGAGGAAAGCAATATGAGAATCTCTATGGCAGCTGCCCCTTCTTATGCACCGCCGGCATCGCCCCGCGCGACTTACTCTCAGCCCTATTCTGGGCTTGCGTCTTCGTCGACGCTTAATAACGCTGGTCTGTACGGCACCAACATTGGCATCGGCAGTGATGTTCGATTGCCACCAATTACGCACGACACCAACACCGGAATCGGCAGCGGCGTTCGATTGCCGCCAATAACATGGGCGGGTCTCGAGCGCCCGAGATCTCCGTCGCCAGAATACCGGCCGGCAACCCCAACGCTTCGTAGGCCAACCCCAATGGAACTTAAGGACCATGCCTATCCCTATGTTCCCTTCTCTCGTCCAGCTCGCCTCAGGTCTCGGCCCAATGATCTTATTCCCACGCAGCCTGCCGAGTCCCAGGGAGCACAGTCACGGAACCCAGATGAGTGGTTTCAATTTGAAGCTCCACCGAGTGCCCCGGCCAATGAGAACAACCGTGGTGGATGGGATAACGGTGACTTTCGGGGCTTTGATAACGGCAATGGCCAGGACGAAGAAAGTATCCCCGACCACGGGGACGGCGACGTACTGCCAGCGCAACCGCCGGATGCGAAGGAACTCGACGAGTCCTCCAGCTGTTCTAGCGAGGTAGGTTTCAGCCTATGTACCCTATATCATCTTAACCCCTTATCCTACAGCTTCACCCTCAGAGTCCATATCATACATAAATCCATAACCCATCCCTTCCTAATACATAGAAAACCTCAACTTACCACTCTTCTAGCAACAGCAGCAGCAAGAGCCCCAGCCTCAGCCTGAGACCGAACCTGAACCCGGGCCCCAGCTCCAGTACCAGCCATGGCCCCCTATATAAAGCATCAATCAACATGACAGCCATCAGGAAAACTTATAAAAAAAACTATAAAAGAGAAAAACCCACGACGAAATTTTTTCTAGCTGGTATTTCGCTGGTCTTTGATTTTTTCTGGATATCCCGAGCTTGGGGTTCCGAGTCGCACGCACAGCAATCCGAATTCGCATTTTTCTTTAAGAGTGGTTGGTCTAAGTGCTTTTCCTTATTACATAGAGGTGTTTGAAATAACATGTCAAATACGGTAGCTTTCTTTAATGTACCCTAGACTAGCTTAGCTATTTGACAGAGTTTAGAAAGTTGTTGTTCTAGTTTCTAAAGTTATTCATGTAAAGGTTAGCCAAGTACACGTATGTAAGATACAAAAAAAAAAGAAAGAAAAAGTTGTATTGAAATATCGGCCTTGTAAAGTTTCTTTAAATTTACTCATGTCATGACGTAGAAAGGGGAGTAGGTAACTGGTCTCAAGCAAAACTTCCATGTTATTCTACATATTAGCCTAACATCTTTCAATTATACAGAACGCTACCTGAAATTCAAACCAATCTGCTAATTCCTATTACCCTGAGATGACATGTTTAGTTCTGCAAATTAATCCTACTCGTATCTTACACTTGCGATTATATGCCCATTTCTAGTTTACCCGTCATCCTCGCCATCGTCAGAATCGCTGTCGTCCGGGTTGTTAATTACGCTGTACCACCGCCTGCTGGCTAGGTCTTCTGCGAGGCCTCCCTCGCTCTCTGGGTCGACGTAGCCCTCCCCGCCGACAAGCGAAAGGGCGACCGGCAAGAAGATCAGGGCGTGCGTAGCCGCGAACACGACGAGTGCGAGCCATACCCGGAAGTAGTAGATCTCGAAGATCTTGGATCGAGTAAAGGCTAGAACGCAGACACCTAGCAACTTTGTAATAGTGATGCCGCTAAAGACTGACCCGCCGACATTGACGAGCGCCGTCCAGGCTCGAGCATCGCGGCCGCGGAAACGGTTCTTAGCACGTTCCATGACGGATCCGGATGGGAACATGAAGGCGCGGGCGATGTGGGCGCAGAATTCGACAGCGATACCGACGCAGATAATCAAGTTTACAAGCGAAACAGCGTTGAGCGAGACGTTGAAGGCTGCCATCGCGCCAATGATATCCACGACAGTCATAACGACAGTCAGAGTAACAACAAGTGCCGTCACAATAGAACCTAGCAGGATAGAGGAGACGACGAATATAATAGCCACCGCAGAGCCAAGCAGTGCACCGGTTAAGTTGATGATACTAGCATACTGATCGAAGAAGACGTAAAAGACGCTGTAGGGGAATATTTCGACTCCCGTTTTTGCGCTGACTTCATTTGCAATACGACGGGCCGACGCGTAAGCATTGATGAAGTCGTCTTGGCTGCGAAGAGGCTTGTGCATCGTGCGGAAATGACTCGCAGGAATAGTAAGCTTTTCACCGTCGACAACAACAGCTTGACTATAGGAAGCCTGGCCAGCTAGAGGGCACGTGTCGGTGGTCGGGGAATGTAACCATTCTTGCAGGTAATGGACGAACTCATCACCTTCAGGCATACCGTTGAGGGTAATGTTCCAGGCTGGATCCCGATTGGCAAAGCAAGACTGGCGGCCATCCTTGCAGCAACTCTCAAAGTCGGGATTCAACCAGAGGAAGAAATCGTCAAGCCAACTGGCAGTCGGGGAAGATATATAAGACACATCGGGTCGCTTCCGCTCCTGTTCGAGCACATTTGTGAGTGATAGCTGCTCACACGTCGTAAAGCGAGAGCAAAGTTCTCTCTGTCCATCGCGCTGGGTCACGTTCACGCCTTTAGTAACAAAGTAAACGGGCGGGCCAGTATCCAGGTAATTGTACATGTCATTGAAGTAATCAATGAGATAAGAATCGTCGGGTAAAGCGACTCGCTGGTCTAATCCGAGTTGAATATATGGAATCAAAGCAACACCAGCAGCAAGCAGGCCGAGGAAAATGGCGACAACGAGAACCTTGACCTTCTTACCGAGTAAGGTAGGCGCGTAGTACTTTCGAATAAATTGTTGTAACCAGCTCTCGTCCGGTACATCGTACGGGCGAGGGCCGTTGGAGCCGTTACTGCCGCTGAGATGCACGCGGGCCGCCTTGACCTGAACACAAGGGAAGCAGTCCGCTCTATTGTCTTCGGTCCTCACCTGGTTATAGGATAAGATGGATATAAAGAGTGTCATCTGGAGTAGAGCATTGATGAATACCGCACCTGCAGCGTAGATGGCAAAGTTTCGCACGGCAGGCATTCCAACGAACGCACCGAGAGCAAAAGAGACTGTTTCTGTAATCCCCGAAAAGAGGATGGATGGGCCCATCCGCCCAAGTGCCCTGGCGATTCTCTCTTCAACCATTGCGTCTGGGTGGCTTAGGTTGACACGCTCGAACTCATGAACAATCAAGAAGATATTGTCTACTCCGACAGCCAAGACGATGAAGGGGATGACTTCGGCGATGATGAGTGTGGCCTTAACGCCCGCCCATGAGAATAGACCAATTGAAGAGGTGATCGACATCAAGACAATTAAGATACCAACGAGGCCGAGCGTAAACTTGCTTTGGACTAAGGCCACGGCTGGGTTTCTTATCAGCTCGCGAATAGTCATACTGCTCGAACCCAGGGCAATCGAAGCGTATAAAAACATTACAATATAGCTGATAACGATGATTGTCGCATCTGAGTTGGTAGATTTGTTTAGTTCTTCCTCTAAGCTGACCTCCGTAGAGAAGGAAAGGCGTAAACCGCGATCCGCCGCTTCTTTTTGAGCTTCTAGGAGCCGATTCTTCAAGGACTGTTCCCAATCCATAGCGTGAGAAAGTTCGGAGCTACCCTCAGGGTGATTGTTAACAACCCACGTCACTGTGAAGGCACGCGCCTCGGTAATGTTCTCGATGCCATCGTAGCCACCTACGATCATATTTGGCTCTATTGGTTGTCCAAAATCGGGTCGGCAGTTAACAGGAGATTCGGCACATTCTTTAAACTGGGATTGCCAATCCTTTGTGCCGTCGAAATAGATAGTCGGGGATTGCACAACACAAGCAGGACCAGTTGGCTTTAAGCACACATCTTGGAAATTTGTACCAAAGTCTTTGCCCTTGAGTTGCTTGACGCTTGCTTCAACTTCTGACCACCATGTTAATGTCTCATAGCTGAGTACTGGTCCAGGGCCGGATGCTTGAGTGTCATTCACTACAAAAACCTTCTGTGCGCGGTAGAATGCTCCAAAGTTCTCGTCGAAAAATGCCTTCTCCTGAGCTGCCGCCGAGTCTGGGCTGACCCATAATCTTGCTGGTTCCCTCTCTACTGCGAATTTGACCCAGCCAAGACTGAGGACGATGACCACTAGTAGACTGCTAAATATTGTAATGCCTGGGAATCTTGCGCAAAGATGGCCCAGCTTGCTAAAGGCGGTATCACACCAAGTATTGATGGCGTAATTCCTCTGGGGCCGATCTAGCATGGCCCCGTTACGAACAAGGTCGCCCTCATCTTCATCGTCGCTGGGTTCAGCAGCTTGAAGCAAATGGAGACGTTCGCTTCGCCGCTGCGCATGCTTCATCCAAGCAACGTGACCGACCAGTGCGGTGATGAGTGTAAACAGTAGCACGCCATAAGTGAATATCGAGGCAAACGACAAGCAGGGAAGGACACCGACCCGACAAGATCCCGATTGCTCTACGGCCGGAAGTTCTGGACATACGGCGGGGCAATCAACACACGAACATCGGAAATTCGGATCTTCATCGTTGCACTTCTTCGGCTTCATCTCCCTCGGTGCCATGCTTGGCTCGGAATACTCGGTGGGGAAGTTGATTTGGAAAGGCGACCCAATAGCCTTCTCATCACCCAGGAACTTCAGCAACTGGGTGTAGTTCTTGGCACCGCCGCCGATGAAGTTCATAGCCTTGGAATTCGAAGCGCCAAACTTGACCTCCTTACAGCTATCATAGAAGCCTTGACCATACTCTTCCGACACCAGGTGGTCTACCTCGGCAGCTAAAGTTTTTCCGTTCTTCTCGAGCGTCTTGGTAACGTTGATAAATAAGGACTGGTCAGGGGAACAGGTAAAGGTGCAGAACAAGTTATAGAAGTTGTCCTTGCACGCAGGACAGGAGCCGATAATCTGGTTTGGAGTGGACATTTCGGACTTGAGCGCTTGGAGCTACATGACTGTTAGTAAGTAAGAAGCGCCTGTATATCTCTACATCTACGCATATACGTATATAATTGCAAGAATATAGTAGTGATAATGGGATAGGCATGCAAACGCACCTGGTCAGCATTGCAGCAGACCTTGCTGTCTTTCCATTTGGGACCGCATAGGGATTCGATTTCTTTGGAAAACTCCGGGTCAGGAGTGGTAGCTAGTTCGTTATCAACACACGGCACCTGTTTTCCGAAGAAACTCTTCTTTCCACAGTGGCCTCGTATGGCGCAACGTCCAGCTTCATGTTTAGGCGTATAGAGCTCACCTGCCGCGGCGGTGCTGACTAGCAGCAGAGCGCCGGCGACAAGGATAGATATTCGAGCCATGGCGATGCTCTACTATTCTGCGCAACAGATTAGTGGCACCATGGATGTAGAGTGCCTTAAAATGTTGGAAATTTTGATGAACGGATTGATATGAGAAAGTTGATGATGATGGAGAATGGAGAAAATGGAAGCTACAAGTTCCTAACCTAAGACGGTACCTAGGTATGTCGGTATGTATCACATGAGCACATGAGTTGGTCTGCACTTGTCTGCGTCATCAAATGCTACCCCAGGCGGTCCTGCATCCGATGTCTTGGCATGGCTTAAAGCAGTAGTCAAATACCGCATTATGCAAAGATATGCACTACATGCATAAATAGCTCGTCAGGGGAACCGACCAATTAGAAAGTAAGATTCTTGTATTTTACACTTACTCATCTTACTCATCCGTCGTATATCCTACATCCAATCTATGTATCCCACCAATCCTTCATATCAACCCGCGACGCCCTCCTTAATACTCAAAGCTTTCATAAACCACCTCCTCGCCCTCCGTCCACTTCAGCAGCTCCCTAGTCATCTCCGGGCTCGCACACAAATAATACTTCCTCCGTCCCTGCTCGCCCTCCGCCAACACATCACCAGTCTCTATCCTCCGCTCTATCACTTCCGCACCAAGCCCCCGTATTGTAGATATAATAGCCCGCTCTCTCTCGCCTACCTCCCCAGTGACGAAGAGTTTAGTCGCGTGTCCGAGGCTGCTTATCTTCTCTAGCACGTCTGCTGCCAGAGGCACATCTTCGCCTTTCATACTCCAGAGTAGCTTGAGTTTATTTCCCTCTGTGGTTTTCAGAATACTAGCGCCCTGTGCCATCAACGGCGTGATTCCCACGCCCGCAGCAACGAACACGCTTGCATTTTCATCCCCTTTACCGTCCCCCGTCGGTAATCTAAACCCTTCCGCGCCGCCGAACCCCATCACTGGGATCTCAAGCGGGACCTTTATATTCCAGCGCTCTAGCAGCGCCGTCGCCGGACCGTGTCTCCTAACTGTGATCTCAAGCTTCGGTTCCGTATCCTCCTTTATATATCCCTCTTCATCCACGACCCCGGCGTCTATAGGCCTACTAACAGTGAACGTACGCACAAAGTCATCGTTCAGACTCTGCGGGTCCTCGTCCCGCATGTGCGAGTATCCCATATCCAGCTCCTCACTGAAGTCCAAAGTGACGTGCTGCCCGGGATGCCAAGCTTTCAACCGTTTTTTTGTATCATCCTTCGCCCCTGAAGCGGTAAGCTTAAACATATATCTTGAGATTGTTGGTGTAAGCCTCTCCCGAGTGATCAGCCTTGCTATAGCGGCAGTATCACTGCTTGAGCCCGCCGCAAGATCATCAGATCCCTTCTCGCATGCCAATCGCCGGACGGTTGGATTATATGGCGAGTAATCGATAACCTCGCCCCTAAACGATAGGCCCTCTCGCACAAACCGAGCTTCGGCGACCTCGACACGTATAGCTAATTTCGCACGCGGCATCACCGCAGCCACTACTTCGCTAACAAGGATCGCCGCGTTCCCTGTCAGGTATAGCACATCGCCTGTTTCGAAGTCCGGGACGACGATGCCGACAGCTGGGTCATTATAGACATTTCCCAGTGTCTGGTACAATCGATTACCAGAGTACTCTGGGTAGACCAATGCAACACCACCCGCACTCTCATCTCTATTCCTTAGCACCCGTACGAACCCTGGCGGGCCGCCACGGATATTCACGTCCATGCTCTTAGTGCCATGTTTGCTCGCGATGAAGAATAGGTCCGTTTTGTCTAATAACTTGATCGCCGCCTGAGGTAGCGGGACGCCGGTTCCCTCGCTTACAAGCTGTGGTGAAGGCACGCGGGGCAAGATGCGTTTCTTATTGATGTATTTCGGGCAATTCCCCAAAGCCTCATTAACGCGGAACGCAAGTTGCAAGTCCGCAACGCCGGGCGTTGTCTTTGTTGCAGTACCAACGGCCATTACGCCGGCAAGTTTCACTCTGTCTCTTGTCTCGGGATCGATCGACAGACCCGCCATCAGCTTACCCCCTTCCGGTTTGATGACTGCATCGTTGACGATCTGTCTTCCATCTCCATTATTTCCTTCTTCTCTTCCCCCCTCACCATCCTCAACGGCAAGCAACTCCCTAACAACCGGATCCCACGCCTCCCCCACCGTTGCCCTAACCCCCAACACATTCCTAGCCACCGGCTGAGCGAACCCCTTCTCACCTCCCCACACGCTAGCCCACGGCCTGCCCTGCCGATCCAGCGTCCCGACCGCCACGAGCGGCGAAATCCCGACGCGGTATCCAAGCTGCGGCGGTAGGCTATGATGTGTTGGGTTCTCGCGGTGCGGCACGCGCAGTAGATTATGAACTGCCTGCTCGCCGGGGTGGAAACTCGAGTCGAGGGCTATAAGTTGAGCCATTGATATAGTTTAACTGGACCTAATTTAACCTGACAATATACGTAGATACAATACAAGTGTAGCGAGTCGTTGAGCGCAGGAACAGAAATACAGTCGAGTAATAAAGCCTCTCAAGCAATCCAACTCAACACAGAGAACAACCCCAATTTAATATAAAAGTGCGTTCGTAGCGGTCCAGGAAGAATTACTGATTCCCATACCAGAACCTGACTAATAGCCAGACGGCCACGACAAAAATAGCATTCGCCTTAGCTTCTATCTGCCAAGGTTCTACATTATGTAGGTAGGTAAACTAACTTACGTGCTGGGTATCTAATGCATATAATCCCCTCCACAATCCCCAGAAACAAGGATTCTGTGACGCCATCACAGCGAGCGTATAAATCCCGTTGGAGAAGCGGCCTATGATAAGGCGTACGGCTTGGTTATTAAGTAATTAAAAGGGCGCGCCGGGGAATTAGCATTGGCATTCAAACCCCGACTCCGTATAAAAAAAAACGAGGGTGCAAAAAAACTAACCTACCTAACCTAGGTAATTAGAAACATCGAGCCTATCACCAGCAAAGAAGCAATTAATATACACGCGCGCGCACACAAAGGCTGAGGAATATCCGTAGTATAGGTTAAACTAGTAGCCGTAGCTACTCGACAGAATGTCAGCAAATACGTGTTATGTAAAATACATCGAGTCTCATTATTTAAAAATCATCGGAATTTGCCTCTGAACGCCACTTTGTCCGGACGCTTTCTAAACGCGACGGCCTTCTGCCTATCCACACCAACCCGAACTACATATGATCAGGGATATACCATCAACGTTATTTACGTAAGTGGTATTGATATTAGGGTATCCGCGTCTATCCCACTCTCCTGGCGTAACCGTCATTTAGCAGTGAATACTACTAGTATCTTGGAAAATCACGCTGCGATTCCATATCACTGCCATAATTATATCCCTGGCTCGTATCCCTCTGGTGATTCGGAGCCATTCCAGGGCGCTGCCCGTAATATCCATCCTGCTGCCGGGGCGGCATCGGTGCTGTCATATTCCGCTGTGGTGGCATTCTCTGCTGTCCAGAGGGCATAGGGTTCGTGATACTACGAGAGGGTGGGTAAGGTTGGCCACCGTAGGATGGTGGCCCATTCGAAGGCGGCCCGCGGTTCGAATAAACGGATGGAGCTGGACTAGAGCGTCCACCCATTTGGTTAAACGGACGGGGCGCGGGCCCGGGTCGGCGATAACCGTCCATTGGAGACGAGGTATCCGGCGTATACGTAGACGGGCTTCCAGCATATCCGGCACCGAATCCGCTCCCGTTAGTCAGTACCCGGACGGGTTGGGGACCGGGTCCAAAACTCCTATTCGAGGCTGCAGTCCCCGGACGCGCAGGCGGCTGGTAGTTGGTCATGTCGATTTGCGGTAGAGTCGGCGCGGGAGATGCCGATCGATCAAAGCCCATTCCGGCTGCATTACCCACCAAGGGAGTTCGCGAAGAAAAGCTGGATACTGAGACACTGGTACCCGTTGTTCCTTGTCGTGACGGTGCTGGTCGCTTCTGATCCCAGGAATTAAGTTCAATGCTATGCTGCGAACCAGGTCGCGAGGTATATGCTGGCAAGGTAGCCATAGTGTCGTTACGATTGAGCATAGGCATATCCGGGAGCTTATCTTCGGTACCGTCGTCCATAAGAGTCGGTATGGTCGGTAAGGTCGCTTGTCGTCCAAGCGGCGTCTTTTCACCGGCCTTCTTCGCCGCCTTAAACTCGGCCCTCATCCGGTCTCGCTCTTCCTTGGCGATAGCCTTATTGACTTTGACCGTCACGATTTTTGTCAATCGTTTATTGACTTTCCGCTCGCAGTAGCCGTGGAGTCCCCCGTCTTGTCGGGGGATATAATGCCAGAGGAAGAACACGTAAAATAGAGCCGCGGTGAGTAGAAAAAGTACAGAAAAAACCCAGATGACTAACGTGAACACCATACCCGATAGGATCACCACCTGCTGCTTATTTTCGTCGGCGAGATGTTGGAGTTTACCAAAGAACGTCCCGAGAGTGCTCTGCACCGAAGAAACATCGGTTGGAATGAGATTCGAGTTGTAAACAGAATACAAGGTCAGAGCATTGACAGCTTGTCGCGGTCCGGAGCAGAATATAACTCGAATCCAGGCTAAGGCTAGGTCAGCAGCTTATTTCTTACTGCGTTTGCGAAGATCGATACTTACATTGGAAGTTGAAGTACGTGAAGAGCGCGACGTATTCAGCACCCTTCCTAGACTTAGTCAATTCGGCGAAGACAAGAAAGCGCCTCCATCCTTGACCTTTCCCGACCCGTACACTTTCTAAGCGCACGGCGAGATTGTCAAGATAGCATTCGGCTACACTTCCTCGCTTCATGACCCTCATGGCACGAATGTGTTCGAATGCCAAGTTGACGAAAGAGGCGATGATGCAAATCGAAAAGACCCATTTCGACACGTCGAACGAGACAAGCTGAGTAGGTTCAATACTAGACGACCAGGTATTGAAAGCTAATAGATTGATGGCGGTAAAGGTATCAACACTATAAACGGCCATGGATATAATAAGAGAGAAGTAAAGGTAGGCGTAGGCGAAGGGGGTGAAGCATGACGTTGATTTGAAGTCTTTCAAACTCTATAGGAAGCCGTTAGCATGAAATTCGACAAGTGAATGTGCGCCTAGAGGGAACCTACAATAGCATCCCACTTCTGTTCAGGACGGATTTCCGCCTGTTTTCGACCTCCACCGCAGCCCATCTTGCTAGATGTGAAGTTGCTGTGACAAGAACCTGCTCACCCGAATGTAGGAAACTAACAAAACGAAAGGGATGGGGGTATCAAAATGTTGCCAATCAAGGGATTGGCTTTGAAAAAAGAAGGTAAGTGAATGAATGTAATTGAAGCCGTGACACCCTCAAAACCAATGCCACTCCGTCTTCAATCAATCGTCAATTGTTCAATCGGACCCGCCGTGTTGCACAGTTGTCGCTCCTCGCCCGCGAAGTAATCGACCGCGCTCTCGAATCAGAAGGAGAGCTCGTAGGGCGTCAAAAAAAAGACTTGAGAAGAGAATGAAATCCCGGAAGGGTTATTCGTAAAAGAAAGATGAACGTCGTCCTAAGACAAGGAGGCGTTGGAAATGATACCCGTCTGTAATGATAGGTCTCAGCGCACTAGCGGGGACATATGCCATACATGCTATTAGTGGGTATCCGAAAATGCGGGAGGCCGCTATCGCGGTCTCATTGCAGTCGAAGATTGGGTATTCTGGTACTGCGATTTTGACGGTTCGCTTTTCGTTTGGAAGTGGAAGTGGAAGTGGTCCAAGGAATGGTCCGAGTAATGTCTCGGTTTGGTTGAATCGCCAGTACCGAAAGGTCAGAGTCGAATGACAGACTAATCAAGGCGTGGACGACTAAGAAGCACAGGTCTAACGTTGGCTGGTGTCGCTGGGCTTTGTTTGATCGACTCCCAGGGCACAGGGCACAATGGGGAGGGAATGCTCGGATGGAGTATCAAAGACTGAATTGGGTGAAACGTGAACTAAGTGGGTATCTTGGTGATATGTAAAAGAGTGTATGCGAAGTGGTGGATAATGAGAACCACAACACTTGATAGCCTATTGAACGAATGTCGTTGTGTTATTGTTCTCTGAAGACTTTTTTTTTTCTTGTTAGGTAAGGTTGAGGGACAAAGTGACCAGGTCAATTAACATTTGCGACCGAACAAAGGATTGCAAAAAGGGGAGGAGGGCAAGACCTCGGAGGGGGGGCTTGGTTGGTTCCTGGGTTAGAAGAGAGAGGGAGGGGGAGGATGAAATCGGGTCGACCGTTTTGGCGGTTTGAGATTGCGCAGATTACACAAATAGTCAACCCAGAATTGAATACAACGGATGCACCTGCGTACAGATTTAATCAACTCGATCTCTAATTGGACATCTTACCCCAGTCATGCAAGGTACGGACACTAAATTCAGATTAGCGCTAGACCCCTGTAGCTCCTTGGCTCCTTAGCTTCCTTTCGTCAGTTTGAAAGTGCTTGTCTAGTGGGCCCTCTTCAGCGGCTTACCCACGCCTCCACGCACCTGCATCCACGCGTTTAGGTACATTCGGCAAGAAATAAATGTACTATGTACCTCTAGGTATGAGGTACGGATTACTGTAACCCTGATAAAAAATTACCTACCAACTGCCAATTGATAACTGCCCAATTTAAAGGAAACATGAAACATTGAAACGTCGTGCATTTATTTGGGCTGCTGTGATTGTTTGCATTTTCTATAGTTATAGGCGGTTAAAAAATCCTTTACCGAACGTTACTAACCTACGAAATTGCAATATGCGTGAATTGATTTGTGTTTTGCCATACATGATCATCTGGCGTCGGGTCGGGTCGAATTCTCACAACCAACGGAACAGATAGCTCCAATTTAACTACATAGGTACCTACCTAAGAGCCCGATATATCTACGCGCTTCTACGGTGGGCTTCTCTGCGGTGGACCATCGCTCAGCTACATTACAATATCAACGAATCCTTAGATCGGATCTCCAAATAGGGCGGCAGGACCCTTCTTGGCGTTCATTTTCGTAAGGTGGTGGGGTTATTTTTATCTTCTCATCCGCATCCTTTGCAAATCTGTCTGCGGATATGTCGGACTCCAATCACGAACACGCATTATTGTATACGGCTTCCTACCTGCTACCTGTCGAGACAGGTCATAATACTCTATATAAAGGAAGGGTTGAGTAACGTAATCAAATGAATAAAGGCCCTCAATAAGTCCTACCATTATTCTAGTGAGTAATGGTCTAGTTAGTCACTGACCGATAACAAGGCTATAGCAGTTAGTATCTAGGTAAGATTAAATATATTGTTGTTCCAAGTTAAAGGGGAAACTACACACATATCTACCTATTGGTAGGGAAATGCTTCGTCACTATAGCCTTTATCACGGCCCTAATAATACATCAACTCTTTATGAGCTACGAGTTGAATACCTAATATATGCCACGTATGCATTGGTTTATCAAGAGGTTGCAATACCATATTAGGCCAACGGAATGAACAATGGACGTTATTGGAATCAACTATTTGTGGGAGAACCGAAGGTCTCTAGACGAATCTGTCTTTGGAATGTAGTCTTTTCCTTGTACGGATATGAGGAACAAAGGCATTGGAAGGTAGCCAGCATTCCAAAAGAATCGGCCTCAACACACCTCTACATCCAAGTTAAGGTCTTCGTAGTCCAACCCATAATTATCATCCTTCTTACACCGGGTAGGCTTTTACTTAGTCTGAATAGCGATTCGCTAATAACCATTAATCACCATGGAGTTCACAAGCCCATACGATGATTATCAGAGGGCTTTAGATTATGACATCCACGCCGAGGTCGCTCCCGGTGTCTGGACAGTCTGCAAGAAACTTGACAGGACAACCCTTTTGGCTCATGATATCACTGATATGTTGGCTACGGACTCGGACTCGGACTCGGACTCGACAAGTCCAGCTAGGCAAGGCTTGGGTTTCCTATTAGGCTCGGATGGGGCCAATTTGCTCCAGGAGGTCAAGGCTATCATAAACCACGAGAACCTAATATGCCTGCGGGACTGGTTCTCTATTGCAATGCAGAAGCCCAAATCGAGAGGCTACGAAAAACGAACGTTTGTCGTCTGGGATAATTGCGACGCCGGAACCTTGGAAAACCTTTTGGTCGAAGAATACGACAAGTACAAACCAGACCAGGAGACCGATGACAGCACATCATCGCGCTCCGATGTCCAAGATGAAGCATCCGACACCGATACTGAAATGACCGATATCCATGTCCATGTCCATGCCCACGAAACGGATAAGCTGAAGAAGTTCTTACCAGAATCCTTATGTTGGCATGTACTTACCTCAGTCTTGAAGGCCCTGGCGTGGTTACATGATGGTAGTCCAGAACTCGTCCGTATAGGTCCTAATAAATACGGTATGAATCCCACTCCGGACTGGAATCCTGCTCTACACCGGGATATCACTCCCGCCAACATCCAGTTCCAACAGCCTAGACGCAAAGAGACATACGGGCAGTGCAAGCTGGGAAACTATGGTAGTTTATACTTATCGAATCATCATAACGGAGACGGCAAGTCCAGTGTCGAACGGGTTAGGGGCAAGGCCTTAGCGCCACGAAAGGGAGATGTCGACTCATTATTGGACGACCTCATCCAGCAAGATGACCGATATGGTTATACTTATAAGGAACAGGCAAGTCTACAAGATTCATATGCTTCCTTTATAAATGTTGACTAACCGCATCGCTAGCCGGACCAGCCTTACACTGTAATCAGTGAGTGGAGGGCATTTGGCGAGATCATGCAGGCGATGATGATACCTCCCTCAGGAACAAAAACAAACGTAAACGATCACATCCAAAACGTAACCAAGCATGGAGTAAGGTATAATCTCGGGGGCGTGGATTACTCGGTTGGGTTAAAGAACGTGATAATCAGGATGATGACGCTCAACCCAGACGAGAAGTCAGCGGATGGCAACTACCTTTTCCCAAACCGAGATACCCTAACCTCCAACCTATGCGTAGAAGCCTTCGAGAGATTCAGACGATGGAGGGTTTCTACTGACGAGGGCCGAGAGGTAGTCACCGTCGAGTCGCAACAAGCCCAGCAAATTTTAGAAGACACAAAAGCACAGGCTGAGATGTGGAATGCAACCGTGGAGATGAACCGGATTGTGGATAAACTACAAGCGGAAAAGGGCCCCTGGCGTTTCGACGATCATGAGGATGCTGAAATTGACGATTTCGATCCCACAGGCTTTACCTTCCAGGACTTGGCGAATGACGAAGATGAGAGACCGTATCCTATTAGAGATATCCCGCCCGATGACAATTGGGACTTTGATCCGTAGACTTATAGATAGTTAGCTTTTAACATGGCTGAAGCCTGGAGGGTCGGTAGATGATTATAAGGGGTGCTAGTTGGTTGATGAACTGAGCCAAATTTGGCAAAAGGACACATTATAACTTAATTTACTGATGAGAATACAACATCCCAGTTATACCTTGAATAAGGCAATGTTCTGTGGTGATAACCTCAGGTACTTAGCCTAGTAATAGTCGGGAGGTACGATGGGAGATCTCATGTATTATTCAACCTATAGTCAATTTAACTAGGTAGCTTGCTTAGTTTGCGTTTCCCAACTCTTCCAAGTCCCATTAAGCCACAAGCTCTGTACAAGATCGTGAATCCCGTAGCCTTTCTGCCAGCCATCCCCCTTAGCCCTCTCCTCGCTTATCCTCCAGAACAACGTGCCCTCATAACACGCCCTCAGATCGTCCTTCCAGACCCGGCCGTCCTGCTGCAGCAAGAGCCACGTCGTCCAGACCTCCATGAACGCAAAGCTCCAGCCCGCCGGATCGGCCGCGCACCGGTCCTTGCTCAGCAGCAACCTCAGGTCGTCCACGTCGAGCCCGCCGGTGCCGGACGTGTCGAAGCGCGTGAACATCCGGTCGAACCGGTCCGGGCTGAAGTTCCCGTCGAAGTCGTACACGCCCGAGTCGGAGCCGTGCTTCGCCTTGTGGATGTCGTTGACGTAGATGCGCAGGAACGGGTCGGGGATCCATGAGTGGCCTAGCCGCGTGGGGTAGGAGAAGAAGACGGGGATGAGGAGGGAGCCCAGGGAGAAGAGCATGCAGAAGCCTAGATCGCGGAATCCGTTGTATACGTCCATAGGCCAGATGACTCCGTCATTGTCGCGGTCGAAGAACGCGATGTGCTGTTGCAGGGTAGACGGGGTGTTCTTCAAGGACGATTTTGAAGTTCCTCTATTCGCTAGTGATGGGCGGCCGTTTGTATCACCATTGATATGCTCTCGAACCTGAAGAGGGGGCGAGGTAGTAGTAGTGCCCGCCATGAGGTTTTAAGCTTCACTTATAGTCTTCACTTAACTATACTGTGAAGTTTCGAGTTTCGTTATAATTGAAGATCTAGAAATCTACCTTATAGACTTATCGTGACTCGAGGCTAGGTTCAATCATTTACAAGACCGGGGGAACTGAAAAAAAGATAACTATTGAGATATATTATTCGTTGTTTTTCTAGGGTTGAGTGGATTTGGACCCCAAGCCCAACTGTTGGACGATAATGCAGCTCGCCGGAACAGCTGCATCTATTTATGCTTGTGAAGCCCTGGCGGCCGGGAATTACGAGGAACAAACGTCATCAGTAGGTCAAGTATCATTACATACCTTGGACAACACCGTTTCTCTGGGCTCAATTCAAGACCACTGACTCTCCATCTAGATGTTACTTTAAACTTTGAATCATTCCCAAAGCATAGAGACAGCAGAATGAAATGAGTATAAATGAACGTTTCTTGGATACTCATATAATTATCTATGCTATAATTACCTATACTATAATTACCTATACTATAATTACCTATACTATACCTATCTTCTCGGCCTTGAGAACTATATACATCAATCACGTGAACCGGTCTATAGAGACCTAAACAGTCTTTTCTCAGAGTTTGCCTTTTTTTATATTCAACTAACTATATCGCCGTAACATTGAGTTACTTGGATGTGAGTTAATCGAGTTTTAGTATATTATCATTCGCTCAAGCACGATATGCAATACGAGGAAAGAGTTCGGTGGATTGTTAGCGGGATGGGGGAATATAGGAAGATGCTAACCTAGGAGATGCAAATCAACCTTATCTTATCACGGTAGAAATGGCCGAAGTTCGCTATAAGTACAGCGCTGAACGCTCGGACCATGCAAGTAAGCCATAAGCCATAAGCCATAAGCCATAAGCCCATAAGCCCCTGACGGGGTTCCCTACCAACCGACCTACCAACCAACCAACCCTCGACGTCACCCAAACTTACAGCTTAGCACCTAACCCAACCAGCCTTCTGCCGCCATCGTGACCATGATCATGGTCAAGTGAACAAACAAACAAACAAACAGACAGACAGACAGACAGACAGACAGCGCTATAATCCAACACCAGCATCCGAAAGAAGAATTCACGGCGGAAAAGCTATCAATCCCGCTCCAGTCAATGAGAAATTCAGCGTAGATAGCGCCGGCGCGCCGTCGTCTTTCCACGGCTATCATTACCTACCTAGGTCCTACAACCTCCCACTTTCGTTATATCCCCTCCCCTCCTCCCCTCCCCTCCCCTCCCCTCCCCTCCAAAGCCCGCCGCACGCGAGATCGCACAACATACAACACCACCCACGATGCCCAACCAACAGCCCTCCTCCCCCACGCCCTCCCTCCTCCTCACCAAGCGCCTAACCGCCTTCCTCAGCGCCAACCTCGGGCCCCAGGTACACACCGCAGTCCTAACGACTCTCTCCGGCAAGCTCCTCGCCCACGCGTCACCCCACTCCGTCGGCACCCTGCGCACCCAATGCACCGTCGCCGCTTCCGTGTGGGCGCTGTATTCGACGCCTGAGACCGTCGCCGAGGCCTTGCCCCAATCTCAGACCACGTTCCCTCCCCCCCCGTCGCCAGCACCGCATCCGATGCCCAGCGCCGTGACGATACAGCTCGTGGCCGGCGTCATGGTTATCCGACGGCTGCGCTGCGGCCTGCTGTTTGTGTGTATTGGCCCGAGTGCGGGTGCCGAAGGGGCGGGAGGCGATTACGTCACGCATACCCCGGCGCGGACGGTGCCTCCCGCCCAGCAGCAGCAGCAGCAGGCGAATCCAAGCGAGCGCGAGCCGCATCCCGCGACGCCGCTTGGATCGCCGTCGGAGGTTGCAAGCGTGGTCAGCGTCGGAGCTGCGACGACGGCGAGTATCGCGACTACGACTAGCGTTGCGGCTACGGCGGTGGTGGCTACGCGGCGACAGGCGGAGGAGCTGGCGCGCTGGCTGGATGATAAGCTAGGCTCGTTGGGGACTCTTGAGGAGGGATTGGGAGTCGAGACGAGATAAAAAGGGGCGGTTTCAATGAACAGTTGTTCTACGAGGTTAAGGTTCGGGCCCTCGGAATTAGGGACTACGGATCTTCGTGTTACGGATCGGCTATGAAGATCCAGCGCACTCCGTGGCAAGGAGAGGCGTATGGGCTGCGGGGAGCTACGTGATTATTAAAACTCGTCTGAGGGGCGATCTTCTAAGTTTGATGTGGTAATGGCATAGGGCTCGGGTACAGATGGAAGCTCTGCGATAGTCGTTTAGCTCCCTCGTGTAAAGTCGAGGGCTCTGGATCTCGACGAAGTACGCCGCGTCTTATGTGTAAGGTGAGGAAGGGCATAACGGGGATAGGTAGCTAGAGAGGATTGGGGCATGGTAATTAAAATCGTCGACTTTGCACGGCTCGGGGCGGAACGGAGGTTTCGCTTGGGTGTGCTGTCCGCAAGGGTGCTGTTTATTAGATGTTGTTTCTCAGGAATAAAAGATACCAATATTGTAGGGATATTAGGCTAATAGATGTGTTCACGATTCTCTAAGATGAGACCTGCCCTTGGATAGAGTAGAGTAACGAAGTCAGTTTATAGCTGTTGACTTATTAAGATTTAATACTATGTATAAGCCCAATCGAGTCTTAATCTAGCTAACATGTGTTGGCTCTTACAACGAAGATGGACGAGCCTTTTGAAGAGTGTCATAGCCGTGTACTATGACGAACTCGATTCATCACGAACAAGACCATCAGATCTCACCCCATAACATCCATCCGGTATAATGTCTACAGCCAGCTCATCCCAGGCATAGGCGCCCTTCGCGAATAGCAGCAGAATCAAGATGCGAACACAGAAGCCCTAGGATATTTACACATAAATCCCAGGTGTTATACTGAGATACAACATACCGAATTAAGCCCCTTTACGTAGGCCCAATAAGAAAACTAGCTACATCAGGTTACTGAGCCAATAATCCACCCTACCTCATGCAACTAGACAAGCAACATACTAAGACAATACCTATCTCTCTCCATCATGTATGCTCAAAAGAAACCCGAACGGAACAACCCAACATCCCCTTTCCAGTAAGCCCATCTCGTCTCCACCACCAGCAGTAATAAGCACACGCACACATCAATAAACAAGGCCCTTCCCCATCCCCATCCCCACCGGTTCCGTCGTGTCGGTACGGGGGAAGGGGTCTCAGCGCAAAGCACAATTCCTAGCCGAATCCCCGGAAAGGAAAAGAAAGCATGCCAAGTTCACGCTCCGATGGGGACGACCTGCCTACGGTAGGGCGATCGGGGGAAATATGACGGACGGGTGGGTAAGGATGTCACCCTACCTGCATTAGGGAGGCAGGGTAGGGGTGGTCGGCCAGTCGTTCGTAGGTATTCGACAACTCGGTTAAGATCCCCCCCTCCCCCTTCCCCCTATTACGTAGTATGAAAAGCTAGACAATGCTGTGGTTCCGACTAACGCAACGCGTTGTTGTTTCTGCTGTTTCTACATGTGTCTGGGGGGGAGTGAGGGAGGAATATACGTGGCATGGCATACGTAGACGAAAGGACGAAAGGTGGGTGCTGGCTAAGATAATACATGTTGGTCTGGCCGACTAACTCGCAAGAGCCCCGGTTTGAGCGAGGACACGATATGCTAGGAGGGAGGGCTACCCCAACTAGCTGTGCTTTGTTTGCTAGGTCGAGAATTTCCTTGCCAGGGGGGCCTTTCGCTTTTTAGCAGTGTATGGCATTGGAGTTATCAGTGCCCGTTAGACTGATTATTATACAACTCGTACCAAAGCATAGCTTGGAATTCGTCTAGTTATTAGCAATAATAGGATACTTGGCAGGTGTATACTGTTCAGCCTTTAAATTCCCATGAGGGATATAGCCACGTCTGACCCCCTAGAAGGCGTAAACCAGGCTAGGCAATACATAAATCCTGCTATTCCACAATATCTCACCCAGACCAAGTAGCCATTATGTGTATAGACGTATGTAAACTAAAGTCCAAATATGTGAATAACTACCCAACATTCCATCGATAACAAAACTCATTTATTCATAACCTCATGTGCATATCGTCCTCGCCCCTGTCCCTCTCCCCCCCTTTTCTCCCCAAAAAATTCAATCTCCAAACACGCTTCCATGAATCCCATCGACAGCATGCCAGTCCGTGATATAGAAAAATCGGGTATCAGATGCAGATTAGATGCCTAAAAGCAGAAAATGTGCCTGGCGACGGAAAAAACGTGATGCTGGTGCCTGGTAGCATGGGTATCATATCATACTTTCAAATTCGCAAAAAGACTTCCCGCTCCCTAACGCCCTCAACCTCCTTCTCGTCTCCCCACCTTTTGCATTTGTCGTGTTGGTTGCTTTAAAACCAAGCTAGCAGTTTCCGACAGACGACAGCTTCACCAAGTCTTCTCGGCCAAAAAGCCCACCGAGTACCGCGGGATCTCGCTGTCCCAGCGGACCGGGATCATGGCCAGCACGTTGACGAACCGGTCTCCGTTTTTCTTAAAGTTGACGACCTCGACTGCCACTTCTTCGTTCGCTTCTACGGATCGCCGCATCGTCTTGAGGACGTCCTTGTGCACGTGTTTGCGGTTTGATTGTTTTCGGACTCTCCCGCCTGGCGCTTGGAGGAAGCGGCAGTTCAGCCCGATCACCTCGGAGGGCGAGTAGCCGGTTAGCTCGGTGAAAGGGCCTGAGGCGTAGACTATGGGGTAGTCTTGTTGCTGGAGGTCGCACATGATAAGGGCGCAGGAGGCGTCGATGGGGCCGAGTTCGATGACAGGATTTGGCCTTGTCATGACTCGTATCTTTGCTGTGTTAGAGAACTTGATATTTGCAGGAGATGCTTGCATAGGTTAGGTACTTACGAGTATGCTCATCATATCAAAGCCACTTGGGGCATAGAGTCCAGGATAGATTATATTGTCGTGTACAGTATCTTTTGGGTCCATTGCAATACTAGCCGACACTCCCGTAAACGCTCCATTCTCCTGGTATCGGTACTGTATTGTTAAATGTACGTCAGCGATTGGCCTGATGTGATGCTGCCCGGCAAGTAATATAAAATATTGCCTAACAGCCTGCAGTATAAATAACTAAGGAGGGAATGTGGTGACATACTTGCAGCGCACTCTCTTCCCAAGGGTTCATGATAATCGTTGTGAGATGGTGTTTATTGGTGAGAGTATAGTTATATAAGTCCGGGCGTATCTCGAGAAGGTCGGGTCCTTGTGACGAGGGGGAGGCGGCGGGTAGACACGCTTATAACTTGGAATCGTAGGATAAATCTCCACCGTAACTTGTAACAGTCTAGGTATAGTAACGTTTAGCTAAGGATCCGATTTCCTTAGAGCTTCCAAGGCTGCGGCGAAGATATTCTGCTATATATAAACGACGGAATAATTGGGACTTGGCAGTGGATAGGTACAGCTTGTGCACCGTCTAGCTCGACTTATGTCTTACACTATCATATAGCTTCGAATCTACCTACGCTTTAAATCGCAAAGGCAGGCATGAAAGATGTCTTAGTAAATTGATTGCGCGTGATGTTTCGTATTAATGAGATCCGGACGTTTGAATTGCAAACGGGCAGAACTGGAGAATGGAATGTTCCAGTCCGTCGGTATATACTTCGGTATAGTATATACCTACCTACCTACCTAGGTAGAGAAGTTGCCGAGAATACAGACAGAAGTACGAATAAGGAGGAGTATGGGTAGTAGGATGTTCGGGCGCGCCTGATCGCCATCATCCCATGTCATAGCTCTGATCGAGCATCGTAAAGGCCCTATCTTTGAGCTACAGGGCCCCGTTCCCAGAACGGCTTAAAGCATACCATGGTTAACGGGAACGCGATCATGATCTATTCTAGTTCGGGAAAACAGAGTCTAATTACAGTTTTGCGCATCTGTGATCAGAATCCCAAAATCCGATGGTTCAAACTTATCCAATTGTTCGGTTTCACATCTTTTGTCTTAGGTCTCAGATATCACGCTTCACGTTCTATGGTTAAGCTCCCTTAGACAGGCTCCTTAGACACGCTTCTTAGACATGCTCGTTGCTATTAGGAGAAATGGCTTGTTCTTAGTGGTAGACAGTCTCGGGGTCCATTTGCTCTACATTGCACGGCATCAAGAATTCACCACAACTCGTAAACGAGCAATGTGCCAACATACTCACTATTTGGGCGTTGCATACGTTAGTTTAACCGCATAAAAGCCTCGACCGGTTTGATGGAGGCTCTTAGGGCGGATGGCGATGTGGCAACGGTCAATTCTCAAACCTTGGCCTTGGGCGTCAATGCAGGTAAAATTACCTAAAGTAAATAGTCAGATGCTTCTGGCAAGTGGAAAATGGATAAAGACCGAACTTGACTGCTGAGCTGTTGAGCTGTTGAGCTGTGCTACATCGGTTAACCCGATGTACATATTTACGCATCGATCGCTGCAGAAGCGGTTTCTGTCGAGATCTTAAAAGAATCTGTCATCGTCATCGTTATTGGATCGGGAATTTTAAGCTATAAGCCAAGTGGGGGCTCCCTTCATGCAGATCCGCCAGTAATATTAATAAATCCACTAGGTCCGTGCGGCATGCCCGATGCTAACCCCCGGCACATCGGCACATGGCCGGTTTCAATCAGCCTCAAAGCCCGGCCTCCACGTGACCAACATCATTATTCAACCGTGACTGTCGTGTAAGCGCGTAAGCGTGTAAGCGTATAAGTCTTCATATGTATATAATGATCTGCAAGAAGCCATTTTCGATGACGCACCACCGAAAATAAATCAAGTTCGACGTTATATGCCGTACGTACTATTATTGTCGTTGTGGCTGTGGCTGTTTTCTTGAGACAATATATTGTTGTAGAAAGGGAGTTTTTGAGACATAATAATAGCACTAGCAAGAATCGAAATTTACAGTTATTCATCGCATTTTATAAATTGCAAGCTATTATACACGTGTTGTGTCTTGCCGGATTTAAAATCCCCTAGGTACCTATTATTTTAAAAATCCGATTCTACAGCACCATGGTCGATCCCGGTGATCCCTTGACGCTGTACAGACTTTGCTTTTTAAAACCGATACAAAGATAGCCGTAGCTGAACAACCCCAATGCAATCCAATAGTCAAGTAAGCGCCTGCATATGCGTTTCTGTCACATAAATAGTCTCTTCGGTTTGTTGTTCTTATAATCATTATAAAACTGCAGGTTTCGGCAAGTTTAAGAATAAAGACGTACCTTTATTTTTAATCATAACAACAAATGTTAAACTTTAGACTTTTGTTCCATCTCGTAAGTAGTGTATGATTTAAGATGCTTTGAAATTAGAGTAGAGTAAGGCATTACAAGTCAAGATAGAGATGTGCATAGGAAACCTCGAAAATATACCAATTACTATAGCATGATTCTTCTCATCGTGACTGGTTGGAGTTCTCCCCTAGCGACCTAGTTAATTACTATAACCCACATTTAAGAATCATGGCAATGGCATTTAAGCACCTATCTGAACTTCAAATTGTCCGAAGTTACATGTACTTAGTTATATAATATTTCTAATTTAATATGATGGAACAGTTGCTCCAATTAATACATCAAAACAGTCGGGTTGTTAAAACAAGTCTGGGCCGACTAACGGCATATTATGTCGAAGAAGGAATAGTTCAACTACCTTAAATAATTCAATGTTTAGTCGAGTTACTATAATAATGCCTTAAACAGAAACAAACTCTACAACCTCATATAATTTATGTCTTTTCGTGTTGCAAGATACTGATTTACTCGTACTTCAAGCTAGGTAGTAATTGCTGTGATATCTAGTCGTTTAAATGCAATGACGAATAGGGGGGGTGGGGGGATCTGGTTAAGTTCACAAAACAGAATATTGTCAAACTTACTGGCGACAGATGCAGACCTTGTAGCCTAGATCGTGGTGGGCATGAGTAGCGCTCTACATCTAAGCCATTAGTCTACCAAGCTCTCTAGCCACTACACCATTTTATAATGTAGGGTTTGATAAACTACTGTCCCAAGGTGGCAGCCTTTTCGAGAAGCTATCCCGGGTCAATAGAAACTAGTGACAAATCCTACAACTTGGATTTGAAGGCTAACCTTCAGCCACTCTATAAACATGCTTATACTACCTTGACTACCTACTTTCTATTAGCATAGACAAAATAAAAATTTACATAATAAGGAGAGAACAAACTGTTATAGAATCCGAATTTAGCTAATGTAGGGTTCTATTTTTAGTAGCCAGAGACCAGAGATGACTTGAACTATTCACGTTGTATCGCTAGTTACGTCTTTTCTTTTCCTTACTTTCTTCTAACTCTCGTACTATGTCTCCTCGTTCTATTCTACTACCAACAAGATTTTGTTACATAGTTTATTTAACGAGATCTCAACTATGCAGATGGCGACAAATGCACATGCTACCTAACATCGCGTATATATATGAGCAGATCAACGTGCTTCACTCGCCTCCATGTCCTCCCAATACCTCCCGCGCGTCTTGAAAACGAGGTTTGGACCGTCGTGGCTGACAACAACGCCGTCGTACAACTGAAACTCATCTCGCCTGCCGCGCCAGCCGTCACTCCCCGGAATCCCCTCCCCTGCCTTGCCCGCTTCGCCGGGCACCCTCTCAAAGTCAAAGTACCAGATCGTCTTAGCCAGCGCCATGCTCAATTCCAAATACGCCATAGCTTTTCCCGCCCAGCCGCGATCGCCCAGCAAGAAAGGTTGGAACGCGCGCCTCGTGGTAACGCGCACTTCACGTTCTTGGTCCATCTCGTGTTCGTGCGCCAACCAGCGCCCGGGCCGGAAAGCAAAGGGGGATGGAAAGTATTCGGGAACGAGCTTGTTGGTGTCCTCAGTTTGGGTATTAAGCGGATAGCCAAATGCCAGTAGGCCAACGATATCAACGGCAAGACGCCCGCAACGCTCTGAGACGACGGGTCCGACCAGCTTGCGTTTCCGGTGATGTGCTTCTCTGTCCAGGGTGGACCACATACTGGGGTTTCCACTGCGACTTACATAGGAGTACGAATGTCCTTTGTTGACACGTGCATTTGCGTAGATATCTTCCTTAATTATCAGTACGTACTCACAATAATGAACAGTGGTTGCAAGTAGCGTCACCATGTACTGCCGTTGCGGTGTTGAACACAAGACGGTTAGGCCCTGATCGCACCACAGAGCCTAGTTTGAATTAGCAAGTCTTTAATAGGGTATTGAAGAGAGAGGGTTGAACTCTCACCATATTGTAAATGATCGCTATACGTAGCAAGATGCATGCATCGACGAACAACATGAAATGCCCCGTAGGCGTTGGTGAACTTGGCGATAAGTGGCCCGGGGTAGGCCCTTAGCGGGTGAAATATAACTTGGTGGCTGAAGTAAAAGAGAGCCTATATTGAAAAGAGAGAGGTATTATTAGTTGCGAGCCGGGAAAAATAAGTCAGAATAGCAGAACAGCAGGCTTACCAGTGGCACAACAAAGCCACTGTTATGTTGAGTCTGGGAAGGTTGAGCCAGACAGTCGTCTTCCTGTCTCCCTTGCAGCATATGGCCCTCCCTTCATACCTTAGGTTAGACAGGTAATTGGTTATTCATGTATCGATATACTCGCATCTTAATGCAGTTATTTATATCACGCCCTTGTTGGTAAGACGGCTAGGTACAGCCTCCCCCCCACCCCCCTCCATCAGTAATCTCAAGTTGGTCACCAATAATTTATCTATTTTTTAGGCTGCCTTCTCTTGGATTTCAAATCTCAGCTTTGAAAAAAAAAAAAAAAAAAAAAAAAAAGGCAGGCTATAGCTCCCGTTACACAAACCGACTGTTATCTTGACTGAATAATTATAGAAATGGACTATACCTTAAGTATCTACTAATACTTCATCGCTATCAGAAATGATATAATAAAAGTCCCTCTTAACGAGATCTCTAATACATACCTCTCTATCCACAAATCTCGTCTTAACACAAAACTGATTAGCATAGCATATAGAATAACTCGTAGCCATTAGAATATCATTATTAACCTAACACAAAGCGTACAAACGGACACTTAACTACTTAGTATGTATGTCATTAACAATGCCATTAAGACGAACATAAGACTATAACATACATACTAGGTCACATACTAGGTAAAGCACAAGTGAAAAAAGATCAAAACGTGCAAGGCTCTTGGAGCCTATCATAATCTATCGAGCTCCTGCGACCTAGTAGGTCAAATGCTGCATGCAATCCAATGCAAACAAACATGCTTGCGCGCCGTCTCTCATGCCTATGTATGTATGCCTGCCCCCTAACGCCGTTGCTGTTATCAATACCACAAACCGAGCCAAATTGGCACTCGTAGGCTCATAGGCTCATAGCGTACCGAGCTGCGATGCAGACGTCTAGACAGATACTCCGCTGGTAAGAAACGGTACTCGTACAAATATCATATCGTAATAGGAAGGCCACACACCGGTGGTCTTCTACGCTGACTGACCCCGACTTGACACTCGCTACGGAGCCATCCATCCATCCATCCACCCATCCATCTTATTACCCTCTTGTGTGAAAGTAAAACGAATGAATGCCAACTACCATAACGTAGTCAAGCCGGTCAACTCCCGCGCTCTCACTCCCTCAAACAAATGCATCAAAATTAATACTGCGTAAAACTCCACATCTCCTCCACGCCCCCTAAAACCGCCCTCACCATAGAGCATACAACGCCCACAAAAGCAGCCGCCACAACCCTCGCAACCCACACCGCCATCACCGCCGCATATCCCGCGAACGGATCGCGCGCGGAGCCAGGCAGTCAATGTAGGCCTACGAGGCGCCTGTTCCTAGCCTGGAGCTGTCTGAATTTCTTATCGAGGACCTCATGCTGTTTCTTGGCAGAGACAAGCGCCGCCTCCGCATCTTCAACGCTCATCAACGGGGCACTGCCGATAGCCGGGCCGCCATTAGCATTTACGCCGGGGACGTGGTCGTGGCAGGTATAATCGACGCCGCCAGCACCACCGGCGACGAACTCGTCGCCCGCACGGCCTCCAAACATCTTTCCGCGCTCCTCGGCGTTCTCGACTGACGGGCAGATCCACGGCGCCAGCTGCTGAAGATTAACGTTGCGGCCGGTGGTGGAGCTGGGGCCGCCGCCGGGGCCGGTCTTGTAGCCGCTGAGATTCAGGGACGGCAGGACGTGCTGGTTGATGCAGCTGATGGCTTCCTCGCGGTGCATCTTGCCGACGGGGTCGCTGGGGTAGTTGTCTGGTCCGGAGGGGAAGTATGACGGAGTCCCGTTGGGTACAGCGCGGTTCTTAACCAGGCTGAATCCTGTGGCGGGAGTGTGGCGAGGTGCTGAAAAGGCGGTGGGGAGAGCGCTGTCTGCTCTTATGCGGTCTTGTAGTTCGAGGAATAACTCTGCTTCTTCCTCGGTCAAGTTGAGAAGACAGTCTCCGTTGGGAGTCAGGAGTACGGTATGCTCATTCACCGTTTTTTGGACGGGCTGGAATGCGTTGAGCTTGTCCTCGTCTTCCTTAGTGACGATAGTCTTTAGCGTCGGTGGTAATGTTGTGGGAATGTTACCAGGAAAGTCCGAGCGATAGCCGGGCGCGGGCTTGAAGAAACTAATCGCCTCAGCATCGGCGTAACTGCCGCTTTCCATGACACTTCGAAAGACATCACGCAGGTTAGGAATGTCGCCAACATCTTCGTCCATGGGCTGTTCTATTTTTGGTTCCGGGGCGTGGCCGACGTAATCAGGAGTAAGAACCGTAGTCTTCGTCGACTCATTCAACCTTATTGAAGTGTCGATCGTGACAGGGCTCCTGGGAGGGCTCTTAGCCGGCTTATTCTTCTGCACTCCAGCAGCATTGGGTGGCTCGGATACCGAGTTAGTGTTCTTAGCTTTACTGGTCTTCTCGCTTACTTCTGCAGGAGCCGTAGCAGTAGTTTTCTGAGGCGCTGGTGTATCTGGCTGCTGCTCTAAGCCACTAGGCGTGTCTGGGCGGCTTACGCCGGTCGTCTTTTTCTCTTTCTTCTGTTTCTTCTTTCTGCCAAGGATGGGAGCTATCTCTACCTCTTGCTCGATGGGCTTTGGCTCGGCGATATGAGCGGCGGCCTCCTTCGAAGCTTCTTTACGTTGTTTGCGTTGCTGACTCTTCGTAGTTGCGCGCACAGAAGCGGAGCCAATCTTCGAGGGTGGCGGAGAGCTAGTCCGTGACACGGACACTGACGCGCTAACGATGGACGCCGTGTCAGAGATGGCTTCGCTCGCAGGCGTCGCAGGTCGATTGGCAGAACCAGCCATTCCAGCGGCTCGAATCGACGCAACAGCTGCGGGGGGTAGAATAGGCGACGCCTCTGCCTTTGGTGTATGGACAAGACGGAGTGTTTTTGGTGCAACCTTTGCTATGGGAGAAGATACAGATGCTGTCGTAGGCGTAGGAGTAGATAAAGCGGAAGCTCCCTGGGCTTTGCTGGCTTGGGAAATACCAGTAGGGACTTGCTGAGGTTTATCTGTTCCACTTGTTGTCTCGCTAACAGAAGGTTGTAAAATAGTCTTCGTAGCGGCTGCGATGTCAAGCGTGCTAGGAACTGGACGTTTATCAGATTTGGTGGGCGTGGATTTTGCTGGCGATGCCTTGCTTATATTATCGTTTGAAGCCTTCTTACTCTGGGACGCTTTGGTAGTAGTCGGTGGCTTGGACGGCAAGGCTGGAGTTACTTTGGGGGGCGAGCTCGCTTTGACCGAGTCCAAAGCTGGAAAATCCTCCTCCTGAAGGACACCTTTTCCTTTAGACTTCGACGCTTGAGCAGCTATGTCCTTTGACAAGCCACTCTTTGCCGCCAATTCCTTGATGCTCTTCTTCGCTTCGGTTCCGACTGCAGGAGTGCTTTCTTTCTTAGTTGAAGCTGGCTTCACAGGCGTTTTAGGTATGAGCGGAGTCACGGGTCGCGGAATAGCGGGCGACTTTCCAGATATCGCTGCATTTTGGCTTCCCTGGCCATGCGGCACGGGCGTTGAGCTCCTTTCATTAAGTTGCGCCGGAGGGTGAGAATGACCGAGTCCAAGCCCGGGTGGCACAGACGGTATCCTTACGTCTTTGAAGAAGGGTAAATGGGGTTCTTCGGAGACGTCGGGATCCGCAACAAGAGCATCCACCGACGAGGAAACTTCGTCGAGGGGTAAAAGGTCATCGTCTAAGAGACACGGTACGTTAGCTTACTCTTACTAATATACGCGATGAACTACAATACTAAGGAGACAGGAACAGCAGGCGACGCATCACGGAGTTTCCATCGTCGTCTTCCACAAGTTTATATATGACAAGAGCATCGGGTACGAGGAAGAAATGCTATATTGAGCAGCCTCTCAGGCCTGGTCTGGAGGATCGACCTGCGTGTTAACGTACATGAAGAACTTTGTGGAAGACGACGATGGCTTGCCTGGCGTAACCATATGACCGAATAATGCGAGGAACAAACAACAGAATAGTGCCAGAAAAGAAGTGTGTATCATCTGAAAGGCAAAGCACTGGCCGCGAAGCCTCGTCGTTTCCAAGAGCAATGGGGACGCCAAATGCAACCTAGACCCGCCCTGGGCCATGCCTCTCTGCAATGCTCGCTCAAACAATGTTGTGGAATATTCCGATTATTTCCCTTGACCCCTTCCGAAAACCTAGACGCCCCTGACGTACCCCTGGCGAAGCCAAGCAGAAAAGAAAACAAACGCGCCGCCATACTCCTTATGCGCTACAAAGCAGCTACCACCTGCCTCCGTATACGCTGTTCCCATATACCATGCTGGGGTTGTACCCACCTTGGGTTTGTCCTCCGTACAGCCCCTGTCCGACTCCGGTGCTGGTTCCCTGTTGCTGGTGCTGCATTCTCGCCTGCAGGATACTCGGGTCCGCAAGATCTACTAAGCCACTCCCCCCAGAGGAGGAAGTGTTAGCGTGTCTGTGCTTCTTCCCCTTCTTCTTCTGCTTAGGTCCGAAATCTTGGAAAGCCCCAGGCTGGGTACCATGGAGCGATGCCAGAAGGCCCGGAGCCGGAGCAGGAGCTGGGGTGGAGGAGGTGGAGGGTGGGTATTGATTACTGAAAGGGAAGTACTCACGCTTTGCCGCTTCGTGGACCTGGGTGCTGCCCGCGCCCCTCCCACGGATGATAGACTGTAGGAGTTCACTAGAATTATCCTTCGATCCCGCGCCAAACGCTGATCCTCCAAACGAATGCCCCTGGCCAAACATGCCACCATTAACGGGCGTTGAACCAGCGGACTTGAGTCCAGGCGGGGGCCCTGGTATAGAAGAATAGAGCTGGTTGCCTGGCTGCGAGCGATACGTAGACGGCATCATAGATGACTGTTGTGCCATGTACCGCGGGTCAGCAGTTGACTTCACATTGATCGAGCTAGAGCTGTTCTCGTTCGCAAAGCTAAATCTAGACTGTTGACGACTGTGTCCTTGGCCCTGGAAGAGCGAGGACTGTGGCGAGATGCCCGGCGGCATCTGGTCGGCAAAGCTACCCTGAGGACGAACGAAGAGCTGCTGCTGCTGCTGCTGCTGCTGCTGCTGTTGTTGTTGTGGCGTTATCGTACGGCCGCCAATAGAGCCGATAGCTGTGGGGTTCTGGGCGTAGCCGGATAGGCTTGGTCCAAACAGCTCGCTCGTGTTAGTTCGTTGGATCGGAGGTTGCGTCGGATTTCGTCTCTGGTCATAGCGGCCATTATCGCGGCCCTGGTCTCTATCTTCTGGTTCTCCACCAAGCGCGAGGCTGCCGCTCTCAGGCTCGCCTTCTGACGCCTCTATGTTGTCGACTTGCTCTTCATGGTCACCTAAGCGATTCTCTTCCTCTTCCCTCATAGCTCGTCTTTTCGCACCACCATTTACGTCGAATAAGGGGGGGTAAGAGTCATCCTTGTTTTTAAGGGGTAGAAACGCCTCAGGAGGGCAACTGGCAAGTACTTTAAAAAGTTCGCCGAAATCAGGCGCCTCATCTTCCGGATCGGACGCAGGTTTGGTGCTGGCGGGTTCGGACTTGGCAGGAGCATCGGCTACTGGCTGCTTCTCTGCTTTCCGGCTAGCTGTAGGAGGCGGTTCTACTGTCACCGCGGTTTCAACAGCCTCTTGTGTTGATTCACTAGCAACCGGTAATGAGGTAGAGATGGCAGGACTCGAAGCTGCACCGCTCGTGGCGTGGCTACCTCTTCTACTACGCTGCTGAGTAGTGCGTGCCCAATTTGCCGAAGGTGGCAGGGCAGGCCCGTCACCGGAATCTGACCCTTCTTTACTAGCAGTGCGGGCCATAGGCTGCGAGATAGCCGCGGGTAAGTGGGAAACCTGTTGCCGAGATGCAGAACGTGACGATGAGGCGGCATTCGATAGTGGACGTTGGGTATGAACACTGTTCAGAGACGAGAGATCCTGTCTGGAATAGCTGTCCTCCTCGTCGCCTAGCTCGTGTAGAAACATGCATTGTCGATTTCCACATTGCTCGTGCCTCAACCACGCTGAGCAGTACTTTGTCGTTCCTAACTGGGCCTTGAGGACGCGATCGCCATTATGTGAACCGTGCACAGCTTGTATACAACGGGCAGCGTCATCCTTCTTCTCAAAAGTTACATAGATACCTAGAGACTGAGGCTGGCCGTCGGCAGATTTGCGATTACTAATCGAGATTTTCTGGATATTGCCATACTGACCAAAGAATTCGGGTTTACGAAGTGTCTTGAGCAGCTCGTCCTCTCGTACGGTAGGCGTTAAACCTGTTACGTACACAAGGTTCTTCTGTACGACACGGACGCCTTGGAGATTCTTGCGACTTTCCTTCTCGGCCTCGCGCTTCTGGACCTCCTTCTGACGTTGTTCCGATGCTCGCTTCTTCTGGTTCTTTTGGATATTGGCGCGAAACTCTGCCTCCCTGTATAAAATTAGCCATACGCCATTCTTGTATATTCTCTCTCCACTACGAACATACTCTTCATGTGTGACGACCTTCCACTTGATATCCTTTTCGTCATAAGGTCGTCGACATGCAGGACACAGCCCATTTAGATTGTTTTTCAGGTTATTGTAACAGAACTGGCAAATCTAGTGAAGAGCCATTAGTACCCTATCCAATTATTATAAAACGACTCGTGCCAAGTTCGTACCTGATATCCGCAGGGACATGGTCTAAAATTCCTATCTGAAAGATCGAACTCTTCTATGCATAGAGGACTGTATACGAGATGTCAGCTTTCTACCTTGATAATGTAGAGAATATGGCTAGGTGTAGGAGGATATGCTTACCATGTATCCTCCTCATCGTCGATGAAGCTATCTTGAGGAGCCATATTGATTTGGGTGGAGAGTTGGCTTAGAAACTTGTGGTTGGTTGAGAGAATAGCTCCAGCACTGGGCTAGACCAGCGACGCTCAGCTCGAGTATTATATTGTCTAAGACCAGAGACCAGTAAGGCGAAGGCAAGTGTGTGCGTGCGTGCACTGAGGGTGCGTCGTGTCTATGTGTCAAGTTTGGGTTGAAATATCGGGTGATTATGCAGGTGAAAAGAAATGGATATTATAGCGGGAGTAAAAAACATGCGAAACCCCTTGTGAAAACGCGACCGAGGAAGATTAGAGGCAAGGTGAAAATGACTGGCGTATCTGTAACGTCGCGTGTGGTAGGAGAGGAGGCGGACGTGAGGTACAGACCGTTAGTCAGTTTGCGGTGATGGCGTAAAGGTAAGAACAGGTGAAGGTTTGAAAAGGCAAAGGAGGTTTAATGCAGAAAGATTGGTTCAGAGCGCCGAGAGGAAAGGTTGACCCGATTCGTGCTAGGAAACTGCAATGGCCTGTTACGGCTTAGCGTCTTAGCGTCAATTTTGATTTTTGCCTCAGCTGTTGTTCAAGGCTGTGTACCCTGCTACCTGAGTTTGCCAGAGCACCGGGGCAGATTGCTGGGTACCGATTACATAAGTTGTGCTCGACCTTTTTCTTTTTTTTTTTCTTCTTTCTTTCTTTCTTTCTTTATCTTTTTTTTCCCGTAGGAAACGGAAACAAAACCTAGGTAACAGCGGGGGTTTTAAATATGAACTGGCGGTTGTTAGGTGTTTACGAATAGCGCATTTTGATGCAGTCTCACCGCTGCAATAAGCTGCATCCAACTTTTCTGAGAATTTCTCTCTTGGTCTGGTGTAAATCCGAGGGATAGGAACACTTATTAATAACATAGTTGGGAACTAGAAGTACAAAGGTCATGTGCTACGTCACGGATTCGGCAATATGTGATTTCGTATATCATTGGCCAGATGCCATCTAAGTGGAAGTTAGTAAGGCTTAGGTTAGGTATGTACCTACATAAGGTAAGACAGCAGGTACGTGTGTATTGTACATGAGGTAAGAGAGGTACATGACCTATATAAGGCAAGTGCCCTGGCAGCCTGGGCAATAGGTACCTAGGTACCTAAGGTTAGGTACCCAAGATAGATAGTCGGAGGGTGCCTTAATATTGTTCCGCGAATTGGGAATTGTCTCGACCTGATTGGACTAGTTCCCCGATCTATCTTGCACTGTATTTAGATAATGGCCCGGCTCTTAGGTCATGAACTTCCTGAATAACCTCGATAGACAGCTCAAAACCTCGATAGACTATAATCTCTCTACAATCAATTGGCTCTCCTGCCACCGTCTGCCACCGTCTGTCGACCATGGCGACAAAGCTCTGCCGAAGCAGAGCTCTTGCCTCAGCTCTGCGACCTGCGAAACCCCCGTTGCCGTCCCGTACCGAGCAGGTCGCCGTCCGATGCATCTCTGCGACCGCTCGTCAAAATGTCAACATGCCTAAGGATGCTCCGAATATGAGGCATGCGCCGCGAGAACACCCCAAGGAACTTAAGGCGCCTATCGTCAACCCTGCAGACAAGTACTCCACCAAAGCCGACGACCTCCACCGGTACGGAGCTTGGCTTATGGGCTGCTTGCCCAAGTACATCCAGCAGTTCTCCGTTTGGAAGGACGAGCTAGTTATATATATCCCTCCCGCCGGCGTCATACCTGTCTTCTCGTTCCTCAAGTGTAAGACACGCATCCATATTCCGGGCTGATATATCCGCCTAGGGATGAGCTTTTTAGCTGACGGAAAGCTAGACAACACGGCTGCCGAATTCACTCAAATGACCACCGTTACGGCCGTCGACTTCCCGACTAGGGACCAACGATTCGAGATTGTCTACAACGTACTGAGCGTAAGACATAACGCACGAATCCGAGTCAAGACGTACGCCGACGAGGCGACGCCGGTGCCGAGTGTCACCCCTCTATACGATGGCGCCAACTGGTACGAGCGAGAAGTCTACGACATGTTTGGCGTCTTCTTCCTCAACCACCCGGATCTACGCCGAATCATGACCGACTACGGCTTTGAAGGTCACCCCCTGCGGAAGGATTTCCCGTTGACAGGATACACCGAGATCCGATACGACGAAGAGAAGAAGCGCATCGTCACCGAGCCGTTAGAGCTGACGCAAGCCTTCCGTAACTTCGAGGGAGGCTCAACAGCCTGGGAGCCAGTTGGTCCTGGTGACAACCGCACGCCCGAAACCTTCAAATTACCCACACCCAAGCCTGAAGAGAAGAAAGAGGAGCCTAAGAAATAGATGCCAGTTAGGCGGCTTGTACATAACTGTGACGCAATTGACGCTATTACTATTTGGCACTCTAGCCACATTATTGTACAGGTTAGATTAAAGAACATTGACCAAAGCACAGGTGCATTTTTACTTGAGGTGGCAAAGGCCTCATACGACATTCTCTATTAGGCTGTTGTAAGTCGGGGGTGTAATAGTATCGCACTATACTTTACTATACTTTCCTACAAACCCTCGTACCTACGTCTCAAAGTGTTCAATGCCACTCTGCTCCTCTCCTCCAATGCCGCTCCGCGTCTTAGCCGCATTAGACATCGACTTCTTCACCGTCCCAGCCTGCTGGTCGGTGGTACCCTCAGCTTTCTTACTTCCCTGGGGCTGGTTCGCGGACCGAGTACCAGGGTTCTCGTCTAATCCGCTACCTGGTCCAGGTGCACTATGACCGTACTTGGCTGCGAGGTATCAGCCTGCTACGTAGTAGATGTACCAAGACGCTGAAACTCACTTGAAGAGGGCTTGTCAGTGCTGTTTGCTTCGGCCTGCTGGAATAACGAGGACATGGCGTAGTATCTGCTCCGATGTGATATGTTATCACGCTTGCTTGTGGCTACACCTGATAATAGGCCTATTCGTAAAGGTATGATCATATGTTCCCTCCTTATCTATCACAATCAACGCCACTAATACGCTACGTTGAATCATAGATAACACCCGCCTTGTCGTTGCAATGATGTCATCGTGATGGACAAACTACGCTGCTGTGTACCACATCTATGCGCTTCCTATCGAATTTAAACGCTTAGATGGAAGTGCTGAGGTATTTATCTACTGACATGTTAATTACCTTAGAGCAATCCTCTAACTAGCTAATCAAAGAATCAGCTAGGTTAGACATTGGTATATATTTTGTGAGGAAGGTTTCTTTACACAATACGTTTAAATTAGTACGATTCTTCGAAATAGGTTTAAAGGGGATTGTTTTAAATATAATTAGTACTTTGAAGTATAAGATCAAATTAATTAAGGTTTAACGTTGTTTGGTATTTATACTTTAGTATATAGTTTTATATATAATTTTATTCCCCTTTTATTTTTAAAACTACGCTATATATCTAACAAGCATATTGATACTTTATACAACTCACACATTTATATAGTAAATAGTATAATATAACCATCATTTAAAGGATCTTTTTTTCTTTACTTTTTTCCTTTCTTTTTGTTTGTCATGGCAGATTTACACGCATACATAAATGCTTATCCTCTCCTAAGTGTCAAGGAGATACTTACTAGTTAAACGTGCTCAGTAAAGTCCGTTTTATATTCAACTTTTCAGACGGCTTAGATAAACCACAGTATGTACTTTCTAGACAATGTACCCAGTTCGCGCCTTATTTAACAGCCACGTGCCCCTTTTCTAGACATGTCCTACTTAACTAGCCTTCATGACTATTAGCTTAAGAATCTACCGGATACCTGACAATAACCAGCCTGATATACAATTAGTACTCACGTAGAACTATAACCCCCCCTATATGATGGCCGTGATAATATATTAGAACCCGTAGCATATATACACCATGATAATATAAATCCCCCAAAAGCCTCACTTCCAAAAAACGTCCAAGCCAAACGCCTAGGCAAAAGCTTGTGCCTATGCCATGAGGCCTTCTACGCTAAGCATTGATACTACCCAAAGCTTAACTCAGATCCCAATACTCATCATACGAAACGAGTCCTTATATATACCTTATAGTCAGACAATAGCAGCTAGAAGCATGGATCTCTTGTCTGATACTCTCACCCCTATTCTGTTCACCACCACCACCACACCCACCTTCGTTTCTACTGCCGGTGTTCCTACTACTACCACTACACACGCGAATAAACAATATCCCGGAACAGTCATATATAGGATATAGATCCTCCCTATACAAAGCGACAGCCAAGCACCCCTGCCCGATAAATTCAAAATGCCGAGTCTCCCCATAAACCGCGCCATCCGCCGCGACTTCGTCGCCGACCGCAGCAGCTGCTGGATCGAAGTGCCCAACTTAGACGGCAGCCTGTCCGTACATTTAACCGACGGACCTGCCTGTGAACAGTAAGCTCTCCTCTCCTTTCCCCCTTTAACCACCCTACTTACCAACCTCTCCCTCCCTCCCCTCTCCGCAACAGATACGAGCTCGTAAACCACAACTTCTGCGACCTAGACCCCAGCTTCAAAAGCATATTCCAGCACGGCTGTCCCCCGCCCCTGCTCGGCGCCGACCCGACTACTGCCGGTCGATACAGGCCCGTCCAGCAGAGCGGCCAGCAAACCGGCGAGCAATACGGCGCCTTGGCGTTGATATTTGCCGGCGGCTTTCTCTCGATAATCATCTTCGCTATGGTTATGTATCACTACAATATGAGGACTCGCTACATTTACGAGCCTGGTTATGACGAAGATTGATTAGCTGGGGATGTTCATATTGGCTACCTAACATAGTCGAGATTGGGCAGAGATGGATGTATGTGTTTTGCGGCTAAGAAGACGGACTGCTTTAATGTTATTTATACCTAAAAATTGTGGTGCTTCGATTTATAAGTTGGCTGGCTAATTAGTAGGCTGAAGTAAAGGGATACGGATTGGGATGCTACGTTGATTCTTGCCTAGTACTAGTTTATGAACCGAATGCCTGCTAGGCTAGAGTTGTGGGCTTAGTATCAGCCCGAATGCCATATAAGAAATACTTGTATCATTATATAACGCTATATCACAACGTGACTGATCCGTAATACTTCTACGGACCTGAGCATCATACCCTATCGTACTAGAACTCCAAGCTATACCTAGCAACATTCCTTTCCATCCAAGCCAAGTAACATGACCTATCCATGCAACGACGCCAATCCAGTATCTTACAAACACGCCATACGTCAATGCAGTTTTTATCATCATTCATCAATCCGACTGCTCATCTGCAGAATCATATACAATGGGCGGCGGCACCTGAATCTCGTCGTGTATCAGACTATCCGGTAATATCTGGCTCCGCGTTAGGAACTGCGAGGACCTTAGAGAGTGATCTCGCGCATGCCGGAACGCCGTCGGGCTGCTGTGCAGATTGGCGGCGGGTGAGTCGCTGGCGATGGATATTATTTGAGGGGGTAATCTCTCAGGAGATAGCGCTGGACTTGAGACTGTAGTAGCCTGCGACGGTCTAACGGTACTGCGTGTTCTCTGGCTCGGAGGTGCTGGCAGTGACTGAATTGAAGAACCTGACTGTAATCTAGGCGGCGTGGGCTTTGCAAATCCCTGGTTGCTTTCTGGTTGAGTCCTCTTGCCTCTGCCACTAGATCTACGCGTAGACTGGCTCGAAACAATCACTTCGCCCACGTTGTCAGCTTGATGCTGGGTTGAGAATTCAGCATCATCCTGTAGTTGGGCTGTGAGTTCTTGTGATTCAGTAACATTCGGACTGCTTGGCACCAACGCTGCTTCTGCTTCTTGCTCTTCCTCATCTTCACCAAACAGAGCACATTTCAAATTCGCCGTAAGTTCTCCGATAACTGCAGGAGGAACCCATATGTATTTCTGCGGGGCAGCATTTACCCAGCCCTTTTTCTTCATCTCGTCGAGGGGAACCGGATCGTTGAGCTCGTAGACCTGGAGTATCTCGTATGCATACTTGGCAACGGCTTTCCCTTGGTTGAACTCGACATTTCCAACCCCTTCGTTGTCCTCGATTTCTCCGGGTACTTTAGGGGGGCCAAGAGTGCACATATACTTCAGCTCGGAGAACGGCCTGGTCGAATAAATCCAGACGCGGGTTACGGTAGGTGGTATTTTCCAGACCCTGAATTCGTGATTCTTCGTGCCGTTGAGTATCTTTGCTAAGGGTTCAGGGTGAAGAGATACCATGATATCAGAGTTGTCAGTCTGGGGGCCAAGAGCATGAACGACTTCCAAGGGGAGTCGTTGACTTTCGAGTCCTTGAGTAAATATCTGAGTTTGTGCCTTCGATGGACTTTCGTCTGATTGACCTTTCTGTGGATACGACGTCGGTGATTTCTCTGCTACAGAAACCGGAGAAGGTGTAGATTTATTTACAACCTGTGTTTTAGGAAGTACACGTATTTTCTTTGGGTTTGGCGTGGGAGTAGCCGAGCGTGAGCGACTTGACTCTGCGGAATCACTCTCCTCAAGCTGGCGATTGATTTCTTCCGCTGAAGAAAGGAGCTCGGCCTGTGTTTCGTCTCCGATAACGCCGTAGCAGGTTTCTGCTTCTTCAGGATCATCTACTGACGGGACCTCATCTACCTTTCGTTCTGCTGGAGCGTTCTCGTCTTCTGTACTGGCCTCTTCATCTTCATCTTCATCTTCGACGTCTCCCGTTCCATCGATATCGTCATCGGAATCAGGTACTTCCCGTAGGGCTGGCCGGGCCGGTGTCTTCCTCAGCGGTTTTGGACTCTTTGGTTTAGTCCTTCCTGGCGTGATATTTTCTTTATCCTCAGGAAGTTCGAAACGAGTCTTCTTGACCGGTGTGGCCTTGATGGCAGAGTTCTGGGCTCGTACAGTTGGTGAGCTAAGAACCGTATTGTACGAGTCTGGAATCACTCGATCCCTTGACGTCTTGCTAATCTTCTTAAGAATAGGAGAAGGACCTGTCAAGTTGGCAGATTTAACCACTAGAGGTGACTTGTGCGGTGCCGGACTGTATCGCATCATCATCGGTGTCGTTGGCGATGTAGAAGATGGGATGACTGTCTTCGTCCGACGGTTGGTTGGGGTGGCAGACTCGACGAGACTTGGAACTGAGGATCTGATTCCAGACTGTGGCTCATTGGCCTTGGAAGGGACAGGCTCTTTTGCCTTCTTAGGAGTCTCCAGTATGAAGCCAGTATCGTCATCTTCCGAGTCATTGATTTGCCAATCCTCATCATCATTGTCACCCTGAACTGTCAATAATTGAGTTAAAGTCTGGGTATGGAAGCTACTCGACGGGTTTGAGCCGGGTGCATCTCCCAAAGTCTTCCGTCTTTTGGTATCTCTTGGGTTCTCATTCTTGACTAGTTCGTCTCCTGCAGTCTTGCGTCGAGATACTCGGGCCCTCTTTTTGGATTTAACTGCTTTTACAGGCGCGGGGGGTTCGGGCTCTTCATCATCATCTTCGGTGTCTTCTTCATCTTCAGACTTGAGTAAATCCTTAGGCATTGATGGCGATATGAAATCCATCTGGGTTAGTGTACCCTGTTTTAATTCCTTTTTGGGAGCGCGAGGACGTCTATGTATTTTTCCATAAGTTTTCCCATACGTCTTGACATTCCGCTGACGCTCAGGAAATAATAGTTGCTTGGGGGCTGCAGAAGTTGACCTGTATGATTTGCCCTCTGACGGCTTGGATGGGTTGCCATGGGACCTCGTCTGTGGCGCCATGATCGCAATGGCCAAGTGGACCTTTTGGGCAATTCCCCCAGTATGCGCCCAGTATTTTTAGATCAGTTGTAAAATGTAAAAGCTTGAAGACAGATAAGATAATACGTCAGCGTTCCGTCGATTATAGTGGATGTAGTTAGTAGTTATCTTGGAAACCTTAGGTAGTTCTTATTTTCCCTTGTTGAAGTTGAGATGTTGTTACTCAAGCCCATTTAATTAGGCAGATAAGATGTTGGAATGGTTGGAATGCGTCATGAACGCGGTTAAGGTAGAAATGTGGACTGCATGGCGTGACTATCGCGTCAAGTGCATATCAATTAATTAAAGTGCGAAGTACCGCTCGAAATGCCATCTACACCTGATAAATGCATCAACTTATCTGCCCCCGCGATAAACCCCCGCCCCTTGCATCGGCCGAGGTATATGTAAATTCATTATCCCTGCAGCTTTTGTGCATAAACAGATCGATCGGCTTTGACCATCACAACCATTAAATCCGTAAGTTGGCTCTGTGTATTATATTTAGACGTATACTCGTGTCTTTAGATTTTCTGTATTTTTCTGTATGCAAGCTTAATACAGTCTAGTTGAGTACTAGCTAATAATCCGTCCTAATCCGTCCTAATCTGTCCTAATTGGTTGTTTCTTCTTATACGAGCGACATCTACCCCGGCGTTCTTGGTTTGGGAGCTATAATAAAGGACAGCCTCGGCTAAATATAACAATACCTACCTACCTCATCGACGACAAGACCTTGGACAAGGCTCTATTTAGATGTTTCAATGCTTTCAGTCCTAGGTTAACAATATATCCCACCGCTTATTAGAACCAGGCTTTATTAGAACTCCCATCTTCTTAACCAAGTCTCAAGAGATCAACCACCATCTATCCAAAGGCAATATACCCATCCATACGTTATACCCAAACACTCATACATTCATACACTCCATACTCGCCCACCATGGCAACGCCCAACCCCTTCCCCTTCCACATAACCGAACACACCATCCCCTCCCAACACATCCGCGAATTCCCCCGCGCGACGTCCAACTCCCAAGAAGACATCCTCTACATCAGCATCAAGCAATACACCCCCATCGACAACCCCACCCCCCAACCAGGCGACGTGACCATCCTCGGCGCCCACGCCAACGGCTTCCCCAAGGAACTCTACGAGCCGCTATGGGCCGACCTGCACGCCCGCTCCAAGGCGCACGGCTTCCGCATCCGCGGCGTCTGGATCGCCGACGTGTCTAACCAAGGCTACAGCGGCCAGATCAACGAGACCACCCTCGGCAACGACCCCTCCTGGAACGACCACGCGCGCGACCTCCTCCACCTAACCAACGTCTTCCGCGCCTCCATGCCCCGCCCCATCGTCGGCGTAGGCCACTCCTTCGGCGGCGCCGTGCTAACCAAGCTCTCCCTGCTGCACCCGCGCCTCCTCACCACCATAGTCCTGCTCGACCCGACCGTAACAGAATTCACATTCCAGCGCCGAGGCCCCGGCAAATCCCCCGCCCGCGCCTCCACCTTCCGCCGCGAGACCTGGCCCTCCCGCGCCGCCGCCGCCGACTCCTTCCGCCGCAGCCCCTTCTACCGGGCCTGGGACCCGCGCGTCCTCGACGCCTGGATCGCCCATGCCGTGCGCGACACCCCCACCGCGCTATTCCCCAACCCCGAGAAAGACGGCGGGGCAACCCTGCGCACGACGAAGCACCAGGAGGTATTTACCTTTTTCCGCCCGCTGTGGCCGTACCTCGACCCAGTTACCCGGGAAGTCGACCGCGACGGGGCCCCGGACTTCGACCCGGACGTGCAGGATCAACTTCGGGATCCGGCCAGCGTGTTCCCGTTCTACCGGTCCGAAGGAGGCAGCATCCTCAAGCATATACCTGAGGTGCGGCCATCTGTGCTCTGGGTCTTTGGTGGAGACAGCGACTTAGGCGCTCCGGAAGGCCGCAAGTTGAAAACGGAAACCTGTGGGATTGGAGATGGGGGTAGCGGTGGTCTTAAGCTGGGGCGGGTGGACCAGGTCGTCTTAGAAGGCCGCGGCCACTTATTTCCGATGGAGATCCCGGATGAATGCGCGAAACATGCAGCGGCGTGGATAGGAAAAGAGATGGTGCGGTGGCGAGAAAAGGAGCGTGAGTATGAGGAGTGGGTCAAGCTGCCAGTCAAGGAGAAGACGACATTAAGTGAGAAGTTCCTAGATAATGTCGGTCGTCCGCCGCTGAGGAAGAGTGGATCTGCAGCTGGTTCGGGGTCTAAATTATAAGAATGAAGTTACAGTGTTTAATCTGCATTATTTTCAAATGCTCTGGCTAGGAGGGGTTTAAGACGAAAGTATATGCCCGAAGTAAGCATTTGCTCGACATGTATTAGCTATAGATATTGGAAATTTCATTATTAGGGCTATCACACAAGACCGTAAAGGTAGCAAAGTAGCAAAGTAGCAAATCACTATTACCTAAAGCACAAGGGCGAACGAGTTGTGAGCCAATACCTAGACAAATTGGCCAGTCTATCTACCGATGAAAGCCACTCCTTTTGCGAAAATAAAACAAAGTAAGCACTAAGCCTTCTGTCAGGGCTGTCCAGTCTGATGCCAAATCCTGCCGGGAATCATGTTTCATTCCTACGCCGAAACAACCTTTCCATGCATCAGACAAAGTCCTCTCGCAACCCGTCCATATTTCTCTTGTGCTTGCTGCCAACTTCCTTCTTGTCAAGAGTCACGATGGGGCATCAGAAAGGAATTATGGTTGGTTTGCCAAGAAAAAAACAACCGCTCCCTAGTCAGCTGCGCTAGGGAGGCGAAAGGGGGGGGAAATAAATAAATCAATGCCTCATTTTGCTCATCAATGCCATCCATGTACTGCAATATTAACGCGTATAATATTGCGCTTTCTCATTGCCCATTATACCGGTAGATATAGATATTTAGGACAGATGGAAGGCACCTTGACCTTCCCTGATAGCAGTGAATAACTGTCGCCTCATGCTATCGATACTACTGTAGTCGGGCAACTTCAGGTAGTTGACACAAGTCATAACGCTTGGAAGGTAGTCGTCAGATGTGTAGGGCGGCTCACTAGGCTTGCACACCACAGTGAACATAGGGGTCAGACTCTTGAAACCTGTAGCTACGGTTAGAAACACATCGACGAGATAAGGAATCGTAATACATACCTCCAATAGGAAGCTTTGGACTGCCAGTAGTGAATTGCAGGAAGTCACGGCGCTGTGCAGGACTAAGCTCACTCATTGTCTGAAGCAAGTTTCTGACGGATTTACTGTCCATGTTGAAGCCATGATCTGCCTTTATGGAGTCCATAAGAGCTAATAAAAAAAAAAAAAAGGTTAGCTTCACTGATATCATTCATGAATGAACACAACTTACTCTCTAGAGACCAATCCTCATCAACGCGACCGAATAGTGCCACCAACTCATCCGGCGTGAACGCGCTTAGGGCAGAGTACGGGAATACCTGGGAAAAGCCGGTGCGGAACGCTTCGACCTGACGCTTAACACCGCGGCCTAGAGTTAGATCAGTGACTTTATCGAGATATGACTCGACATTGTAGATGGTAACAGGGATATGAGACCCGCCAGGTATGAGCTCAATTTCGGGATAGCCTGGCAACGTGAAGTCCAATGCTAGGTCCTCTAATGTTCCGTTATCCACCACAATCTTCTCAGTGTCGGCGACCTTCTGTGCAGCAGTACGGTTAGGGTCTTCGTCGATAGCCTTCTTTGCCATAGCAAACTTCTTGATGTGTTTAAGTGAATTGGCTAGCCCAGGGTCTACGATCTTGACGGCACCAAGAGATGGCTTTACGCTCGAAGAGCCTTCACCGATACGGAAAAAGATGGGATTGAAGTTAAGGTCGATGATCCGCGAATCGATCATAGATCTTGCAACAAACTTCCCAAGCATCTTGAACAGCTGCAGAATTACGTTCGCGCTTGAGTCGTCATCGCTTATAGGCCGAGGGAATAATCCAGCAGGGCCAGAGATAAACTCGTCCGAGTCGTTGGAATCCATATCGCGCCAGAGCCTGAGTTTCTTCTTGGAAAATTCTTTGGAAACAGTTGAATAAAATTCGAGAGTAGGTCCAAGACCTGTCCCAACCTCCTCAAAATATTCAACCTCGAGAATGCTCTGCGAACTGCCGTAAAGTTCCATCACTTTCAACGCTGATTCCAAAATTTTGGATCGCGAAATTCGTACCTTCTGACGCTGAAGCCGGCCAAGGAATACGTTGTCATCACGCCGGTCACGGCGCAACGTCTCCTCCAGCTGCGCATTCTGCCATCGACTCATAGATCGCGCATAGCCAAATGATGTTGACTGCAGGAACAGGTGGCGGGTCTCAAAGGGGAAGAGGAACGGATATAGTCGGGCTAGGTCTTCGCTCCAGCTCGGTAAACAGTTACTAGCCACTATGAGAGGCTCCTCCAGTTGCCTATTGAGTTTGGCAGTCAACTTTGTATTGACAAATTGTGATAAGGGCTCAACATTCAATTTTAGAGTGTTCTTGTTTTCCACTATAATATCATCGATGTTGGCATTGAGATCGTGTAGAATGTTCAATAGGCGGAGAATGGACGCCGTTGTAGGATTATTCGTAAGCGAGGCAGGTACACCGTTAACGTCAGGTGCGCCGTCAAATGAAGGCCCGAATCCGATAGGTTCCGCGGGAGGAGGCCCTGGCACACGACGAAACTTGATAACATGCATGGTTGACCAAACACTGCGGTTAACGTGATCGTCAGGAGGCGACGAGTTGTTGTGAACAGCCCGATAAATAGTCGTCTCGTTTGGAATGACCCGCTCGTTAAGACTGAATTCGATATGCCAATCTTGGGGTACGGCTTGGATGGCAGCTGCGTAGGAAAGTGGTCGAGAGGTCGACGGAGCGCTAGGAGTTGGGGTTGGCGTGCTCTGCTGCGATACTGGGGGCTGAGGTGGCGCGCTGCGACTTGGAAGATTGGTACCGCCAGTCTGAGCTGGAGTAGGGACCCGGGTTCCATCTTCTTTCCTGGCCGTGATCTTCCCTCCAGCCGCCTCCACTAGGTTCACTGCGGATGGTTCGCGGGCAGGGGCATCTTCCATATCTTCGTCCAACTCGCCAACTATAGCATCGAGAGCACTACTATCAGCAGCCTCAACTTCTTCATCCTCATCGGTGATCGGCTTTTCGTCGGCGCATTCCAATGCATTTTGCAAATCCTCGTCATCTTCCGGCGGCGGAGGAGGCGGTGCGGGGTTATGAGACTCGCTTGGTTGAGCTGGTTGACGTCGCGCCGATCTGCGGAGAATTGCCTTCTCGCGGCCAGAACCCGCTACCGAACCCGGAGTAGACGGGGTATCGGACTGTCCCGGCTGCTTTGACTTAGATCTCCGCGGCTGATGAGAACCGGAAGCCTGGTTCGGGACCGGAGGTGGAGGAGCCGAATAGCTTGATCCCAACCGCTCAGCGAGGCGTTCGGCTGACGATAATCCTGCCGAGCTAGCCATCGCGGCGAGAGCTCGAGATAATCCGTCACGGGGTCTCGGGCCACGAGGGCGCTCGTGTAGGCTAATTCGAGGTCGTAGCCAATCATCTAAAGCTTTAAAGGTTGCAATTGCATGGATGTGGACATTGATACTGCGGAACGAGCGAGGGATGTCGGAGTCTTCGTCAGCAACTAGTCTCAGTCTAATCTGCTTTGCCAACATGGAGGCCGCGCTGCTGCGATTTCCATCAAACGTGCTATGGTGGACGGTAATAACCTCGAAGTGCTCCGACCGACTAAGTAGATCTTGAAGTTTGTGGATCAAGATACTGAAGGGTGTCGCAGGAGAATCTGCGGTTGCGGTCTTCGGTTTTGAACTCACATAACGACCCATGAAGACCTCGAGGAATGCGGCTCGTGCGGCATTTGCTAGCATCTCGTCGGGGTTGCTAAAGACCTCTTCTAGAACACGCACGAGCCCTGAAGAGAGCAGCTCAGCGCTTGTAACGCTGTCCAAGACGTCAGCATCGAAATAGGATGCTAGTTTTTCAAATAGGACGGCCCCATTCTTAGGAGATAGATCTTTGGCAGTTCTTCGGAGGTAAAATCCCTCAATCCCAGAAGCAAGAGCTTCAAGATTATCCAGGATCTTTTTGGCCTTCTTCTTCATGGATTTACTATGCTTTTCTGTTTCGTGAGTCTCTAAGAATTTCTTGGCGGTCTCGGCGATGCGGGTCTTCATAGATGGGATATCCCCCACGTAGGGTCGAGGCGGCCCATCAATAGACATAGTAGATCCGTCAGAACTAGCAGGCGAACCGGACATCTCGTCGTCATGATGATCATTCTCTTGGTCCTCGTCGTCGTTCTCCTCGTCATCATCATCCTCCTCTTCATGGTCCTCCTCCTCTTCATCTCCAGAGCCGTTATGTATCGAGACCCTGTCTCCTTCGTCTCCAGATGCCATACTATGATCTGCCGGTGTCTCAGCCGCCTTGTTCTCGGGCTCTTGATGATCTGCCGCCAACTTCATGATCTCAATAATAACCCCTTCACGGTAAATCTGGTAGCGATAGATGTCATCCAGCCGGTTCAGCAGAAGTTCCGTTATCTGAATGGCAGACATGACAAGCGAGGGATGATCCTGCTGTGATAGTATAGAGGCCAAGAACGAGGCGTAGGGAACAGCCTTCAGGGCATCGACGAGAATATCCTTATCTAAATTCGATAGCATCTTCAGCTGAGCAGTGAGTACCTTTTGTCGGACGCTCAAGTTTACCGTGCTTGAAAATGCGTCCGTCAGCGTAGGGAAGAGGATCAACGCGAATCTTCGAACTTGGTCCTTGCACTCGTCGAGCAGCTCGAGTCTCTTCTCATTAGACGACTTCTTACGGGACCCAAACGAGGATGGGGTAACGGACTCAGCAATATCAAGATCGGCTGGGATCGGGAGGCCCGAACCGTCAGTCCACTTCAGGCCTGGGAGCAACTCGCAGACGACGTTAAGAGTCTCGATAATTTGCTCGCGTGGCCGATGGATCAATGCCTGCATGATAACCACACTATCAAGCTTCGAAGCGACGTCTTCCGTCTCACTAGGAGGAGAGACACCCGTAAGGATCTGATAGAGAGTCTCGACGACGTTTAACTTGAAGAGTTCCGCCGACAAGCTCGGGCTTGCACGGGCCGTGATAGCTAGAACCCGGAGGAATTGGGTGTGAATATTGGCGCTGATGAGGTTCGTGGTTCCGGGAACCAGAAGCCGCAGTATGACTTTCAACAAATCCACACTGACGAGCTGCTCCAGCTTCGACGACTGATATTTGAAACTCTCGATTATACGAGTAACACAGAGCGATGCTTGTTCTACAACTCGCTGGTCGTTGCTGTTCAACACGTTTAGGAGAATTGGCATAACTCCAGTGATCACGTTAAACGAATCCTCCGGGATGTTGCGACAGCAGTTGGCAGCAGTCGTGACAGCAGTTCGTTGAGTGCCCGTAGGAAAGAAGTCTAGGTAAGTAAGACATGCGGTTAAACCGCCTTCTCTGACGATGCTTGTGGGATACTCGACAGATATCTTCTCCAATGTGCTCAGCGCTTGCTCTGCGAGATCAATATAGTGAATCTCTAGGAGCTTCTGGCACAGAATTGGGACAGCGCCACCATAAACCACGTTGGCAGCGCTAGCCGGTAGAGCTTCCATCAAATTCGCAAGACATCTGCAAGCAAGAAGCATGATCTCCGAATTTTCTTCGCCGGTAATCTCATTGGGCTGCATTAGGGTCACCAACTCCTTCACGAAAGCATCGGGGGAGAAATGCCCCGACAGATTATCCTCGTTGGAAACAAGAAGAATCTCAGCCAGCTCCTGCAGAGCCACCAGCTGTGCCGACGGGTCCTCTTTCTGTCGAAGGTGATGGAGGATATCTCGTAGCCTAGACGATAGTCCAGACATCATACCAGTCAGCGCCCTGAGAGTGTTGGATAATCCCGATCCCGGAGGCACACCGAATCCGCCAAACGGATCGTCGTCGTAATGGCGATGGGGTTCATCATCATCGTCGTCATTATCGTCGCTATTGTCTTCGTCGGGATCATGCGCGGGCGGAGGTGGCGGCGGAGGGGGTGGCGCTTCCTCCTCTTCCTCGTGATCCTTGGTACCCGTCATAGTAGTATCTTGGTCAGGATGAGGCGGATGGTTGCTAGATGTTCGCTTCGAGCGGCGCGTAGAGCTAGACGCACCTGTCGCAGGAGATTCTATTCATAAAGTTAGTATACAATTGGACGCATTGACATGGTAGTAGGGCTATTTCATACCTTGGGCTGCCTGGCTATTCTTCTTGTTGCGACTCGACTTGCGGCTTGACGAGGCTGAAGTTAAATTGGTAGAGTCCTGCATCCTGGCGGGTGGGGGTGGGTCAGAACTGCAGTGGGCAAATATTAATATCAGTTATGCATTTAAAATACTAAAGTGGCGCTTTGCGAAACATACCCTGCTGGGCTAGACATAGAAGCCGTATTCTTTCCTTTCCGCTTACGTGTAGCAGTAGGAACAGGTATAGGTACAGCTGGAGGTTGTAGAAGTTGTGGAGGTTGTGGAGCTTGTGGAGCTTGCTCTGAAACTTTCTGCCGCTTGGATCGACGAGCCGATACAGCTGGCTCGCTCGGTGGAGGCTGGGTTGGCGAGCTATTCTCACCCGATATTGGCTTTCTCTTTCGCGAGGACGTCGGTCTCGATGAAGATTGGACGGGTTGAGCGGATTGGTTCGTACTTGTATTATTTCCGGCGGTTGCAGGCGAATGGCCAACAGAAGCTTGGGGAGAGTTAATATCTCCCTGTGATGCTCCTTGACTCGCTGCGTTGCGCGCAGAGGAGCGTGTGACTCTGGAAGACATGAGTATGTAGTTCCTGGGGGGGTATGCGAAATAAAAATAGGTAAAGAGGTAAAGAGGTAAATAGGTAAGTAGGGTAACTCGAAAAATAAGTGTGGAGAGTGCAAGAGAGACTTCAAAAGAAGGCGAGAGGGTTTTGATAAGCCTGGCCTCGGGAAGCGGGAAGCTTTGACGGTGGGACGGCTCTCGTAACAATAGTAACGAGATTTAGGTTTAAATATGTCGACGCTTTGCAAGCACCGTCAAATGCACCTTTACACTTGTCATGAGCTGTACTTGGCTGCCTTTATGACGACTAGCATAGCAACCAACGACGTTGGCTGGAGATGGATTGCTGTGACTGGGGCAACAATACAAAGAGGGTATTGTACTTAGGTACGAATCGAGGCATCCATCCAAATATGAATATATTGAAAGACCAGAACTCGTACCCCTCCCTCGAAAATGTGCCCGTCAACCACAAGGCACTAGCCTAGACGTATCGGCGATAAAGGACTAAGGAGGGAACAATTGACAACAAAGTAGAAATGTGATAAGAGGAGGAACGATGGTAGGCAACGGGGAGGTTACTGTTAGGCTGATTGAAGGAGGTTGATGAAGAGCAATCAGACCTGATACGGGAGAAAAAAAAATAAAGTGGTACTCGTTGTGTTGTACCAAGGTATCGTATAGTGTAGGTTGAGTAGGTAAGGTGTATGTTATGGTTATGTATGTGAGTGTAGGAGAAGGTAGGTATGTACGTAGATGTATGTTGTTATGCTGGAACTGTATGTGTATCGTACCTGGGGGATAAGGAGAACGGCGACGAGGCAGGAGCGGTCGATCGCAAGTTCAAGTTTAGATTTAAATCTGTAATAGAAGGAAGTCGCGCTTGAGGATCGTTATCGACTGCCGATCGAGAGCGCGGGTTGGCAGCAGAGGGTTTTCGTTCTGCCATGGATTACGCCATGAGGCACGGCGGCGGTTGAAGTTTTCTGATGAGTTCGAGACCTTGGCCACGCGCTCAACTTTTTTTTTTCTTCCGCCTTTAAAAATTACTCGTGGGAACTTGGGAACTTGGGAACAGGAGTGAAACGAGACGTCGGTCGAGATGGATTAATTGGGAAGGATACTATTCAATTTAATACCTTATTCGACTTGATATACAGGAAAGCAACTAACAAGCCGTAGATGCCGTTGCAGTTTGAACAATGGAAATGATGGAACCAAGACGGCAAAGTTGTTGTTGTTGTTGTCGTCAAAGCTTTAGGATCGGAGTTGGAGGTTCTATCGGAGGAGGTTCATTCGAATGCGTCGGCGGGCGGCTAGACGGTTGGGCGAAAGGTATGTAGGGTGGGTTGTGCGGGTGTGTGCTAGGTACTTAAACCATAGTAGACCCGATGCCAGGCTGTCTATAGCCGTGTTATAAGACCCTGTAGCAGTTCGTGCGGGTAGGGCGTGTACGCTAGTGATGCTTTATTGATGGCGTAACAGGCGTGTCGATAGTGGCAGTCAACTAAACCACTAAAGCACTGCATGCAGGGATGTATTGTTTGCTACAAGGGACCTACCTAGTAAAGATACGTGCATATACCTACATGTACTACATGTACCTACCTAGGTAGTTGAAAGTACCTGTATATTCTGGTATTCTGATGAGGTGAGAACTGATGAGCAGGGGTGCGATTAAATCTTTACTACTTTGATGCATGTACGGAATACCTACCTAGGTAGTATGTACTACATGTAGTAATGCCCACCAAGCAATAACGTTGAGTTGTTTGATCATCAATATAAAAATTCACTTCTTGCAGCTCTTTTTGAACTGTCTACATTTTTATCTTGATGTTATCGTTAATAGTCAAAGTTAAATTCCACTATGTATCCTTAGTTAATGTTTATAATGACCTAATGCTTGTGCTTCGATATTTACCTAAGCAACACTAAGTTAAGCGATGACATCACCGGTTTTTTCTTACTTTCTTTCCACACTCAATTTCCATACAACTTGACACATTCATGATACATATTAGAAATCCTTCATATAAGTAGATCTGACAAAGTAAGAGAAGTTCCTATGCTCTCCCAACTGGACCTAATTGGCAAATTCATATAAAATATACTATAAAAATTTTGACATTCTCCATTTCTTTGTCCGACGTGGCTAACAAGCGTTGGCTATTTCTCAGCATCTACCAATCAGTAGATAGGAATTTTCACATTTCGTTATCATACATCCATAGTCATTCTTGTATCTTCTTTGCAATTCTGTAGTATTTCAAAATGCAGCTATCAAGATCGGATTTGCAACCTCTTAATTAAATATAAATGCTTCTTATATTGAAGGGTATTCCCCTAATGGTGGTAATTTACTCATGATTTTAAACTATTAATACCATCTTCATACTCGGCAAAGTCGTACTCGTCAGGGTACTTCTCAAGATGGAGCTTCAGCTGCTCCATTTGGGCTTTCAAATCAGGGGTTAGTTCCTCGTAAACGTCTTCGAACATAGTCCGGATAGGTGGCTTCTTCTCTCGTTCTGCCTCTGAGAATGCCTTCAGCACATCCCGCCTGATGCTTTCCCGAGCTTCTTTCTCTTTGGACTCGTCCCAGAATCCCTTTGCCTCCATATACTTCCGCAGCCTCGCAATAGGGTTGTCCCGGCGTTTCCAGTCTTCAACCTCCACTCGTGCTCGATATGCAAAAGAATCATCGGACGTGCTGTGGTGGCTAACACGATAGCTCATTGCCTCTACAAGGACTGGCTTGCCTCCATCTTGAAGAGCCATTTCCCTAGCTTTCTTAATAACCTCTCTAACCGCCCACAGGTCGTTCCCATCCACTCTCACAGTGTCAATCCCATACCCTATCCCTCGACTAGCAATGCCATCGCCTCGGTATTGTTCTAAGGTCGGCGTCGAGATAGAGTATCCATTGTTCCGACATATAAAGATAACGGGACAGGACCGTGTTGCAGCGATATTCAACGCTGCATGGAAGTCTCCTTCACTAGCAGCACCTTCACCAAAGTAGACTATAGCCACGCGGGGAGGTACAGTTGGATCATTGATATGTTGCATTTTAAGGGCATACGCAGCCCCAGCAGCCTGTGGTATCTGGGTAGCTAGAGGCGATGAAATTGTATGCTATATAAAAAAGGTTAGCAATGAACCAACGAGATATAGATAAATAGGCACAGCATACGATGTTCAGTTCTTTACTTCCGTAATGTACGGGCATATTTCTACCCTTCCCTAGGTCGTGCTTATTCGCGAAGAGCTGGTTCATAAAGTCTTTTAAGGTATATCCACGCTGCACGAAGAGCCCCTGCTCACGGTATTGGCAGAATATAACGTCTCGCGGGTCTAGTGCCGAAGCAGATCCGACACTAATAGCTTCTTCACCAGCCGACACCATGTAAAAGCTTAGACGACCCTGTCGCTGTGCGTCGAACATAATCGGATCCATTATTGAGACGGTTAACATATCTCTATATAGCTTTATAACTTCCTCATCGCTAAGATCCGGCTTGAATGAATCGTCAACGATATTGCCATCTTGGTCGACCGCTCGGTATGTCGCTAAGGCAGGATAATCGGAGGGCACAACGAATTTGAGGTCGCTGGTGAATGCGCTTTTCAAAGCGCCAGGGAAGGACACATGGCTCGAACCCGGGCGTTGCGATATACTGCCAGCTAACCGAGCAGGCTGTTGGAAGCTGGGAGAACGGGGAGCGCGGAGTACAGAGCCCGCAGCCCTTCGTAGCGACGCGAGAGAGAGTACTTGTGACCTCATTATAGCTTGGTCATAGCATCTTATATACTATTCACCAGTGCAGATTGCAATTGAGCCTTACATAGAGTGAGGAAGTAAGATTTGGTAGCAAAAAGTTGACTGCATAGTTACTCCCCGACATTCTATGTAGGTGAGACGGGATTCCGAGGCTAAAGACGTCACTTAAGCCGGCGTAAAGCGAAGGGTCTAGACCGAGGGGAAGCTAACTTCCCCAGCTTTTCGAATTTATTACATAAGCATAAGCATAAAACAACTTCTCCTAATAACATAGTTAAGGTTACCTAAGGTAGTTACCTGTTATGTAATCTCAATTGCATTTATTACACAGAAAATACACTCCTCTTGGTATAATAGTCTTCATATAGCAAGATAGAATTAGAATTTATTACCATATTAATATTTAAACAAGCCTAAGATCCTAAGATTTTTAAAAACTATTTTGTCAACTCTGACTACCAAGTATTAGAGATGAAAATACCGTGCCTGAGAGACCTAACCTAGCCATGTGACAATATAAACAATCAAGTCCGAGTACAAGAAAAGCGCACATATATCTGTAAACAAATAACAAATAGCACACCTAAGAATTAAGTTCACCCACATGTACGTCCCTAAGGTACAAAGTGACATTTCCAACATTGGCGTCGCTCGAGAAACGATGTGCGCTACTCCCAACGTACATGCCGCCATAGCAACAGCTCTCTACCACATGAATCATGCCAAAGCAGCAAACTTCTCATGCAGAAAATAATAAAAACAAAGCTTTGTCGTGTTTCCCTCTTTCCGTACCGTACCTACCTACCTTACGATAACATAACATCCCACTCCAAATAACAATTATTAACCTTACCACCCCACGTCCCCAGGCCAAAGCGCTACCTACCATCCTCAGCACGGACTTATCCCCGGTAATGTCAACAATGAACGAACCCACCATAATTGGCATAATTGTCATGATACTCGTCCCGCTCACCGCAGTCCTAATATGCTGGGGCTACTCGGCATCCGAGAAGTTTGCCGCGCTGATGAGACGCTCGACGCAGCATCACCAAGCCCACGTGCAAGCGCAGCGACACGCGGCCCAAGAACAAGACTCGTCTATCGACGCTGCGGTTGCGGTTTAACGAGGTAAGTACCTACCTACCTATATTTGTTCGTTGTGTTGCGGGAAAGCACATGCCTTTGATATTATATGTACATGTATGTATGTAATGTCATTGAAGATGGATGGATGGATGGGATGGATGGCCCCATTTCAACCAATCATCTCAAATACCCCAGACATCAAAGCTAAATGTCTTAGCGTCAAGCCAACATCCTGGACCCAGATATCGGGATCTATGTCCCAAAAAGGTCAAGTCTGACAGGGCCAGCCCACTGTGGCTAGTGCTCCTTCGCGGAAGCCACCCGAGTGACCCCCACATAGGTACATGGGAACATGCCGAACGGAGATCGTCGACCGTCCGATCCGTAGTTTTTTTTTTTTTTGCCCGTAGCTTCACCTCGACCGGGCCGGCTGTTCTACCTCCTACCTGCCTACTCGAGCTTAATTAGCTACCGCTTCTAACACATACTCCCAGGAAACCCTCCTCAAACCCAGGTGACGGCCAAAAACAGCGCAGAACCATGGCCGCCCGCCCGCAATCAGTCCTGCGCGCGGCTGTACGAGTATCAAGACCGACCTTTTGCTCTTCCTCCCGCCATGTCCGACTATTCAGCACAACGATACGTAGCCCACGACCTGAGCTCTCTCAAAACTCTACCTCTACCTCTACCTCTACCTCCCAAGCACACACCGCTGCCGAGAATGGCGCCAGCAGTAGCAGTGGTAGAAATAGTACAACACACTTCGGCTTCCAAGACGGCCTCTCCGAGTCCGAGAAGACGGAGCGCGTGGCCGGTGTCTTCCACAGCGTAGCCGAGTCCTACGACCGCATGAACGACCTTATGTCGTTTGGCTGGCACCGCGTCTGGAAGTGCGTATTCCCCTTTCTTACCTCCCTCTCCCTCCCCCTATCCCTCAACCCCCCCCCATCACAAAACATAGAATAGAGCCCAGAATCCAAGCTAACCCCGTCCCACCACCAGAGACCACTTCGTCTCCTCCCTCAACCCCGGCCTCTCCTCCTCCACACCCCCCAAACCCCAACGCATCCTCGACGTCGCCGGCGGCACAGGCGACATCGCCTTCCGCATGCTGCACCACGCGCACACCCTCAACCGCAACCCCGACGTCCACGTCACCATCTCCGACATCAACCCTTCCATGCTCGCAGTCGGCAAGCAGCGCTCCCTCTCCCTGCCCGCCTCCCAACAAGCCGCGCTCTCCTTCCTCGAAGCCGACGCAACCTCCCTCCCCCCCGCCGCCGTCCCCGACAACTCCCTCGACCTGTACACCGTCGCCTTCGGCATCCGCAACTTCAGCAACATCCCCGCCGCCCTGGCCCAGGCCCACCGCGTCCTCAAGCCCGGCGGCGTCTTCGCCTGCCTCGAGTTCAGCAAGGTCGCCAACCCCCTCCTCGACGCCCTATACAAGCGCTGGAGCTTCGGCGCCATCCCCCTCATCGGCCACCTCGTCGCTGGCGACCGCGACTCCTACCAGTACCTCGTCGAGAGCATCGAGCGCTTCCCCAGCCAGACCCAGTTCCGCGATATGATTCAGGACGCCGGCTTCGTGGTCGGCGGCCAGGGCTGGGAAGATCTGACGGGCGGCGTGGCTGCGATCCACAAGGGCATGAAGCCCCTGTAATCCCATCTCGTCCGGGTCCCGCTTGTAGATCGAGAAACGGGGAGGAGGGAGGGGAAGACCTTTGTACACTACTACCAATGTTCCGCATTTACTCCGTAGAGAGGATAGGCCCGTGACGGCATCGAGGCCAGGCAGAAAAAAAAGGTTGGACGAAACGAAGCGGGGGTCCGAGTCTGGGTTTATTGTACCATACATACACAATACAGCGCAAGTGCGCGTGACTTGTAGACTCCCCCCTTTAAGTAGCATATGCGACATAACCATTGCATGCAGTTAGGTTGACGAGGAGAGAAGCCCGCCCTAAGGCTTGTTAATGGCACGGTTCGCCCTACGAGTCCTCGTGTTCAAAGGACACACACCGGCTTAATCATAGACCCCCTACTTTAATCTACCGAAAGAGGCCTCACTCCACCATATCTACGAGTTATGACCCCTTTAGATCAGTCCTTAGTCCCTACGAGCAGTGGCACAGATATCATAACTTTTCAGAGTTCATTTCATTCGGTTGCATTAGCAAAAGCCTATAACAACGTCCGATCCAATCCGATCCTGTCTGGTCTGTTTCAGTCCGGACTAGGCTGGGCAAGTTCAGGGTATGTCCCTACGAACAAGCTCCATCGATCGAGTCATCATACGAACCAGCCATCAGTATCAACGCGAAGAAAAAAAACTATTCATCTCAGTAGGTTGGGTCACCAAGAGGGAAACGAAGAACGTTCGTACGAAGTACGTTGGCAGATTTACGTCGGTGCAAACCATATACATCCGTCCATCCGTCCATCCGTCCGTTCAACCGTTCAAATCCCTGGCCTCGTTTCACTCCCCCCTTCCCCTTCAATATGACGAAAACGACACTTGGTATTTTCTTTTCACTCCGAGACTCTTCCCTTCGCAGGCCGACAGAATCTCTGAACTCCACCTGGTTAACGACGGAAAAGTTGTGCTTCGCGGAAAGGATGTGCCAGAATACAAGCAAAAAAATAGTTATCTCGCGCCCGGCCACGCGAGGTCATTAGTAGAATATGGGTGACAAAGTGGGTAGAACCGTTACGTCGGACGATTCTTTTACGAATCGCCACCGGGAGCCGGAGAAGCGCTGCCGCCCTCGCCTTTGCCTACTCCTCCACGACCGCCCCTGCCACCTCGGCCACCACGCTCGCCTCGGCCTCCTCGCGCTCCACCTCGACCACCACGTTGGCGACCGGTCTCGGGACCGCTTTCACCACCGCTAAGAGTACCGCGGTCACCGGCGCTTCGGTATCCGCTTGCGTTATCTCTTCCTCGGCCACTACCCCAGGTTCCTGCTCCTCGACCGCCAAATGTCTGCTTGGATTCGCGGGGTTGGAATATCTTCACTAAGGGTCTCGATCGGTCCTCGGAATGGCGGACCTTGAATTCGTCGGCGAGACTAGAGTAAGCAGCCTCTCGATCTTCGATAGTGTGGAAATGCACAACCTTATTGTTACTGTTGCTTCCCCACTTCTCGATCTTGGCGATCTTGGCCTTGTGCTCGTCAGGGAATATCTCCCGAGTTTGCTCGTCACTTTGGACATTCATAACGAAGAGCCCGATGATGCTATCCGCAGAAGCTCGAGGAGCCGGCGATGGTACAGTTTCCGGTCCGTTGGCTGATCCATTAGCACCTGCAGGCTTGTCGTTCTCCTTTCCAGCAGCCGTGCTAGGAGCTGGGGATGAGGCCGTCGGCTTAGGCGTGGCAGGCTTAGGCGGCTGGAGAGGCGTAGCTGCGATAGGCTTTGAAGGTTGCGCCCCAGCCGAGGCGTTTCTTTGAGAACTAGCAACGGGAGGTGCAGGCGTCACAGAAGTCGCAGGAGCAGCGGGGGGTAGACCGCTGCCGCCGGCCGCCGGTGAAGGTGTGCCCTGAGGTATCGCAGTCTGTTGCTTAGCCCCACGGTGCGAAAAGTTGAACCCCTGTGCTCGCATCTCCGTACCAATGCGGCCATCTTGAATCTCCAGAGCTAGCCAACCAAATGCGGCGTCTGCCAAGTTGAAATTCCACATATTCTTGAAAGCGCTTTCATCAACTTGACCTTGTACGCCGGGACCGCCGACCGGGCCACCAAAGGGGTTTCCGCCAGCTGCGGTTCTAGGCATCTTGTCAACCAGCTCAAGTGCGTTCCTAAGCAAATTCTGCTGGGCTTCGTTTTGTTGAATTGCCGGCTCAACTTCGCCCTTGACAGTCTCCCATACATCGCTGAACGAAGCTTTAGAGGCGGCAAGTTTACCACGGTAGTGGTCCAGAGTTGGGTTAACGCTAAATTCGTTATAAGAGCTACCATATCGGAAATGTAGGCCGGCCGAAATAGAAAAGTCGGCCTTAAGGCTAACTGATAGTTGATTCAGTATACCTTCACGAGTGGGAGAGGCGTGCGTAATGAAGATACGAGTCTCCGTAGGGTCATAAACACGGTTCGCAGTGTCAACTAGCTCGCCCATCTGCAGCAGGGTAGTCCACATAGTGCCTTGTCCACCTGCAATAGTAGTTCGGCCTTCGCCATTGTCAAACAGCTTGTGCATGACGACCGCACCGCCAAGGCCAAGAAGTCGCAGCTTAACGCCGCCGATTTCCAAGAGCATAGATCGAGCCTCGTCAATAATGTGCAAGTTCGGTACCTTGTACTCGCCAGATCGGAATTTCTCCAGCACGCGTACATCTTCGCAGGCACCCCAAACGGTGTAAACCGGAACTTCGAGTCTGATTTGTCCGCTGATGAGTATAGGCAGTTCGGATAAGGGTAGATCCTGAGGGTTGAATCGCGCCTTGACTGAGCCCGGTCCACCTTGACTGATACCCTTCTTGACTTCCTCGGATATCAACGGCGAGTATTGGGCGACATGCTTCAGAGTCCTATTTCATAATGCAGTCAGAATACTGTTCAACTCACAAAATCAAAATAACAAGTACAAATCTTACTTCTCCGCAATGCGCTCTAAAGATGTATCGTCATAGAAGCCAAAGTCTCCAGTGTGAATGATGTGATCGGCTCGCGCTGTCTTCGCAAGTTCGTTTAAAGATCGCAGATTGCCTATCGGGGAAATGTTAGCTTCATTCCGCTGCTAATCAAAATCAACAAGTTTATCTTACCTCGTACGTCGGCTATGCAAAGAACTCGAATCGGCCCAGACTGGACTACTCGGCCTTGGTTAGGTAGAAGAGGGACGGCACCTGGCGCAGGTTGGCCAGGGTTCGGGTGGCTACTGGGAGCGCCGTTGGGCATATAGCCCTGGCTGTTGTAAGAGCGTTGCTGAGAACGGTTAGCCGCGAGTGATCGAGGATCAGTTCTGGGTTCTGGAATGAGTTGGCGACCAGAGTAAGGCAGGCGAGGTAACTGAACACCGCCTGGTAACTGCTGGCGAGAGCGATCACTACCGCCCAAGATACTGTAGTGAAGGCGATCAATAGCGCGATGATGGTCGTGAGACTGGCCGTTAGGTAGATTGGGGGGAACTGGAGGAGGCATCATGAAAGCTGGTCCGTCCCGCAAGCCGTGTTGTTGGAGAGGAAGTATGCGATGCTGATGCTGCTGGCAGTGCTCACAATGTTGGCAGTGCTGGATAGCGGGAGCGGGAAAGTGCTGAGGTTGGAAGGGATGTAGTTGCTGCTGCTGTAGCTGTAACTGCGGCGGCAGCGGCAGCGGCAGGGGAGGAGGTAGTGGAGGCAAATGAAGCGGATGAGGTTGATGAAGCATAAAAGCTTCAGGTCCACTAGGAGGTGCCATGACGTTTTCGGGGGGAGGAAATGGAATACGATACATTACGAAAGCATTCCAGGATTTTGATGATAATCTTGAGAAGGTGCAGTTCAAGTAATAAATTCAAAGGTGATTGTTGCAGTTGAAGAAGGAAACTATCCTGTCTTTTAAAGTGCAGGTTGTACGCGCATGATTGGGAAACAATTAGAACAAGCACTCACAGCCATGGACAATCAGTCTCCGCGGTAATGGGGGCTGTCGAAGATGTGCCGAGAAGGAGTTGTCGTAGCCTGAGAGCCGTCACCGGGGGTTACGGTAAGGTATAGATCCGTAGAGGAGGAGGAAGGGTAGTCGGAGATGAGGCGCGTGTATGAAGGCCTCGAGATCGAGATGGCCAGGTGGCTCGACGACGTTAAACGAGTCGTAAGTTCAATGGCAAACGAACAGAACGGGTATCTAAAATGAACAATGTATCAAGAATTGATATTGGCACGACCTACGAAGATGCAGACTCGAGGTAGACGGCCGTTTGCCAGTAGAAATGTTACGTATCGGAAGGTGGTGATGAGTGAGGTCGGTAACTTTTTGGATTTTCAGCGGCGACAGCAAGTGTACGAAGGTTTGGGGCGCCGAAAAAAGTTGGACTAGGACCTAGTAAGGAACTCGCGACAATCACAAGCTTTATTAATTATGATTGGCTAGAATATTCAGCCTCGATCCACTTGATCATTTGCATGTACCGGGATACTCAAGAACCCGGTCATAGATTGGCGGGGAGCAAGGTATACGGTACTTGAAGTATTTCTCAATTGTGTAGTGCACGTAGTGGACCTAATGCCTAACCTTACCTAACCTTAGTGTAGGTACCTAAACGTCTTCATATATTATGTAACTATTCATATAGTCATTACTATGTTTTCAAGTTCCATACGTGTGTGTTAAAGACATCTCCTGAATTAACCTGAATTAACCTGAATTAATAATATTTTCTATATTAAGCACGCATTTATATAGGCGGATATTTATAGGTTAGACACCTATATGGCTCGGTTGATAGAAGTGTCTAGATGTCCATATATTCTTGCTACGCCTATCAAACGCCTGTGTCACATTAGGTACGGTTGGTAGTACACGGTTGTGGGTTTCTACCTGTTGTCTTACATACCCAATTACCAGTTAAGATGATTGTTAATTAGGTTTGGTGGCCTACGAGGATATCTGTTTGACAAGGCAAATTAGAAAGGCGTCGGAAAATACCTAATGTTATAAAAGTTTATAATTTATAGCATAGGAGACTAGATTATACTGAGTTGTATAAGCCAGGTTTATACGGAATCGAGTTTATATAATTTACGTATTTATATATTGTCTACCTACTTCAAGTCAACAAGCAAACACATCGCTCGATTAGAAGCGCCCTAGTAGAAAATATATATCCAGTTAAATCAGTACTTATATTAACGCAAAGCTTATGTCCATCGCTCACTCTATCATGCAGTACACGAAGACATCCTCACATAACCAATCAGCGGAAATTAAATAAGAAATATTTCCCCCTATTGGTCCCATTTATCAGCCAGAGGAAATT